AACTGCTAGTATATTTTACTTTTGGAAAAGATCAGTAACAAATGTCGTCTGTCATCATTAGTGAAAAATATGCACCCCAGTATTCAGATAACTCAACAAGTAATTAATTCAATTGAAATGAATCTGTGTAGATTTTCCATTAAACGCTCTTTTGCGCCTAACTACAATCGTACATACCGATACTCAAATAGATATATAATTGTTCTATTAACTCAAAGACACGTTTTTGTCAATTACCAAGCCATTACGACGACTATTACGTCTTACGTGTAATCGACAAAAATATAAAAAATAATGTAATCGTGACCTCGGTTACACTCTGACAAAGTTTCGTACGAAGGCCACTCTGCTACGACTGCTCTGTTATGGGCAGAGTTGCGACTTCAATACGTGATATACCTGCACCCACGCACTGAGTTATGCAATCCCTTGTTTCGAGCGGTTTTTTCTTTCTTTTTTTTTTCGAAGATCGAAAAAAATGGCCATTCGTTTCGATTGTTACTTAATATTGTATACCGTACAGCTGATTCGCACGTGTTGGGGTTTTCGATAAAATTGAGCTGTACACGTGCGTAAAATATTATAACGAGCTTTAGATATTGAATTGAAATTTTATCGATGAATTTTAACTATTGTTCTGATAAAAAATTCCCACTTCTATTTACGCTGACCAAATGAACTCTCTCTAGACGAGAGGAACGTGGACGATTCAACAATCTGCATTCTAGTACTCGTACGTGTTGTAAACACCAGCATCATTCTCTTACCTTTATCATATTGTGTACACTGTACGATTATATCGAATGGCACGAATATCGTGACTCTTCAAGACTCTCGACGTGTATTTATCAATACGAAGAAGTACTTGACAACGTAAGGGAGAAAAATTACAGTCTATGCATTGAATAACAATTCGGTGCTTCGCATTCACAGCCTTGATTTTTGCAATATAAAAACAATTCTTGGTATTATTTTTATTAATTTACGTTTTTACAGAAATAAACTAATATTTTTTCAATCGATGCTAATAACTACGACATTAATTCGATAAATATTTTCACACGATGTACTACACATTTGTTATCCATGACTTGGTCTGATCAACGCAACGTCAATGCTTATATTGCATATATAACTAATGTCTCCATTAATTGCATCACAGATATATCATTACGCTAACCACATCTACTTTCTGCAGATTTCGCGTAGTCGATTTACGACGTTAAAGTTTGTCTTCAATTCATAATATTTATCACTTATGCAGCCACTTAAATTTTAATGCAAGTCGTCTATATTATTCACTTCAAAGTCTCATTTGCCAATTTAATTTATTTTAAATCAATCGATAAGCAACTATGCAAGACAATTTTAATCGTAACGGTCGTACTCATTTGCATATATTTTTCATCAGCACGATACATTACCAAAAATTGTTGAATGAGACATGTACTCTTTCAGTACTCAAATTTGCTCATGCAAAATATCTTGATCATTTATGAAATAAGTAAATATGTTAGACTCTATATAAAAGAGCATGTTTTATGCATGGGGCATATGAGCGAAATCGTAACGCATATCGTGAAAGAGATTCGTAGAATAGATTACTGCTTTATTATACTATGAAAAGTTTTTACATATAATTTTATGCAAGAATACAATCAAGTTAATAAATAAATAAATCAGCTCGTAGAAAAGTTGCTACCAAATTTCTTTTTTGTACTTTATTCAATTCAAAATTAAGCAAGCGTAATACTTATATTTCTGAGTACTATAGATTATTCAAGTTATCTAATAGATTAAGTGCACTAACTATGCCAAAAAATTTTTGGGATAACTATAATAAATAAAGAAAAAGTATTATTTCAATTAATATTTTAAATTAAATATAAATGATGTAGAAGGGAGAATTTGATAATCCACTGAATCAATCGAGTGGTATATTTGTTTTAACTAATTTGTTTCCTCGTAAGAATATAAAATAGTGTGATGTTAAAGTGATAATTAAATTTTCCTGATAGCATAATCAAGCATCGATGATAAATTTATCGCTCAAGTTTGAAAAGACGACCTCATCGTTCTTAAAATTAGCATAAACATTAAATCATTTATTCGAAAAAAAACGCGCAGAATTTCTTCATTGGAAATGTCCGTACAGGTATGTATTTGTATAGATACGTGTACGGGAAGGAAGTGACGTCGGTGGACTATACGTTTATGCGAACGCTCGATGCTGCAACGCGCGCAAAAGGCCATTGACATATATGGCAATCGACATCGATCGGTTCATTCGATTCGAGAGTTCACGATGATCACGTTCATCGTGAAACCTTCGACGCATCAACGTATAAGTACACTTACGCGCCGATGAGACAGACTTTTGGCTCGCTAAATTTACCGCGCAATTGTTAATTTTTTTCGACAGGGAAGTAGTAGCGCGAGCTTACCTTGCCAATGTGTGATAAGATTTTTTTGGTCGGTGATCGAATCAACGATCATAATGCACAACGTTGTAAACAAGTCGTTATAAGCGTGCAACGATCAATTATTCTGGCTCGTATACTTAATCCGTTTGTTCTCGTTATTTTTTTTTCTCCTACTGATTTTCTTGTGGTCGCATTCGCTCTTGAGATTTTTTAAATTACTCAATAATTACAAGTTAACTATCTACTTTTACATTAGAAATTACTTCTGTGTACTTATATGCACTTTTTCCGGGTATAGAATGATCCACGTCAGTGCAATAATCAGCGCATACGCCAAGTAACTGCAAATTATTGAGCAGCAGCGCGTACGGTGTATCAAGTTTTAATTCATAATTATTTACGGCGATAAATAAAGGCCAATAGAGGTAGACCGAATTATGAAAATAAAATTCCGTGTAATTGTTTAATTTTTTAAGGAGAATTAATCATTGAAAATTTATTCTCTAAATTCAATTCCTTGGACGTAATGTAAAAAAACAAAAAAGCTGTGACCGATAAGAACGAGCCAGTTTTCACGAGCCCCATTCCGCCTAAAAACCAGGTTCGAAAGTTACGCGCCGGCAACAATCGTCGCAATCGATATAGGTTTTATTTGCGTCTTAGATTTGGGACAATAATGGATTAATCGTCGTATTTTTTATGGTCTTGTAAAGCTTCGAGCCAGAAAAAGTAACGATTCATTAATGGCCGTGCGCGAGCGTATACTCGCCAAGAGGTTTTTTTTATGTACATGCATTCATACATATATATATATTTAAGACGGTCTGCGACATTTCTCGCATAGTCGTAATAATCTATTAGCAAGGCTATTATTCCGTCCCATATATTATAATGCGGCGTGTACAGCGAGAGTAGAAAGAATTTTCAGGCCAAAAAAGAGAAGAACCGCAATGAGTAGGCACATTGCGTTAGGTAGCAATTGTATACGAAAAAGTTCGCGGAGCACATCTGGAAAGGAGGCTTCAACTCTCACTGATAAGGCTCTCGCTTGCTCGATGGGTATATACAACGGAGAAAGAGAGAGAGAGAGAGAGATCCCCATGTTCATAATATGTAGGTCATTGGCTTTTTCTCGCCTCTCTCGCTGGCGTCCCTGTTGCCTGCACCCGCGCTCGTTGACCGCTACTCGCATTTACGCGCTCCTCTACCTACATGCGTGCATATAACTCGAGTATAGTATGCGTGCTGCGCGCGGACTTGCGGTCGTCGTCGCTTATATGCACACTGTACACTGCAGACAGGAAAGTCGAGCTGCGAGCTCGAAAGCGCCTGTGCCTTTTGATTCGTTGGCTTACTTGTATTATGCCAGTGTATCGCGTACGATATAAACTGTTGAGAAAACGTAGCGCTTTTAAAAATCATTCATTGAAATATATCCACGCGAGCGTATCGCGCTGGCCTGTCTATAGCCTATACAGCTGCGTCGCATCGACTCTGTCATCGATACGCATGAAAAAAAATAGAACAAACTTTGACGATTATACGCAAATATTTTCTTTCTTGCCTCTCGCATGGCGGCGTCGGTGGACGGCTTTGGAGCTTCGTTTTTGTTTTCGTTTATTTTTAGACTTGACTCGAGAGAACCGCTGCGCAAATATATAAGCAAGCGACCGGCTTATAACGTTAAGCGTTTTGCGCGCGACACTTGCTTGCAAGCGACGTTATATCGAGCTTTTCATTCGCGCTCTTCGTCTGTCTCGGGCCCTGGCTGTGGCTCTTTTTTTTTGACTCATCCTCGTTTGGTTTAATCAATTATTTCGTTACACGCGCGACACTTATTTTCGAATTCGTGTACCGAAAGCTTGACTCACGAGATGTCGATTTGGTCGATTCTCTCGAAAAGTTACAAAAGCTCTCTCTGGCTCGATTTTATTTTTAATTCAGAGAGACTCGCGTTCGAAATGCCGCATACGCAAGTTCTCCAATGGATAGGCGCTTCTGAAAAACGTCGCACCTGTTTTGCAAGCAAAGACTTTTTCTTTTTCGTATACTCGAGCCAGTCTGCATCCTACGGGAGAAAACAAATATCTATTGCGTGCGATGTTAATACTCCCGGCAGTGAAAGTGAACATTTTCTTCTACGACCACGCACTGTACGTATATAATACACGCCGCATTCCTTTCAACGGACCGCGTCTAGTATAACAAGGAAGATGATATTTTATGTAAACTGCAAATACATGAAGTGTAAATTATACTTTTTTCCGCGCTCTGTGTAATATTTTTAATACACTCATAGCGGTAGCCACATTTTATAATCTTATAGAAAATGTACAAACTCATAGAGAAATTAATACATAATTTTATTCAGCACTCGCTAATTAAATTAGTTGCATAAAAATTCAAACGCGAAATCGCATCGATCGGCAAAACGAAACGAAAGTCCTTTACATTGTGAGCGTATGGCGTCTTTTTCGCGAATAAAGTGGAAACCGTTAGGTGACCCCATAACAACGAGGTTTGATCGATACCCCGTGGTGCGCGAATTCGCGACGCTACTCCACTTAATTTTTAATAATGCCGGTTCGCTCGGACTTGGACCGCTCGCCGAAGCATCTCGCCGCTGATTTCCAAGCTTACGAATCGTTGAAACTCGACGTACAGTCTCAGCGGAGGCTGGGCTGTATCGTGAACGAGGATGTTTTTCTGGAGTGTCCTTACGCCTTCGTACCTCACCGTGTATTGCTCGAGTTGGCCCAAGAAAGCGACTCCCCCTTCCAAGCGATATCTGGAAAAGTAGTCTCTTGCACCCTGGAAGATGTGCTGGTTGGCTATGCCGAGGACAAACTTTTTTCCGACGATCCCGGTGAGACAATTATCACACTCTCAAGGCGATCAACAACGCCTCTAGTCTTTGACCTTTTTTTTCTCTCTAATAAAAGTTGAATTCGTGATTTGTCTAACGGAGGAGGCAACGTCGCTCTTCGTCACTCGGAATCGCCAAATAACGCGCACGATTCTCGACATGGTACATCAAGAGATAAACAAGCGTCACTCGAAGCCGTGGCAAGAGAGAGGCGACTGCGTCGACGACGGCCGTCTGTTGGCGTCTCGAGACTCGCTGGAGCTCAACGTGGCCCTGCCCCTGTCGCAATTGTGCCGACCGAGGCTACTCGGCGATCGGCGCCCCGACGACGTCAGGGACGGCTGCGTCGAGCTCGTCGAGCTTTACCAGAGGTACGAGTGCGTAGCCTTCACGACGATCGCCAAGCCGAGCCAAACGACTCTGCCCTACGACGAGCAGTGGGTACAGACGTATCCCGGCAACCCGAAAAACCAGTGGACCCAGTACGAATTCGTTGTGCCAGATGAGTTTTTGGAGATCTGGAAGGACGACGACAAAGACGAGGTATACTCTTTAGCGACACTCGAGCACAGCTCGCGAGGCTAATTATTGAATTTGATGATTCTCCCTGGAAAACTCAGGCCAACAGCGACGAGCAGGGCGGAGAAGCACAGATCGAGAACGAAGACAACGAGCAAGAAGTGAGCGAGGAGCAACTGCAGCTCGAAAAGAAACGACGCAGTGCCAGGGAAAAACTGCAGCAATTTTTGAGAAACCGCTCCAAAGACCTGCTCGCCGAAGTCTCGTTCAATGCTTCGACCAATTTGTACAAAAACGACGTAGCCAACCTTAGTAAGCGCGAAACAATCATCGAGACTCGCGAAGAGCATCGAGATTATTACGCAGAAAAAGTTAGCCTGATCGATCTGAATGCGACCAAGGGCAAATATCTCTACGCTGCGGCATGGCATTGTAAAGTTGAACATATCATTGTGGCCGCTTACGCGGACAGAATGGCTAAAGATTACTCTCTGGTGGCAGTTTGGTCACTTTTGAGCCCACTCAGGCCCAAGATTATTCTCGATTGCCAAGAGAGAATTTCGATGCTGTCATTTTGTCCGATCGAAGACTACACCAACATCATGATAGGTGGTCGTATAGATGGAAAAGTCGTCGTTTGGGAAATAAACGAGTCGTTGCTCATTGAGAACGAGGAAGAAAGTGATTCGTAAGTTTACTTCTTACAAATGTGTATCTCATCGGCAATCAATCGAATTAACCGAAGAAAAAATTCAATTTTGGCTCAAGACTCAACGAAAGCACGTCCAACGAGCCGGAACACAAAGAGGCGAGAATAGCGGTCTCGGCAGAAAAGTCTCAGCGCAAATGCATCACTGGCATACAATGGCTGCCGACGTGGTGTCGAATCGAGTCCGACGGCAATTTTCAAAGGAACGCCTCGTGCGCCCCGAAGGACCGCAAAGTCTGCTTCGCCACGTCCTCGGCCGAAGGTACCATCTACTTTTGGCCTCTGCCGCGTGCTCTCTCGCGTCCGGCCACGGCTCGCAGTCCGCTTCATCTGACCATCGCACCGATTTATCAGCTCGTTATCGACGATCAGGACGACAAGAGCGTCGGTCCGATGGCCTTGACCTGCTTCAGTCTGCCTCTGGCCAAAAGCGAGGAATCCTCCAATCTGAGCATTCGAGACGATGCTGATTTAGAAAGACTCCGGAAGGTTTTCGTCGGTACGAACGGTGGCGAGGTCATGACCTGCACCTGGGAAAGCATGACTTTCAGTCTAGACATCAGCGACAGGGAAGTATGCAAAATAACGCACAGGTGCTGTCTGCACGACGGGCCGGTGCGCTCGATGATCAAGTCGCCGCATCTGGATGATATTTTTTTGACAGTTGGCGGTCGAGTCTTTGCCGTTTGGAAAGAGGACTACGACGAGGGGCCGATATTCAAGAAAAGGAGCCCCGGCTGCTTGTACGGCGAGGCCTGCTGGACTGGGCGCGCTGGGATTTTCGCCTTGTCGAGATTGGACGGCAGCTTCGAAATTTGGGATCTCAAAAGGAAAAGCCACGCGCCGGTTCTCTGGCAAGTTATATCGAGCAAGGTAAACACATCTATAACGCTGTTTCTCGGACTTGCTTGCGAGCCGCCTGCGACCCAAGTGCGAGTAAATTTATTTCCCATGTCAATCTTCATTTTCAAAGGTAACACCGTTCCTCTATCCAAGCCCACCTCGCAACAGTCATAAATTCTTGGCTTTACTCGACGGTATATCGAGTCTGCGTGTATTTTGCGAGCCCCACGAAAAGAGCAATAATAAAGAGCTCGAGCGTCTCGAATGGTTCGAGGAATTCGCTTGGCGAGAGACGCGACGTAAACGAGATTTTCTTCGCTGGCAAGCTGATTATTTGAGCAAAAATCCTGTCGCTTTGCAGAGAAAAATCGACCGAGAGCAAGCTGAAATACATCGGAAGCACGAGGAAGCGCGCAAAAAGTTCCTAGAGGTAATAATTATTTTACGAGAAATCTTTTAAAATTATGGGGATCAACTTCCGAAAAAGCTGCGTAAAAGTTGAACATATATAAAAACGAAGCTTTTGAGGAATATATTTGAATGTGACTTCGATGTCCCTCAAATTAACTTGCTTTTATCATATACATAATTAATCGCAGGAACAAGCAGAGCTGTTGCGAAGAGAAGCTGAAGAAAAGTTAGCTCAGCGAAGAGTATCGAAAACAATCATTTGGCGTCAAAACGAACTAAAGCGAGCTGAAAAAATAATTTTTGGTAAAAAACGTCTGGTGCCTCAAGAATTCGAAGAAAAATGTAGACCACTAGTTGAGTTAGAACAAGAGCGTAACGCAATCAAACAGAAAACCAAAAAATACGCACAGCAAGCTGACAGTATTTTTCATAATTTTTTGGCTAAGGAAATGTCGTACAGCACTTTCGATTTAATGAATAATGCTGGAAAAAATATTTCAAAAGGCGCTGATGACATCTTTGTTACAAAATCTGACGATCACGAACAAGTATCAAAATTGAACAGCCACGAGAGGGAAGATGAATTTCAAAAATTAAAAATAGATTTGTTGAAGCAGTTGAAAAATGAACCATATAAACCACGATTCGATTGGCACGAGGCAATGAAAGCTAGTGCAAGAAAAAATGTGTCTAAATAGTATAAAATAATACTTTCTTCGTTATAACGAAATTGAATTTTGTATAAGAAGTCTGAAGAATAATTTTTATAAGTAGAACTGAAATAATTAAATCAATTTATCAACCCGCATGATTAAAAATATCAATAAATTTTTTACAAATTACAGTCTTTCCTATTTCTTTTGTCCCAGTCAGACAAAATTTATTAAATACTTTTAAATTTTTTCTGAGATGAAACGCTCATTATTTTTTGTAAGAAATATTATTCTGACATTAAAATTTCTTTTATATACTCTGAAACTTTGATGTAGATAAATTCAATAGTAATGATTACTGTTAAATCTTATTAAACATTTTTATCAAATTCTTATTGATTAATTCATCTCATTCGTTTCTGTTACAGGTCCTGGGTATAATATGCATGGCATGTGGATCTGGAGGTGGTGGCGGAGGCAGCTGGTTCCTTTTCGTAGCAATCACAGCCTTCATCCTGACTGTGCTCTGGTCGCTTTTCTATCTGTTTTCTCTACGTGACGTGATAAAACTGCCCATCAATTGGCTGGCCACGGTGAGTGTTTCAAATAATCAGACGTTAATAAAATTTAAATTATTCATATAAAAATGTATTTCAAACGTTACTCGAAAATTTTCTTAATATTCAAGCAACTTATGTGCAGTGATAAATTCTCTAATCGTCAATTTACTTTTATAGGAACTGCTCAATACTGGCATTTACGCTATTCTGTACTTCACTGCATTTATCACCGAATTAACCATTGCTTACTGGACTACTCACATAGTTGCAGGAGTAAGTTTTTTCCATTTCAATAACTATTTTGGTTTTTCAATACTTCCAACCAAACTGACATATTCTCTTTTCTTGTTTAGGTTTTTGGAATTTTCAATACTCTCGCCTACGCTGCTGGCGCATATTTTCTGTATCTGGAATACAAAGGGCAGTAAAGAAAAGAACAAATGAGAATTTGCCAAAAATCTCTTTGCACAGCATAGGGTACACAATTAGTTTGCATCCATCCATTTCGTAAATAAATGTAACAGAATAGAATCGAAACATTGTATGTTTGCTAATGAAAACTTGATGTATCAATGAATACGATAAAAACGACTCCGAGCGAGAGAAAAAATTCAATTTTTCTAGGAGTCTAAAAAATTGAATGTACGAATGTACATAACACTTCATTTAATATAATAATATTTTACACAATGGCATCTTATCAACTTTTGTAGAAAGCCATATTGTTATACATTATCAATCGTCGATACAGCGCTACAATTGTATTTTTATTGTATGTTTTTCCACAAGATAGATATTAATATTAACTTTAATGTTTACGATAATTATGATAATTATAATAATAAAAAGAATATTCTTTTTGTAACAAATACAAATTATAATTTTTGAGAGCTCATTGTTCTATTATAATATACATTCAAATGATTATAATAATTTCACATTTTCAAATTTGCTTCAATTTTTTTGTAAATTTCTTTTTTTGTGGTACAAAAATTTTCTTAAAATCTGCTCGATCGTTTATTTACAACAATTGGATATTTATGTATTTTACTGCTCCTAATTAGCGTAAGTTTTACTACGCATAGAAGAAAGTATTTTATTTGCGTATTTTAAGAAATGTACAAATGTGGATCATAATTGTAACCGTTGATAACTTATTAGAAATTTGAAATTGTAACCAGTTTTAATTTTATACTCGAAGTGACGGCAAAAGTTATTGTTTCTCTTTATAGTTCGAGTTATAAAACGTTGATTTTTTTGTTTTATTAGCATTCGGTTTATATTGTTTTTTGAGCCGATTTAAATGAATTCGTAAATATTCTTGTAAGAGTTTATACTTGCATTTACTAAAATATTGTCATACTACGAGTATTAAAAAAAAATTATATATTTATGTTTATTATTTGTTAAAAAAGTACTGGCTTTCAACCACAATCATAATAAAATGTGTTTTAAATAATTTTATTCATTACTTTATAAATTATTAAATTTTATTAAATCTGATATTTTTCATAAAGTGTAACGTATCCCTCAGTGCTAAGACGAATACTTGAAAAACAAGTATGTTTCTCAAGAAGGAAATTGGTTTTTTAGAATTCCACGTGTGTACGATTCACAATTACACTGATAATTGAAAGAAAGTAATGCAAACGATATCATCTTGGTATCATTACTCGGTATGATTTCACGGCATTCTTACTCGATGCTAACACCGTATTACAATCCATCATTTTCAATTAATTAACGAAAAATAGTATTTTTCAAACGAAGTAGGGTATTATGCATCTTGTAATTTTGTATTCATTCATTGGTGATGCGTCAACATTGTAAAACCCAGCAGCTAAACACATGTATTCTGTTATCCAAAACCATCTACCTGCAAATGACTTTTGTCTCTTTTAAAATTATGGTGCAATGTTCTTTTTCTATTACTATCACTGGACTACTTGTACCATTTGTAATATAAACTATGTTAATTAATTTTTATTTTTTGGTTTCCATCGGAACGTGACATTTGATGATAACATTAATAGAGGCAAACGAAATTTGGATCGATTAGTAACTTCCTTCAGCTTAAATGTAAAAAATGATTTGAAAATTCGTAGCTTAATGAAATGAATTAACCGGCTAGAGTGTCTATTGCGTCTATATAATTCATAATATTATTGTCTGTGTATATGCGAACACAGTAAATATACCTTGTGGGTTATCAAAACTGAATTGACGCTCTCTTATAGTAATGTAATCATCGATTACAATCATTGTCTTAATTATTACTTAAATAGTATTATCATTCAAGTAAAAACAACAAAATCATAATTAGTGGATGTTTAAAAAATCTCAACTACACTCAAAATTATATTTAAGAAGAAAAATTAATTAAGGAATTCTTCATGAGAAATTGTATCTTATTTGTCATCAGCTATATTAGAATTAGCTGTATTCATCACTTTTATAAAGTTCGAATTCAAATGATAAATCTTAAAAATTACAACAGAATCGATCATACAATTTGCAAAACCATCAAGAAATTAATTTTATTTATCAAAGCTCTTTTTTACAACAACTTTATTATGGCAAAAAAAGTACCTTCTAATAATACTGCCTTGCATAATTCAAACTTAAGTTGTGGTAATACTCTATAAATTGTTTAATTTTATTTAAATTCCATGATTAGCATTTATGGTGTGATAATCAAGAGTAAAATCAAGTGTATAAAAAAAATAGCACCACAAATTTAGTGAATTGATCGTATTAGTGCAAAAGCTCTCTCCTTCGTTACGTTGCAGATTACCAGGTTCAAGTTTGGAAAAAATACGGGTTGAAAAATGTTTATTTTTACAACGGGCTTTGGCATTCCCTGGAACGAATACAATTTTCGATGTAATGTTCTCTCACGTTTTCGGCCTACGTGATCAGGACAAATTTTCCATTAACTTTTTCGTAATAGCCTGGGAAAATGAATATATCCACGATTCAGTCGATATGCACGGACGTACCGAAAAATACGAAAGTTGGACGGTGACCTCGCCCCGCCTCTACTTCACCTATAAAATGAATTACAAAGATATAGCGTGCGCGCGTGTTGTTGTTTTTGCGCGGTGTCCTCCGCCGCGGCGCCGTCTTCAGCGTTATACGCGATCGGCGATGATATCACCAAGGGGATGACGTCAGAAGTACAAAGCGCTTAGGTAGACGCCCGTCGCTATACTACCGCCGTCGCCGCCACCGCCGCCGCCGCCGTCGGAGCCGCAGCTTGGGGGAGTTGGCATTTTTCCTCCCGCCTTTGCACGCCTGTATTATGCGTCTGCCAACTTTTTCAACTCGGTTTGTCAGGCAGTCAGTCAGTCAGTCACAGCTGGACGTGCAGAGTATACCGATCGCACCAGTTGCATATTCCCGTTTTGGCGCTGTTTACATTTCCTAGTGGTTGGTTTTTATCTTGTGCTTCTTCGAGTGGAATAAAATACGGGTCATTCTTTTTAGACAACGGTTTTTTACAGTTCGATTTCGAGACAAATCTTTGGTGGTGATGTAGCAAGAAATTATCATTAATTGATCGCTAGTGGTCGTATGTTGATGCACTTCTTCGCGAACGCGGTGAAGCAAAAAACATTTATTTATAGAACTCGGCGTTTCTGTTTAAGAGCTCTGCTGCCATAATAATGTTTTGAATATAAAAATGCGATAAGAGCTTTTCGTTCGAATATGTTTTACAGTGCATGTATTCTTATCGTTATCTCAAAAACCTTAAACTCGGCAAAAATTTGTGAATAAGATAATCTAAAATTCGTGTATTTTAAAAGTGAAAATTCAGTTATTTTGGTCTTGAAAAATGATTATAGCAAAGCCCATTCGGTTCTGCATGATTTATTTTCTAAAAATACCCAACTTGCTTCTCGTATGTTATAAATTTTATGTTTCATATACACTTGTGCACATTTCCCAATTTCACATTTCTGTTCTAATTCGAAAAATCATAAACATAGTGCAAATATTTTTCAGTCGTCGTTTGTATTATAAAAAAATTATCGATTTCAAAAAAACCCAATTTTCTTGACATAAACATACGCAATCCTAGGACTTTTGTTATGAAAAAAGCACGAAAAATCACACGTGTCGAGTCAATCGCCTTATTATGGCATCGTTTTATGGGGCAAGCCATACAACGAGAAAACGCGTAGGTGGTAAAGCATTTATATATTGTAAAATCTACTCCCAATAGTAATCGGATGACTCATAAGAAAAAAAAACATCAAACAATACGATCACTCGCCAAAATAAAATTAGCTCCATTATGTCAATACAGAAAGAGATTTTTAACAGATCGTAAAACGAATCGGAAATTCGTGCGATGTTTGTTTATGTTTATTTTTCGTTACATGTATTATATCATACAAGTTGGACTTTGTCGTAATTGTTGATTCATATCAGAGAACCGAAAAGTGTATGATTTATCATACATTTCCAGTACGTCCAGCCCTAATTTTCCGTATCTCTTCCTATCTTAGTCTGCGCATCGTACACAGCGAGACAATTCATTTACGACTTCTGCGAACTCGGCGAGCGGAAGAGGCGATCGGAATCGAAAAAAGGGCGCGGAAAAGTGAAAGCCAGGAATATTACCGAGCTTGAGTACCTTAGGTTGCGAAGTAAATCGTGCTGGGTAGGATCGATTCAAAGCCATAGTGGGTGTGGATCTTTCCACTTGGTAAAGCTGTACAGCTTTTTAACCGAATGTAAAACTTTAAACGTTTTTTTCTGTATATTTTCTAAATTCGGCGTGTCTGTTGAATGATGATTTACTAGGTACATTCTGTACGAATCTCCTGTGTTTGAAACTTCTTTTACTGCCGAAATGAACTAACTAATGTACCGAAATTTAATTACGTACTATTCAATTTTAATGAATAATAGCATGAAACTTTCGAATGTGCGAAATATATGTTCAAACAGCTTTTGAGATATAGTATAAAGTGAAAGTATGACGCGAGAGATGCATTTCGAGATTTACAATTATGGTGCCGTTGGCGTCAAGCCGTAATGGACACCGTAGGAAAATAATATTGAGAGTATCAAGGCTCTGTAAGGTTTCCACGGCTAATGACAACTCAGTGAGATCGGTACGAGTAATTAATGCTTCAAAATCCTCACCTATGTGTCATTCAGCGAACGAGTTGCTGGCCAGCGTTGAATCGGAAGAAAAGACCCGCTCAAAAGATCATACGCTAAAGAAGAAAGGTTTTATAAGCTCGCCGAGCCAGAAGTTATTTTTAATTTATTTTACAACTTGTCCGAATACATGTTTTCATGTGTATATGATATACCTACATTATGTTGAGTAAAAGAAGAAGAGAGAGAAAACATATAGTGTTACACTGAAAAATGTGGGTCAGCCATCGCATAGTGGAAGTGCACACAGCTTGGCCTTGTGCTCTTTCAAAAATGTTTATATGGTCAGATCGTTCGTGTGACGCGCGCAGACTTTACGTTTATTCAATTGTCCCGCTGAAGGATTGCTCGTTAAATTTTACATTGCCCAAACGCTCTGGGCGTTGAAAATATTAATTGATAAATAAACAAAAGAATAAATACGCTAAAAATCAAACGATTCGCAATCCTATTTGAAGTAAGAGCAGTTTTCTTTTTTTTCTTTTTAGAGAGTTGAGCCGCGCTAGAAAGTCCCATCATGTCGCACTCTGTCACGATCCAAACGAGGACTGTCACAACCGGAAGTCCATCGGTCATCAATACCACCTTCTGCAGATCATGGAGTGGCATACTCAAACTCTGCCAAGTGGTTCGTATTTTTATCATTTGTTGCACGTACTTTTTTTATGTAATACAATGTTTGTATTGAATCATATTACAAACATGCCTATCGTGGCGTTAATAAGTATGTTTTTGGCTGCTCAAAATGCTTAAGTTCTGTCTTTATTGCTTTGACCAAAAAGATTTGCTTCAAACTATTATAAACGCATTTTCATATGAAAATGTAACGCCTCTATGAAAATAATTTCAAGGCTTACAATGAAACTCAATTAAGTCGCTTCAGCAAGTACATTTTCCTAAATAAAAAATGTTGTATACATAAAAATATCCGACATCAAAATGTCGTGCCCTTATCAAGTACCGTCCAGGCAAAAAGTCCTCATCGCTATTTTTATTTGGCGTTATCGTCAGTTATTAGTAATGCATGTGTGTCATGTTGTTATGATTCCTGTCTGTTGTTCTGCTACTTTTTTTTAATCGGAGTAAAAAGTTACGGCGTCGATGATGCAACTCAGAAAGTACGCATGATATCATTAATTGGAATTCGTTGGAAGATATTGGCATTGTACGAAGAGGAGCCGCGGCAATGGCATCGCAACAATGAATTTTTACCCATGAGCATTGGAAATATCTGTTCGCCCGTCAGAGATATTTGGCACAAACATTGCGTGTCATGGTTTTAGGCAATGGCATCATCGCCTATGCGCGAATAGATACATTTATTTGCCACTCGGTTTTCCGCGAAATTCATTTATATTCGCGTACACGTTTTCGGAGCAAAACGCGCCGAGTATTTCAAGCACTCCCGAGTGCAACGCAAAATGTCGTTCGGGCGATCAAACTTCTTTTTTTTTTCGCACCGAGCTCGATAATTAATGGTCAACACACGTCTCGCCGTTAAAATGTTGTTTGAAAACCTTGGGCCGCCTCCTTTTAAGGGAGCCTCGACTCGGCCGCCAGTCTGCGACGAATATGGCAAAATTTAATCGAGCCAAATTGTTCAATAAGCATTTTATTGGTATGGAATTACATTCCGTATTACCATTTGATGAATAATAAAGAATCAGGAAGCTGCGCGCGGCCAACGATCTAAATTACATGCCCGTGCCTTGAATTAACGCGGCGATCGAGAATAAATATAACTCTTTCGTTTGGTTTAATTGACACTCGTAATGATATATTGTTTTAAAAATTGAATATTTAACGAGTTATTCATATTATTAATGCAAGTCCTTCATACAACAAAGAAATTCTTCAAGAAGGTTTTTCATACCAATCTCATTTTTACAAATATTTTCAAGGGGATAATTAAGGTCAATAGTACTTTAACACTTCTTCAACGGTGAAAAAACGATCGATCTCATAACCAAATCTTTAATTTATTCCAAAATTGAAATGTATTATGCATGGGTTCATAATAAATGAGTTTACAATGATATTGTTCAAAACAAATATTGTGTGCTTTTCGCAAAAAAAAAGACAAATGTAATTAGTAGAAAAAAGCTGTACATTTTTTGTAAGAAGTCTTCGTTCCACCAATCATTAGTTGAGTTTTGACGAACTTCTTTAGTTAAAAAGCTAATTCTGTTCGAACTTGATGTGCGTCAAAAATACTCGCTGTTTAGCCAAGTCTAAAAATTCGTTGAAAAGACGCTTTCTTAACTCTTTTCGTTGCCGAAGCGAATATGTCGATGAATGTGTTCCATGAGAAAATCGAAGCAATAAAGAAAGTACTGAAGCATTGCAAAGAAACAAAAACTGATCGTACGAAAAACCAATGTAGATTCTGGGCGTCATCAGCGTGGGCTTGGTCGGTTACGTGATCAGTCATTATCCAGGAGCTTACCTACCCGTGACCGAGACCCTCTTCTTCATGCTCATAGCGACGACATTTATGATCGCTAGTTTCGTCCTCGTGCTCAGCTATCTCTGCTCCTACACGACGGAATCCATCATTTCAAAGACCATTTTCGTGAGTACTTCAATGATATACAATTTTTCATTTTACGTATCGATTCAATGCATGTACAAATTTCAATGATAAAAGAGATCAACAGATGCTGCATTCATAATGAATTTTTGAATAATGACGCTGACGAGTAAAAATTGTTATCCTCAAAACAGGAACTGCTGTATCACGCATTCGCGTTTGCTCTTCTTCTTGCCGCATCGGTGACTCTCTTGACGAAGGTCACAAGGGGTCGGTACCACCGGAGCGACAGCGAGCAATTGGAAATGGGTGCAGCCGTGAGTCTTACTTGATTTCATTATTTCTCCTTTATTCGCTCTTCTTATGAGACGTTCATGATTACCTTCTGAACTGCCAACAAAATGTTACCCAATATTCACCATGTTTTTTCTTTCTTTTCTTTGTTACAGATCTGTGGTTTGATAAACACAGTACTGTACCTCATAAGTACCTTATTTGCATTGCGTACTTCACGAGGTCTGTAAATTTTGACCTTGTCGTAGAGAAACACGCAAAGCTACCTTCGATGTATCAGGCAAACAAAAAAAAAAACACGCTCACTGCTCAATGGAGAGTGATGGATATTTACGAACAACACGATAATCAAATATCGAATACTTATTATTACGCTATTAAATCGCTGTATGTCGATGAATTAAAGTTGTTACGAATGTATTATTTTATCTGTGGTGGCGCATATATAATGTATTACGACAGGAGAATGAGAAATTTCCTGTAAACGATTTTGTTGCAGCCTTTGGTTATGACTTCAATTTCATGTACATCCATGACAAACTGTAATTTCAAATTGCGAACCGTAGTTGTTAAATGTAAAATTAGATCGATATATATATATTTATTATAAATATTACATTTATAATACTCCATATGTGCTGTTATAATATGTAAGCTTTCATCTCCCAAATAATGTAATAGTCCACAAAAACTGCCTTACACTCAAACGTACTATTGAAGTATCACGTTGGTTATTACTATTAATAAAAATAATTTAAAAAACTGGTATGAAATATAAAAAATTGTATAATGCATTTGTTGTTGGCATTCAAACAATATGCATTTTATTGTTATAACTGACGCACCTTTCATGTAGATGTTCAAAACTTTGTGTACTTAATTTCAACGTTTAGAACAGACTTGCGAGTTTCATTGTAATGTCTAATTTGTGCTATTCAAGAGTTATATGAAAATCATCTAATGGCAATGCTAAATGATAATATCTATGTAACTGATTTGAAATAATAATTTTAATAAACAATTTTATATGTTTTTGTGTTTTCATAACGGTGCAAATACTTAAAAATCCTATAAAAAGTGACTTCGCTATACTTTAATTAATTACGAATTAGTTAAACTAAACTACTAAGGAATATATCAAATGTAATTTTATCAAGTTATAAAAGAAATGCAATCATTTGTCTTGTTTATTGAATTTATACAAATTTAAATGAATCACTAATTTTTTTGATCTTCACCTTAGCCGAAAAAAATTTTCAAAACGCATTGTCTGATTTCTTGATCACTTGTAGTTTTTGATTATTCAACACACTTCATGTACCTGAATAAATCTGATGCAAAAAATTCAATTAATACTTAAATAATGGAAATAAATTATAAAAATTATGGGTTAATCTTTTATTTTCCAACCCTTAAAACTCCATACAAAAATAAAATAGTGATGAAAAGTTTTAATTATATTTTTTCGTTAATCTCAATCCTTTTTTTTCGACAGTGTATAGGTATTATAATAATGAGTTTAGAAGTTGATGCAATAAACGAGGTGGCCCTGACTGCCGGGGATACTTTTCTCATGTTGATGGCAACAGCATTTATGATAGGAACTGCAATTTTCATAATAAGTTACATATTTTCACCTGTTTCTGAAGCTATTATTGGAAAAACTTTCTATGTGAGTTTTACATAAATAATATTATAAATCAAAAATTTTTCGCCTCTTACCAACAATTGAATCAAATTATTTGCAGGAAATTATTTACAATTCATGTGCCTTATTTTTTTTATTAATTGCTTCCATTACTGTGATTGCACAAGAAAGTAATAGAGCCTTCGGAGCAAAATTAGCTTCAGCTGTAAGTTCTGGAATTGTTAATAATTCAAAAAGTCTATATCTGAATATTAGTAATCTTTAATATTGTTTACAGATTTTGGGATTGATTGATGGTATTTTGTATGCTCTAAGCTTGGCGCTAGCAGTGAAATATAAAGTTTAAAACTTCATAACAACTCTACAACAAAAATTTAATGCGAATACTGTAATTTCAAGTTTTGTAAAGACAGTAATCAAAAGTAAATTTAAATATAATGTGTAACCGATTGTTAAAAAAAGTGTATTGTGTAATATTGCGATAACTTCCAACGTTAGCGATTGGCTATTAAATATCTTCGCTAATGTAACCATTTTTTATCTAATAAAATATCAATTATTCTTCTATTAACATACATTTAAAAATTTGATGTATATTGTAGTAATGACATATATTTAATTTACATTACTTGAAAATAACGTTTTATATTATTACCAGGGAGGTTCCGCCCCCCCCTGCTCGCTTCGCTCGCCAACCCCCTCTGTTGAAGAAATTAATCAAAAATACGCAATTGTTCTTATTTGTTATATTTTTTGTTGGGTTTATTAAATATTTAAATATTATATAAAAAGATGAGCAAATTATATACTCCACAACAAAAATTTTGCATCAATAATTTCCACTGAAATTAAGCCAAATATATTTTTAATAGGGGGGAGTAAATTCCGAGTAAGTAGTCGCACTTAAGCCTAACACCATAAATAACAGAAAAAAAAAGATCTTCTAAACGTGTACCTTGACCACAGTAATTTATCTATCCAAATTCAACATACACCATAGCGAAGTCATCTTTACGACCAGTACTTGAAAACGAGTTCTCTTCGATTTTTTTTAGTGACCTGTAAGACGTTGTGAAGATATTGTTGTTGAAGATAGTATTGTTGTTCATAAACTTTTATTAACTTTTATTAGAGTCTCAAATACCAATGTTTATATCAATTAATACAAGTTTACAAAAGTTACTAGAAGTTTATGAAAGTTAATAACGTTTTATAGCATAAGATAATTTCCATTAGGGCAGAGACAAACTTTTGATAAAGTAAGAATTTATTCATTCAAGAATTTATTCAATTATTAAAACATTCCTCGTGATCAATTACGCGTCATTTCAACTTGCGCTAAAAACAAACATTAACTTTTTGTCTAAAACAAGCTAAAATCTGACAATATTGAAAATATTGTTATTTTGATGAGAAAAAAACACTGTCTTTTCACTGTTGGAACCGAAAACAAAATCCGAAAAACAAAAGAATATGAAAACAAAAGAACATCAGTTAAACAAATAAATCTCACAAAAACAAAAGAATACCTTAAAAACAAAGGAACATCAGAGAAACAAAAGAACATCAGAAAAACAATAGAACATCAGAAAAACAAATGAACCCTATAAAAACAAAAGAGTATCAGAAAAACGAAAGAACTGAATTAAATTATACAAAAAAGATATAAATTGAGAAATAAATTGAGATTTAACCCAGCTAGAGTGCATTAAATTTGAAATTATTTAATTTGGAATTCCCTGATCAAAAATTGTGATAATTTTATACCAACAACGTGTAACCGCACAAGATAGTACCAAAGAAGGAAAAACCTACATGTTGTAAGGACAACTTGAAATTTTGATCGTTTCGAAACGGAAATAAGATATGTACAGAGGTTTAACCGTTCCATTTGAGAAAAAATATATTATATCGTCCAAAATTTTGCCGAAGTAACAATTTCTATTGATATAAAAATTCAGGGTCATTTGATGCCAACTATCAAGAAGATATAGAGGTCGCAGATTATGGGAATAAAGGTAAATGTAAATAATTTCTCAAATAAAAGTAAAGAAAATTATAAGATAAATATTAATAAACATGAAACTACTAAAATTTTTAGTACAGGAGAGAAAATAAACACGATGGTATAAATAAAAGAATTTCCGCACAGTTAGCGACAAATTAATTCATTATAGCAAATATTATATTGATGTTAAAACAATTAGTTTTTTATAAAATCAATAGTGCATAAATCAATATAAAAAATGTTCAAATTAAGAAAAAAATTATTAAAACACTGTACGTATCCTAAAGTACAATTAAACTTTAATTATAATATTTTTAATATCTTAAATTATGTACAAGTAAATTTTATAACAATCTAAAGTGTTTAAAAATGATTGTTTATTTACCAAATATGTTATTTTTTTCCAGTATAAAAAAAGTATTTAAATATACATAACTTGAAAAGTTATTATAAAATGTCCATTTTTACATTGATTTTATAAAATTCACATTATTGAGGTAACTTTATCGCAAATTCATTCTTCTTTTCAATTACTGAAATTCAAGTTCAAATTATTTTTATTGATACTTTGATTATCAATTGCCGTTTTATCAAAGTTTCGATTACGTTGTCAAATCGTTTAAAGTGACCGAATAATTCGGAAGCAATTAAAAATTTGCCTTAAGACCACAAAATCAGAGAGATAGCCATAAAAAGTTCATTATCCCCTCATTCAAACGCGATCGTTCACTTTTGAAAATGATGGCAGACAAGCATTATTAAAGTAAATAACTATATATAGCTTGAATTTGTGCAAAAAGTTTCAGTTCTCGTCGGAACATCACCGATGAAGCCCGACCAATGTTAACGTAATACTTGCGGATCGTCAAAATTGGCAAAATGAAGAGTATATCGATTTGTTACGCCTTGGTATTTGTACTGCTTAGTGTATCAGTCGGTGCCAATGCGGGTCCATTGGATTGGATTTATAACTTTTTTAGTTTTGGAAAAACAACTTTTGGGTAAGCATAGACTATTACCACTTCTGAATTTTTACATGCATGCAATTTGTTTTATTAAAACAGCTAATCGATATTTTTTCTTTCTCAGATTTGATGGACGTTGTTACGTAGAAGATGGTATTGTTCACCATACCTTCGATGATGCAAAAATAACTGATACTTGTAAGTAGAAAAAATGTTATCTTTATAAATAGTAATATTTTATTGTAATAATAATTTATTCTTTTAGCTAACGTTGGTTGCGAGTATATCTTCTTTCAATATGAAAATAAAGTAACAGTGACTTTGCAACAAAATTGCGATGTAGAAGATGCTGAAGTAAATGGATGTCCTTACCATGTTCGAATTTACTACGGCAATCAGATTTATAAATTGAAAGCTCAAAATAAAAAAGCTAACAGACTTTTGACTTTAGAATCATCCGGTCGACAATTAGAATTGCCACATAAAGTAGGGTCGAAAGTTCGATTTGAAAAAATTGATACACACTTGGAAGTATTTTTCGAAAACTTTAAAATTTTCTGGAATGGGCATAAACTTGTTCAAATCGATGTGAAGGAAAAATTATTTGGAAAGGTCAGTGGTACTTGTGGTAACTACAACGATAAATCACTCGACGATTATTGGAAAGGTGGAAGTTTGGATGCATATCGCTACAATGAAGATGGTTAGTTGAATTTTACTATTAAGTTACTTCTGAATGCACTTGAAGCACTCAGTTTGTAAATATGTTTGATTTTTATTCTACTGAAATTACTGAATCAATTTTTTCCTCACAGAAAAGTGCGAAGCTGTCCGATTTTCAAAAAATCCAAATTCTGAGCTTTCCAAAATTGTAGAAGTAACGGAAGAAGAGAAATTTTGCAGAGCCCTACTATCAAATCCAAAATATAGCGAGTGTATGAAACCCGACATCAAAGTTTTTGAAAAAGAGTGCGTGGAAATTTATCAGAAATGTGACAAGAAAGACAAAAGAGCTTGTTCCTGCGATGCTTACGGAGCTCTTATTAAAAGCTGCTCTAAAAGAATAGATATTTCGCACATTGGTTGGCGCGATTTCTACCTTTGTCGTGAGTACTATTTTTTGTACATTTTAATTTCAATATCATTCGTTACATTATAATACTTGAAATAATATTTTTTATATCGAAAAGTACAAGAGTTTTGAAGTTACATCGCAATTACCTATAATTTTTCCCTCAGCTATGAGTTGCAGCGGCGGTCAAATCTACTCCGATTGTGCCGTTGCCAATCCAACGTGCTCTCACCCAACAAGAGAATCCCCTCTGTCCACCTGTGACGAAGGCTGCATGTGCCCCGAAAACACCGTACTTCACGAAGGGAAATGTGTTTCTGTCAACGAGTGTCCCTGTCTGCGTCACGGCAAAAAATTCGCCTTGAACGAAGTCATCAAGGACGACTGCAATACTTGCACTTGTCAACCGATTGGCCAGTGGAAGTGTACGAACGAAAAGTGTCCCGCCAAATGCAGCGTCCTGGGCGATCCTCACTACTTCACCTTCGATGGGAAGAAGTACGATTTCCAAGGGAAGTGCTCCTACTATCTGGTCAAAGGAGACGATTTCAATGTAATCGGTGTCAATGGAATTTGCGATTACGGAGCTGTAAGTTTTTGAAATTACATCGATCGTCGACTGAGCAACCTTAATTAACCAGTTTTTTTTATGAATTGTTTCAGGTTTTCGGAGGCAGGGACGTTTTACCGGGAGAGCCCACCTGTACTCGAAGCGTAAAAATTAATTGGGCTTCGACGACAATCGAGCTCATGCGTGACCGTCGAGTGTTCGTCGATGGCTCAGAAGTTACCGGTCAATTACCTGTTACGGTAGCGGGCAAAGCAATCGTTCGACACATCAGTAGTTCTCGCGTCCTAGTAAGGCTACCCGTAGGACTCGAAGTAATTTGGGACGGAGTCTATGATGTTAACATCAATGTCGCCGAAAAACTGCGTGGTAAGTTATTTGAACCGAGATAAATCGAGATGCTCCGGATTTTTTTCAAACGTCATCGATATCTCCGATAGGAAAAGTTGCTGGTATGTGCGGAACGTTCACGTCGACCCAGAAGGATGACTTCTGGACACCCGATGGTTCCACCGAAGTCAGCGTCTTTGCATTCGCCAACAAGTGGAAGGTTGACGAGAATTGCAAGGATGTGAGCGAAGAGCCGAAACACACTTGCGACGCCCACCCCGAAAAGAGAGCAGTCGCTGAAAAGTATTGCTCGGTCATGAAAAACACCACGTTCGAGAGCTGCAAAAATGCCGTGAACCCCGAGCACTTTTATCAGATGTGCTTGTACGACATGTGCGGCTGCGAATCGTCCAAGCTCGACTCGTGCCTGTGCCCGACGATCAGCGCTTACGCTCAGCAGTGCGCCGTGAAAGGCATCGTCATTCCGTGGCGCCAAAAGGTCGAGCAGTGCCGAGTCTCCTGCCCCATGGACCAAGAGTACCAAGTCTGCGGCAGCAGCTGCACGAGATCCTGCGGCGACGTCTCCCTCGACAGCGAGTGCGAGGAGCAGTGCGTCGAGGGCTGCAACTGCCCGCGCGGCCAGAGCCTCGACTCCAAGGGCAACTGCGTGCCCATCGCCCAGTGCCCGTGTCTGCGCGACGGCAAGGAGTTCGCGCCCGGCGTCAGCGAGGTCAGAACCGTCGACGGCGTTCACCAGGTCTGCCAATGCGCCGCCGGCAAATGGGACTGCAAGCCGTTCAAGGACGACGACCCGAGCCAGCTGGACAGCTCTCATTTCCCGAGCTGCGAGGCCGACAAACACCTGGAGATGACGCCGTGCGAGCCGGCCATCCGGCGCACCTGCCGCAACATGCACGAGAACGTGGAGCAGAGCCCTGCTCGCTGCCAGGCAGGCTGCGTCTGCCAGAAGGGCTACGTGCTCGAGTCGCTGTTCGGCTCCGACGAGTATCGCTGCATCCCCGAGAAGGACTGCCCCTGCTACCACGGCGGGCGCAGTTACCGCGACGGCGAGACCTACCGGGAGAGCTGCAACACCTGCCAGTGCAACAAGGGCAAGTGGAGCTGCTCGCAGAACGTCTGCACCGGGGTCTGCTCGGTCTGGGGTGACTCCCACTACACGAGCTTCGACGGCCGAGAGTACGACTTCTCGGGCGCCTGCGAGTACGTCTACGCCAAGGGCCAGCTGTCCAGCTCGATGACGTTCGAGGTGAAGGTGCGCAACGTCGCTTGCGGCACCACCGGCGTCACCTGCTCCAAGACCATCACCCTGAGCATCCGCAACGGCGACGTTCAAGAGAGCGTCGTGCTGGAGCGCGGCAAGGAGCTGACCGAGACCACCCTGAAGAATCTGCGAAAGATCGAGCACAGGCGCTTGGGACTCTTCTGGAGATTGAGCGTCAAGAGTCTCGGCCTCGAGCTCGACTGGGACGAGGGCACTCGCATGCACCTGCGACTGCTGCCCTACTGGAAGAACAAGGTCCAAGGGCTCTGCGGCAACTACGACGACGATCAGACCAACGACTATCAGACGCCCTCGGGCGGTCCGGCCGAAGCCAGGGTCGAGTTCTTCGTCGACTCGTGGCGCGTCGACTCGTACTGCCCGGCCCACTCGATCGACGAGAACGAGATCGACACCTGCTCGAAGCATCCCGAGCGCAAGCCCTGGGCCACCAAGAAGTGCGGCGTCATGCTCGGCGAGACCTTCGAGGCTTGTCACTCGGCCGTGGCGCCCGACGACTACGTGAAGAAGTGCATCAACGACGCCTGCGCTTGCGACGACGGCGGCGATTGCGAGTGTTTGTGCACGGCCATTTCCGCCTACGCCGAGGAGTGCAACGCCCACGGCATTCACATTCAAGTGAGTTTTTCACGATTATTCGATCGATCAAGGAAAATTCTTTTTACCGCAGTTCTATAACGTCATTTATTTTTCTTCAGTGGCGCAAGCAAAAGCTTTGCCCGCTCCAATGTCCCGCCGGACAAACGTACCGTTCGTGCATCTACTCGTGTCCGCTCGAGAGCTGCGAAAACACAAAGATGTTCAAAGATCTGATCGACACCGAGTGCCAGAATCATTGCTTCGAGGGTTGCGAACCGGAGCCCTGCGGCAAGGGATTGGTCTACACGAATTCGTCCTACACCGAGTGTCAACCTCGCGACTCTTGCAAAATTCCTTGCATCGAGTTGAACGGACAAAAGTACTACGAAGGGGAGAGGGTGCCGAGAGGCGACTGCGAGAGCTGCGTTTGCGCTGCTGGCAAGCTTCAATGCATAGAGTTGGACACGCCAACTTGCAACAAGTACGTACTCGAATGCGACGCTGCTGCTAAATAAAATTGAATTTTTCATTATCTCTTATCGTCGTGCCTCGTGATTCTCCAGGGAACCCAAGTGCTCCGACGCGATGGACGCCGACACCATCGAGTCGATTAGATTCTCATCGGCGTTCCCGATCGGTACCACCCCGAGCGTAAACATCTCGACCGAAGGAGCTTGGCGACCCATGAAGGACAACCAAGAGCAGTTCGTCGTCTATACCTTCGCCAACGAGACGGTGGAGCTGACCGGTATCGAAACCAAGGGTATCGACGGCATGTGGACCAGTGCCTACAAGGTCCTCTACAGCCTCGACGGCGAGCAGTGGCTGCCCGTGCGCGACTCGCGCGGCTACGGCAGGATATTCTACGCCAACGACGACGATCTGCACGTCAAGAGAAACATGTTCGGCACCGAGATCGTCGCCAAACACTTGAAGATCATTCCGATTCAATGGCACTTGCACCTCGCCATGAAGATCCAGCTGCTCGGTTGCAACTATCGCAAGTACGAAGTACCGTGCAATCTTTGCTACGGCGTCGCGCCGGAACCCGGTGTCTGCCACTGCGAGGACGATTCCAAATACTGGGACGGCAAGAAGTGCGTCGAAAAAGCTGCGTGCCCTTGCAACATACCCTCTGGCCAGAGCTCGTGCGACTCTTGCACTTGCGAACCGGGCGGTTTTGTCGAATGCAAGCCAAAGGAATGCCCCTACTGCTCTCTGGCTGGTCAACGACCGACGCTCAATCCTGAAACATGCGAATGCGACTGCAACGACTGTCCCAAAGATCACAAGATCTGCCCAACTAATGGCGATTGTATCCGCAATGATCAATGGTGCGATGGTATCCAGGACTGCCCTGATGACGAGGATATAACTTGCCCACCCCCTGATCCTCCTAAAAATATACCACCCCCTGAGTTTAACGGTAAGTATATTGTTTCAAATTTTCGATCGTTTAAATATTTCAACAAATATTTAATTTTTGCTTTATCATGAATTCAGAGTGCCCCAAAAGTTGCCCGCCAGACTTTAGATTAGTTACCGAAGAAGAAAAAAAATCTGGATCGTTAAAATATATAGAACTTTGTAATGGAATGGTATGCGTGCCTGAAAAAATACGCTGCCTGGATAAATGCCCGGAAGGTTTTCAACTACTATATGACCATTCTGCACATAACCAAGATACGAAAATAATTGTTTGCAACAATCATTGCGTACCGACTCCACCCCCGTACAAGACCTGTGAGAACAAAGGTGGCCATATCGTTACTTTCGATAAATTACGGTACTCACAAGAAGTGTGTCACCATGTGCTCGTTAAAAACGCCGATGAGAAAGCCGAAGATTGGTTCATTATCGGTAAGCTTGAACTTTGCAATTTTTTGTATGATACTTTATTGACTGTTGTTTTCTTTTTAGTAAACGAAAAATGCGATGATGAGTACAAGTGTCAAAAATCGTTACTTGTAAGATTCGAAAATCACCAAGCCCAACTGTTCGCCGACCAACACATCATACTCGATGATTTGCCATTGAGCCTTGATCAGATCAAGGTCATCGGAGAAGTGATGCCGAAGGGAAATGACAAAATCAAGATCACATCTGTTGGAGGCACTTTGAGAATCGAGTACCGTACTTTGAAATTGTCGGCGTCCATAGCGACCAACGGTGACATCGTCATCGAGGCTCCAGTAACGCTGCATAACAAAGTCGTCGGCATGTGTGGCAATTTCGATTTCCAAGCCAAAAACGATCTTGACTTTATTCATGTTGAAGGAAGTCTGAATCAGACGTTCGCCGACTTCTGGAAAATATCTAATACCCCAGAATGCACAGTCAAGGCTTGTCCAAGGGAACGAAAGAGAGAGGCGTGGAAATCTTGCGTCGCCGTCAGGGAGGAGCCGTTCTCCAGTGTTTGCCCGAAATCCGTAAACAGAGAGCACTACATTTCCAGCTGCCTCGAGAGCAACTGCGAATGTTTAGGCAAAAAAGAAGGAAATAGAGATGAGTGCCGTTGCGAGGCCCTCTCGTCTTTCGTCGACGAGTGCGTGTCTGCTGACAAAAATATTAACTTGGCTAGCTGGAGAACTACTCATAAATGTCCAGAGCCTTGTAAGCCACCCTTCGTCCACAAACCTTGTTTCAAGTAAATCGTCACAAATCTAACTTCAAAAAACTTTTTTTTCCTAAAAACTTACAAAATACTCTCTCCTTAATATTGCAGAAATAAATGCGAGCAAATCTGTCTCGGGCTTCGTCAAGAAATACCTTGCTCTGTCTTGGACAGCGTTACGTGTCTAAGTGGTTGTTACTGTCCAGACGGTATGGTCCGTGACAAGGACAGCTGCGTCAAAGTCACCGGATGCAGAAATTGCAACTGTCAGGCTATCTCTTCGGGAAAGATGATCACTTTCGATAAAGCCAGCGTACCCTTTGAGGGCAGTTGCAAGACTCATTTGTTTTCCAGGCATAGAGTCGATGAAAACGAACAAAGTTCCTACGAGGTTTGTGGCATTTTTCGTGATTTTAAAGTACTTGTCTCTAAAAACGTTTCAATTAAACGTATGAAATGTGATTTTAAAGGTTTACGTTACAAACGGAGAATGCAAAGAAGATACTTGCATCGAAGCTATAACAGTCAAGTACGATTCTCACCTGATCCATTTGAAATACAATAACTCAACTCAAAAGGTATGAAAAATTTGATATCGGCCAAATGGCGCAAAGACTGTTTTGTCACGACTCGATTAAATTAACATAACTAAACGTTTAGGTGAGCAGTAGCGTCGACTCGACAGAAATCACCAAATTACCTTACACAACGTCGTGGTTGAAGCTCACGGAAATCCCGAGCGGCGGCGTCAACATGCTCATCACTACCATTCAATTGGAGATCGCAATGCCAAACCAGTACTACGGGCACATGTTGAACGTACCATGGGGGACGTTCGGCGGCGCGATGGAGGGTCTGTGCGGCGATTGCGACAATAATCGTGGAAACGACGAGGGCCAAAAGTGGCTGATCGAGTCGCCGCCACCGTTCGTGATGCGCGACACTTGCGTCCCGCCCACCACCGATCGCACGTCAAAGTGCGACAAAGTACCGACCACCGAGCAATTGTTCAATTGCGACGCATTGGTCAACGACAAGGCCTTCCAAGTTTGCCACGCGATTCACTCGTACAAGCCGTATCTCGAGGAGTGTCACAGAGCCCTCATGTGCGGAACGTCCCACTGCAAGTCCATCGCTGCTTACGCCGAGAAGTGTTCCCAGAGTGGTCTCTGCATCGATTGGCGTAGCGAAAATATGTGCCCCTTCAACTGCCAAGATGGTACGCATCTCTCCATCAATTATACTTGAGTCATTCGATCGTATTTTTTTGGCCGTTCTTCACATGGAAACTTTCGTCGTTTTAGGCAAAGAGTACAAGGCCTGTGAATCTAGATGCAGCAAAACCTGCGACGACCCCAACGGATCATCTTGCAAGGGGCCAAAGATCTACAGCGAAGGTTGCTTCTGTCCACAGGGCCAAGTTCTTCACAACGGCAAGTGCGTGAGTAGGACTCAATGCTCCATCTGCGACAACGATGGACACGTCGAAGGCGACGTCTGGACCGTGAACAAGTGCGAGACGTGCTCGTGCCACAACAAGACCGTTAATTGCACGACCAAGACCTGCCCCAAGGCCCTGCCGATTTGCAGAATCAACGAGAAGCTCGTTCTGAGATCGTCCGAGGACGACTGCTGTCCCGTGCACCAATGTTGTGAGTAGCTTTCAACGACTTCTGACAATCAAACAGATTGCCCCCTTTTTTTTTTCTTGCAATCGAATGCCAAATTTCTTCCACAGTACCGGACGAGCCGAAACCCTGCGAGAAAAAGGACCGAGAAGTACCCAATTGCGGTTACGGCCAAGAGTTGAAGGGCATCAAAGATACCGACGGTTGCACGAAATTCATTTGCGGTAAGCCAAATAATTCACAGCTCGCCAATCGCAATTATTTTCTCACTTGATATTTACACGCAATTTTTGTAAACGCTCGATCAGACTGCATGCCGAAGGATAAATGCCCACCGGTGAGCAGACTGGAAAAGACGCCGCTGGAGGAAGGATACGAAGCCATTGTCAATCACAGTGGTTGCTGCCCAAGGATGGAAGCGGTTTGCAAACCAGAAAATTGCAGACCAGCTCCAATTTGCCCCAAGTACTACAAACGTGTGTCCGAGCGAAGAGCCGACAACGAGTGCTGTCCCATCGCGCACTCGTGCGAGCCCCCCAAAGACTTGTGCCTGCTGACGAAGGACGACCAAGTACACAGTGCCAAGAAAATCGGCGAGAGATGGCAAGTGGACTCGTGCGAGTCGTGCGTCTGCGAGCTCGACCACGAGGGCGCGCCTCGTATCGCCTGCTCGAAGCAGTCGTGCCTGACGGAGCTCAGCCATCCGGACGCCGAGGAGTACGCGCTGCGGCCCGTGAGGCTCGATCAGCAGTGCTGCCCGGACTTCGAGCGCGTCGCTTGCAAGCACAACGGCGCGACTTACGCGCCCGGCCAAGTCTGGTATCCCAACGGGGAGGACAAGTGCACGAGCATGGTGTGCGCCGAGGAGCCCGAGCACGGCCTCATCAAGAGCCAGATCGTCGAGCAGTGCCCCGACCAGTCCTCCTGCGAGTTGGGCTACGAGTACCGCCACGACGACGCCAGCCACGAGTGCTGCGGCAAGTGCGTCCAAACGGCCTGCGTGCACGACGGTCAGGTCGCGGTCGTCAACGAGACTTGGTTCTCGCACGACCACTGCATAAAGAGTACTTGCCTGTCCAACGATCATTCGGTATGGAACATTCAAATTCTCGCTTTCTTTCTCTCCTTCCAATGAGAAATTCACGAAAATTCTTTTGTACTTTGCAGATTCAAGTGCAAGTCACCGAGGAGAAGTGTAACGAAATCGACGAGAACGAGAAACGCGATTACGAACTAACAATGACCCACGAAGCAGGAAAATGTTGTCCAGTTTACGAGCGTGTGGCTTGCAAACACAATGGCCATCTTTACAAACCAGGCGATGAATGGATTTCCTCCGATGACAGCTGTGTCTCGTACAGATGTGTCCCTGCCGAAGACGGCAAGCCCCTTTTTATCTATTCTATCACGCAGACGTGTATTAAAACTTGCCCCAAGGTGAGACAGCTGGTTTACTTATCTTGTGCATATTTGATTTTGTTCAATATTTATTCGTACTTTCTTGCAGGGTTCGGCATTATTCGAACCCAAACATGGACAGTGTTGCGGCGAGTGCAAACAAGTCGCATGCGTCCAAGGCGACGAACTTTATGAGCCGGGTCAATCTTGGAAGAGCGATAACTGCACCAGTCATGAATGTGTACAAAAAGATGACCAAGTGAGCGAATTCACCCTTGCACGATTATTTCTAGTGTAGAACAATTATTTAATCAATTCTTTATTCGATTCGCAGTTGATGGTGACTACAACAGTAACGGCGTGTCCCAAGTTGAATTGTAAGCTCGAAGATGCCAAATACGATGATACAGGTTGCTGCAAGGTATGTCCACCGCCTAAACCAGAATCGATCACAAAAGAGTGTGGCGTAGAAAAATTAAACGCCCAATTGACGATGCACATGATCAAAGAAAATGACGAGGTTCATGGGCAGTGTATGAATAAAAAATTCATCGAGGGTCTGACCGAATGCGGGGGTACTTGCTTCTCAAAGACTACTTTTAACCCCTGTAAGTACTGCTAAATTCATTGCTTTTAGAAAAAGTACGAATAATGAAAATAATGACGTGACATTTTGTTTTCTCAGTGACCGGTAATCAAGACGAATATTGTAAATGTTGCAAACCAGCTAAATACATCGATATCGAGGTTGAAATGTCTTGCGAGGATGGACATGATTATAAAAAATCCATCTCAGTTCCATCTTTATGCAGCTGTGAAATATGTCCCCAGCATATTTAAACATATTTATAATCTACAATAAGTCGGTTAAATTTTTAATTCGATTTAAAATGTAAGTCTAAATCCACTTTTGCAAAGACTTCTTAACTATAGTTGTATTAGTGAATTCGGATTGTACTTTTGTCAAGTATTACAGTTTTATCAATGCATTTTGATGAAATAAAAATAGAATTTAAGAAATAAATATTTGCGTTAATATTATTCTAAAATTTCACCCATCACCGTTTCTTAAAAATATTTTTGAGGACAAAACTTTGTTTATAATTTTATTTCGAGAGCATAAACAGATGCAACATATGTTTTGAGAGTAAATAACTGTGACTGATGTAACATGATTCTTTATAAATAATAAGGTACACACTACACATAGTACATAGGCTCAAGTCACAGTCTATGTCAGTGTAAAATGACGGTCATGCACAACATACGGCGTAAAAAGTATAAGGCTGTACTAACCACGGCAGAAGATGGTACTGGAACTCACACCTGCGGAATCAACTCAAGTCGGTTTTCTAAACAGTTTAATAAATAGTATATTACTGCCCTAGGCCGCGAAAAACAGAAAAGTCCCAGAGTACGTGTAATTAGTCGCCGAGACCAATTAACACGTGCTCTAGGGCTTTCGTATTAAAAAATAATTATTGTGTACGAAAATTCAACCCATCAGATGAAAGCAATGATTCTCAGTTTGTTTATATTGGCATTGCCAAACAATTACTCAGAATTTTAACATCCCAGATGGATCAAATATATTGTATAGAATTACAATTTAATATTGATGGTACACCGGCGGCTTACGAGGCGCACATCAAATTAACACGTAAAAACGTGCGCCATAATTGGCCCCGATGATGCGCCTCAATAAGATAATAACAAGGCTCTCTTATATTGCAAATTACTCAATAACCAATTGATGAATCGTCGATATTAAAGCATTATGTTAAAGTAGGGCACAAATACTTCATCTTCATATGTACTATAAATCGCGTTTGAGCTGTGAACACTATATTCTCAAGTTTAAAACTCGTAATTATTAGATGAAAACAGACGAATTTTTTATATTGCTTGTCATTCATTATTGAAAATATAAAGCAATAATTTTTTTTGAAAAAAATTAAATGATTGACATGTATAGAATATACTACATAAATTTTAGTAAGCTGAAATATCTCAAACTATGCTAAATGAACGTGCGCCGCATTAGACGCTGCGCTATAATAGGCGCTTTTCCCCTAATGATAATTTTAGTTACCGGGCTGATTTTCGTATAATTCATTTTTAACTATGATCAATAACCAATATTTGTTAACGATACGAAATAGCATGTGGTTTATTCGATTAGATTGTCATACGTATGAAAATTTTGTTGGCCCTGAGAAGGGCCGATTGTAAGTTGTAGCTGCTTTAGATCAATTTACTTCGAGCTCGTATATTTGGTTACGGCCTTGGTGCCTTCAGAGACGGCGTGCTTGGCGAGCTCACCGGGCAACAGCAGGCGGACAGCAGTTTGGATCTCCCGGGAGGTGATGGTCGATCGCTTGTTGTAGTGAGCCAAGCGGGAAGCTTCGGCGGCGATGCGCTCAAAGATGTCATTGACGAAGCTGTTCATGATGCTCATGGCCTTGGAGGACACACCGGTGTCAGGGTGGACCTGCTTCAAGACCTTGTAGATGTAGATGGCATAGCTCTCCTTCCTCCTTTTCTTCTTGCCTTTCTTGTCGCTTTTGGAGATGTTCTTCTGGGCTTTGCCAGACTTCTTGACAGCTTTGCCGCTAGTTTTAGGTGCCATGGCGAGAATTGGGATCTTGCGAACTCGAGAGAATACGAAAGAATGAGGGGACACGAGTTTGCAGTCTGTATTTATATGAGCGGCTGTGTGGCGCGCGAGAAACTGACTCTACCCCCTCCACCGCTACTCTCACGCGTCGGCACGAATGGCTCGCGTCGGGACGCAGCCAAAGTATAAATATTCTGACATGCCCAGCTAGCAGCACATTTGCTTTTGCAATCGTAACGAGTGTGCAACTCTCTTTCACTTTACATATTCATCATGTCTGGTCGTGGTAAAGGTGGCGCTGGCAAAGCCAAGGGCAAGTCAAAGACCCGTTCAACTCGTGCTGGACTTCAGTTCCCAGTCGGCAGAATCCATCGTCTGCTCCGCAAGGGTAACTACGCCGAACGTGTGGGAGCTGGTGCCCCAGTCTACTTGGCCGCCGTCATGGAGTACTTGGCCGCTGAAGTCCTCGAGTTGGCTGGCAACGCCGCTCGTGACAACAAGAAGACCAGAATTATCCCAAGACATCTCCAGCTGGCCATCCGCAACGACGAAGAGTTGAACAAACTTTTGTCTGGAGTCACTATTGCCCAGGGTGGTGTACTGCCCAACATTCAGGCTGTGCTTTTGCCCAAGAAGACCGAAAAGAAAGCTTAAAGTTACAGGTGTTATGCATATTTGCGACCGAAAAAGGCCCTTTTCAGGGCCACCATATTTGTCAAACGTTGAACAACCGTCGTACACTATCATTTCTTTGAATTAATAATAAATGATCACTACGATAACTTAATAGTTGCTCAAATACCAAAATATTTGAAATTACCGGAATGCCGGTCAATTTAACAAAATTGACGATGATTCAGACTTAAATATTGATGGATTTTTTTATAGTTAAGGAAAAGCTAAATGCCATATTTTTCATGATTTGTACGAATGCACCTACTCGAAAATCGAAATTGAATCTCACGGTCAACAACACTGCTTAAGTTTTGATTCAGAAGTAAGTCCACATTGTGTTAATGGTTCGAGAATCGAATTGGAGATCTTTAAAAATTCTTACGGCTAATTACGAATTTACGATTAATATTGAGTTATAATCGATAAGATGAATGATACGTAATATCAAACATTGAATGTAAAAAATGCCTAGAGTGTAGTAAAAAAAGTTTTTTATTCTTTTAGAATTAAAATTTACAATTTTGTAATAAAAACTTATTTTTTAAATTAATTTACAAGATTCAACTATTTTTAATAATTATAGCGTACCCCTAAATCCATTGAGCAAGCTCTAGCATAAGCACTACCTTCAACTTTCAATAGTAATATCAACTGTCATAAAATTCATTCAATAATCGTTTCAAGCAGACCATTTTTATCATACTGCAATATAACTCAAATTGTTTAAATTTCTAATTATAAAAGTTATTCACAATAGCCATAACAAATAGTTCGTTACTCTCGAAATAATTGCATCAAAATATATTTATCGACGATAATCAATCATTCGTACAAATATAATTTTAATCTTGACGTAAAATTTTGAATAGATAACACCTATGTAAATGCTTTGTATTGCACTAGACTCATTTACAAAACAAGCGATGAATATATCATCGATTTTTAACATTTTTATGGTCCTTTCTGTTACTTCTAAAAGCTTCAAAAAAGTGTTTCGGATCCGAATACTTTTCCCGCCAGATTTCAAAGTACCGATCGCTGCCCAATATTTTTTCCGGATCAGTGATATTGAATTCTTCTCGCAGTGCCATTTTCCATACCTAATTGAAAAACGATAGAGCATAAAATCGTTGAAAAGTGTCTCGTAAGAAGTATAGAAAATTACCTGATCCTCGGGGAAAGGAGTGGGTGCCGGTTTATTGCCATGGCTCCCATTAATGAACGGCCTGACATGATGAAGGAAGTAATCAACGGTTCGCAACTTTTCTTCGTCGATTATTCGAAAAGTGATCAGCCGATCGGAGCAACACTTGGACGCGAGAGGATAATACGCGCGTACGATGTAGCTGTCCGGCACGATGGCTCCCCGCAACATCGTACTTAGAGGATATCCAGTAAACGTGCCCTGTTTCTCGCGATCTCGAGTATCCGATGGATGAATCCCCAGCGACCTCAAATGTTTGCCTGAAACACGTCGTAACGATTGACGATTATTTCATTCCATCCTCTCGATTATTTTCCCCGATTAGGCACAAAGCGCTATTTACCCAAGTAAAAATCTTCTTTTTTCCAAAATTTACCGCTGGTCGCGCATTTCTTATGAGTATCGTAGACCTGCATGAGTTTCTCGAAGGCCCCGTAGCTGAGGACGTAACCGGCTTGCGCTACGTTGTACGGTAGACCCCAGAGAATCACCGCATGTCCCAGATAATGCGGTTTCTTGTAGTCCAAGGGGGCCAGTTTGTAACGCAAATTTTCCGCTATAACGTAGGTGTTGTCCAAAACGAATATCGTCCAATTCAGTGAGATTTCATCTCTTCTGTTCCACAGATAATTCATCGACTCGCACAGGAAGTGCCATGAAGACGTGTACTTGATGCCTAAATTTATGACGCCCAATTTATCGTCTTGAAGGCGTTGAGAAAAAAATATGAAGGTATTGCAGCGTCTGCCCCAAGTGTCTTGTATCGTCTCGGCGAGCTTCAGTTTTTCTACGAAAATCACGCAAGTCACAGATACTTTTTGCAGTAGCCATTCATCTTCGGAAATCACATTTTTCCCTTGGATAAAAAAATAACACGCAAACTATATAAATTAAGGAACTTTTAGGCGATTTAATGCGTGAGAATTCACAAATTATTCTTACCCGACACAGAGCCATAAACATGAGAATCCGCGTCAACCGTCGAGAAATGAATGTTTAGATTTTCCTGCCATTTTTCGAACGTCGCAGAGTCTTGTACTGGATACAACGTTGTTTTCAGGCCTTTATCTGTTTGAGTTGACGTTCCTGTGCCATTTTTCGAATGCTCGATAAAACAAACAATGAGAAAACCAAAAAGAAATCCGAAAAGGAAAATTGTCCGTGGTTTGCGAGGTAATAGGTTCATTATACTATCAGGATGGAATCATAATAACTGAACTTTGTAATTTTTTGCCTGTAAATAAGACCAAATATTCACTCAACGTGTTACTGTTTTCCTACCAAATTTTCGAAAGTGTTCTATTGGAATATTTATATATATACGAGCTTCGGAGATTAAAAAATAATTTTTGAAAGATATACATGTATATAAAATTAGTAAAATTTTGCCATTTTAGCAATAAACTTTTATATTATCATTAAAAATCTTCATACAATAGAATTTAAGAATATTCGTTGACTATTCATACTTCTATCAATTTTAAGTTAGACCTATCTGTAACTTTTATTTAGTTGAGCTAATCAATTCTGTATACAGAATTTCTATTCATAAATTAAAATAAAAGTAAATAGTATTTAATTACTATCTAGGTTGTATTAATTAGATTTTCTGTCAAGACCATTAACTCCAATAACTCTTCACATAGTTCCAAATTACAAAAAACATTACAGCAGCACAAAGCTTTAACACATGATAAAATATGTAGACATATAAGTAATCTATTAAAGATTTTTTCTTTTTTTTTCCTCCCTTGTTTGAATCTTTTTCCTCTGTGTTTTTCATTATGTATTAGGCTTTTGATTTTTATTAGTATTTTGAAATATTTTTATCAAGAGGAGAAACAATAGAAAAAAACAATAACAATGAGAAGGAAATTGTTTTAAGGAATATAAATGAGAGGTAAAATTCAAAAACTGATTTTCCCTCGAATTTTAAAGAATCCAAGGCCTGTTCGGTTGTGCACCAAAGAACCTAAACCAACATAGTTTTCAATGACAATAGAGTTATCAAGCTTTTGACAACTTTCTGGTAATAATTCCAATAATGTTGAATGAAGTTCATGAACATCATACTTAGTTCTATCAGACTCTGATCCTGCAACAGGTTATTAACATTCTAACACTTGTCTCAAAAAATAAAATTTAATAAATTATTGAAAGCTTTTCAAAGAAATTGGAATTTTTTTTCAAAAATATAGCTTTCATGAAATTTATTTTTTTATCTACACGTTTTTAGAAAAATACCTTTATGCCAATAGAGAGGATGACTTGAAAATGTTAACCATGGAATGTTTTTGGCAAAAGGATTCCATTTTTTATCCACAGATAATGGTTGTCCCTTATTCCACATCAATCTCATACCAAACATATTTCGATTCCTAATTTGAACATTGGGTATCAAACCAATAAAAATTGTTTAAGAAAAAGTACATTTAATAAATAGGAAATAACAAAAAGATCTAAATAAAAAATGTTGATAAATGAATTATATTCAGTTCAAATCTACTCAATACTCAACTACGCAGGGGTAATAAAATTAAGACAGGTTTTCAAACTAACAAAAACCGATTAAAAATTAACTAGTTAAAAAAAAGAAGATGAGATTTATGTGCACACTTCAGCTGATGAAATTATTAGCATACAAACAAAACATGAAAAAATAAGCTTGTAAATAAAAAATAAACATTAAATGAATAGAAAAACAATAGAAAAACAAGGTACAAATAATACAGCCTATGTATCAAGTACCTTGGTTCGAATTGAGCAGTGCTCGATAGTGAAGTAATGGAGGACCATTCTTGCCGCACAGCACTATGTATTAATGAAGAAAAACCTTCCGCAAACCCATTCAAGCGTCTGGACATCCATCACATTGAGAAAGTATATTTTTGATTGTGACATTTATTGTTAGCTCAATTATTTTGTTATTATTAAAAAACAACACTTTTTACAAGAAATAGATATGAAATTTAAAACTTACGGCAATAGTGAGGCAGGTGGATAAACAAGTTGTCCAGCAACTAATGTATCAATATCTTCTAAAGATAATCGATTATATTCTAATATTCTCAATGATATAAGATCATATTTAACAGTATACAAGGAATGTTTGGTCAAAAGAACTAATCTTTCTTTTTCCGTGTCCCATAAACTTATCCTAAAATTAGAGAATTGAAAAAGTAAAAATATAATCAACTAGGAAAAATTATGTTGATAATAGTAAATACTCAGTAAGCATCCATGTTCCAATAAGTTCATCTTCTTCTGCGCTACTAAGTAAATCGCGCTTGCAATCAGCCAGGGCTCTTTCTACAACGTCGTTCCTATCCGAGAAAAATGTATGACAGTCTATCCGAGTGTATGGAATACCAGGAACACCCACAGGAACACTATTAGCATCGGACGATGATGTTACACCGGCATCTTTATTTTTTACACCTAAAAAATAATAAAGATCGGTGACAAGTGAGGTATGCAATTTTTTACCAATAATGTCTAAATAGATTTCAAGCCGGTTCGAGTTATTTAAAATAAATAAAAAAATTACTTCGTGAGCTTATGGTATCGATGTTTTCATTTTTGATTTCCAAGGTAGCCCTGTCAAAAGTTGGCTCCTCGTCCTGCAAAAAGGTATCGTCCATTTTTGGTATAGGTTAGATGAAATTTTTATTTAGAGTCTCTAACTACGATAAAAAGCTTATAATTTCTTTTCCCCGGCTGAATTTTGAGTACTCTGCAACTTATATATTGGTATTATTAAACAAAGGTAAGTTTATTCACTTAAAGATCTTACTGCTCAACTCGTGCTTATCTTGTGTTTTAATACTGCGCTTGAAATGATACGTATATATATATTATGAATACAGTCCAGCCAGCTGTCAGTTTACAGTTACCTACTGCTGTTCTTGGAATCGAATGGATTGGTCGAATCGATCGCGCTAACTGCACAAGCGCATTATTATCAAAATGGTACACAAAATTAGTAGTGAATTGGATTAAAAAAATCAAATTTGTGTATTAACTATTTTTCCATTTTTATTTATAATAAAAAAACTTTTCATTTTATTTTACATTACAACAAACATATATTTTTGAAATTTCTTTCGTGGTTTTTATCCTTTTTAAACCCCTTTGAAATTAAACTATTTAGTTTATTTTATGTACAGTTACAATTCAGATTGTACAGAGTGAATGTAGAATTATAACAATTGATAAGAATAATAAATACTTTACTATAAACTAAAAGTTTGAATGACTTAGGCGTTGAATGTAATAGATTAACCAATACTTGGTTCAACGATTACATTTCGTGAACGCAAAGTTTAATTTGTATATTTTTTCGTTTTTATTTCTATCACGATTTCAATGAAATGTACATAATATTTCACAATCACATTTATACCATTTATCAATCATTCACTTGCATACGTCTATTATCTACATGTACTTCGTAATACGTATAAACATGTGTTAACAAAAAATGGCACCAGAAAAATATAATTTTTTCCGCGTGCGACACTTATTGCTCGTTTTTACAGCGTCAGTCTTTTGAAGAATCACTTAAAACCGGTAATAATTTGTGACTTAATCACGTCTTTTACGATATAGAAATCGAAGATAATCACTCAAATAGTAATAACGCTTTTGCAACGTGTTCATGAAAAAATCTTTCGCGATTAAAGTAATAATAAGCCTTGCTCATTTGTAAAGGTGCATATCGTCCAGCACATTTTCTGTGGAAGTGAGAGTAAGACGTCTTTCTTCGTGCATTCCTTTAGCATAATTAATTTGTCTAGAAACCTGCAACAATAATTTAATAAAACAGAATCAATGAAACTGCGCTTTCATTTGAAATTTTTATTCCAATATTGGTGTCGTAAAAACTTACCCATTTCGCAACCTCCTCATTGTCGCATCGTACTTTTGGTCTTCTCAACATTTCGGCAGCACCCTCAAAACTAGCCATCTGATTAGATGATTCGGTTCTCGATGTCAGTTCAATGTAATGTAGAGTACTGCCATTAGCTTCAATTCTGTGGGTAGGCTGACAATACAACAAATCAGCCAAACTAACTTCGGTAACGACGCATTTACTATTACCAGATATAACAATGACGCGTTCATTGGATACTAATACTTTCAAATTGTCTGCCCCCGTGCGAAGACATTCGTAAATAACAAATAGTTCAGAATAGTCGCGATTGTTAATGCTGTGCAATAATTCCTGACCCTCGGTTTGTTGGGAATTATATGGTGGCAGAAGACCTGCGGGGCCAGTTGGTACTCGCGGTAATCGGTCACGCTTAGGTATTTGTCTGTGTGCACTGTAAACGGAATATTTCATTATTTCAATTTTTGAAATACATAATATTAATAAAATAAAAAGATTGATTTCATACCTTCTACTACTTTCTCTGATAGCAATGCTACTTTCAGTAGCAAAATCAAGTATTCCAACGGCTGGTTTCGTTATGGTCCCAACAACACCTTTTCCAAGTCCAGCGAAAAATCCCTAGCAATAAAGATGAAAACATATTAATTTTCCAATTTTATAGAGATACTTTTTTGAATGGTATGTATTTACCGGAAACCCTTCATTTATAACACCATCGTACGTTTGCTTTCCAATGCTTATCACACCACTGAATAATCCAAATCCTAGACCTTTGAATCCTGCTACCAAGTGATCTTTACTTCCAGTTGTATTCGATCGTATTCTCTGTCTAACTTCCTCGTGCCAATCGTCCATTATTACACGACCAAAACCTTCAGAAAGCGATTCTGATAATTTTGCAGCAGAATTGGAAAACCCGTGCGTCACATTTTTCACCAAAGTCTTAACACTTCGATCGTAAATTAGACTGGAAACTCCTTCCGAAACGTCATTCACGAATCCTAAGGGACTGCCCAGAAAATCGACCGAGCCTAATATCACCGCAGCCTGCCACTTGAGTTCCTAAATTTTTTAATTAAAATTATTTTTTAATTATTCAAACAAAATAGTATAATTTGATCAATACGTACATCTTTGTAATGTTTGATGATAGAATGTATCAAAAACTGGCTACTCTCGAATGGATGTTTTCTTATAAATGGTTCAAGCTCGATAGTGGCATCTTCAAATTTAATCAATGTTAAGCCGAGTTTTTTCTTTATTGCTTGAAGATGTGGTGGAAGTTTGGTTGTTGTAAGTACGCTCAATTCTACTTGACTCGGTACCAACTTGAGAGCTGCGAAATAGTAACGCTTAGCATGAGCTGCAGAAACATTCGAGATCAGACGTTGAGCATTGAAGTCATTTTCATCTACTGGAACTTCTTGGTCAAGTGAGCCGGCCCCGACAAATGCGGCAAATTTCAAAATCAGACGCTCCTCAAGATGAACGCAAACTGGTTTAACGCTGACTATCAAATGTTTATAAATTTCAGCGTTTTGATTTTTTGATGGTAACTTTTCAGCAGCAACGTGAATCGCTGGACGGGAATCACCTTCACCTCGAGAAGCTCTGCAATGTATCAACGTATAAAGCTCATACTTTTTTTCATCATTATTCGCACTATCTGAATTCTTACCTTGATATGTACACGACCGAAGTACACTGTGCTTCAAATAATTGATTGTCAATTTGTACATCGTTGATACTCAATTCCAAACTTTTACTAGCAGGCGTGTCAACGTAATCGAGTGCAATGCCGGCAAAGCGTGCAAATATCAATTCTTCAGCTGGTTTACTAGATACTAGAGATAAACCCAAACCGGCTGGTAAATCAACGCTCAAATACAATTCTCGTGCATCAATAGCTCTCAATTCAGCCACTTCCAACTGCGTTGGACGCTGAGTTACAGATATATTTGACCAGTCGCGTTCCTCTAATAAGGCAAACGTACGCTTCTGAAGAACGAAATAAATTTAATGAAGGAATTGTAATAGAAAATTTTTGAGTTATTAATTGGTGACTTACTCTTTCTTTAATATCTAAAACTTGTAAGACTCTCGTAGGTCCATCGGTAGTGACTCGTACAGACAAATAACCAGATCCCGGTCTCAATCGTTGTCTGGCAACGCGTTGCTCGATTGGTGGTGGATTGCAGTGCATTTGTGGACCCAAAACCGCTTCGCTCCCTATAAAATCCAAGGAAATTTAATTTTAAATAAATTGAAAATTGATTTCATCAACGATATCTTTTTACAGTAATAACTAAATTTATCGACTACTTGTATTAATTTAAGGGATAAGCAGTTTTTTTCATCATAATTGATTTTATCTTTCTACAAATGCTTAGTCCTTTTAATTCAAGTGTAAATTCTCGAACAAATACTATCAAATTTTGAAAAAAAAATTTAAAAACGATTTAGAAACATTGATAAAATTCTAAACATCCAATCTCAAAATAAATAGTATTTGAATTGAGATAGTAAAATAATAATTGTGCACTAGTAAAGGATACGATAGTGCATTCAGAACCCAAATATTAATGTAATAAAAAGGGAAAAAGTAGTGCAAATAAAATCGCGTGACAGTTATAAGCGTTAAACGAATTAGTTTGAAATGTTTGAATTATGTTATAAATTAGTTTAATAAAAATTTGCAATTTAAAACAATACAAGTAAATGCTGAGTTATGATATATGATGTATTCCGTAGATTAATCATATACGTACACATTTGCCAACGGGCGACTCTGCCGCCTGTAAAATTTGATTTAGCTTTAAACCTTTTATCAATTTTCTTTATAATTTTTTGCGACGAACATGTATTAGATTTTGAAAATGAAAGATATGTTGATAGTGTAAAATTAATTTTGAACATGAATTATAAAACATTTTACTTTGTTGGAAATTTTCAATGTACTATAATTTTGAAATAAATGATAGAAAGTAGATTGAAATGAATATAGTGAATGAATGAATACAATTTTATTTAATTGTCAATGCAATATTACGCGAACAAACGAACACGATTAAAATATATTTTAATAAGGTGCTTGGTACCTAAAAACGCTATTAACAATGTAGTCTTGATTTAGTTTTTACAAGTTTAAATGAAATTTTAATTAAAATGAAAGATAAAAATGAAAAAAATGCATGCTTCAGAAATTCCAGTACGTAGTACATCAGTACGCTTATCAGTACTGATGATTCAGTTCAATTAAAAAACATCATACCTTCTTGCAGTCCCATGAAACCATCCTTCGATTGAACGCACATATTCGCATGAACACAGCAAAGTCGGCCATCATCGGTGAAACGCCAAGTTTGAGTGGATCTACGCCTTGGATCAGGTCTTCTCAAAGCTAGTGGACAAAAGGTGAAAGGTTGTGGAGCAGTTCCAGCTATATCCAGAACTAGCACAGTATCCGGAGTTCGACTATGCTTATCTCTTGGAGGGCTTGATCCTGTAAAATATTACAATATTATTTAGCTGAAAATTCGATCGATCTAGACATTTTTAAATGCTGAATCAAATTTCACCTTCGTGTTGGAGCTGACCATCTCCAGTCATTCTCCAGAGCTGAGATCTCGCTCCATATTGCTTTCTGCGAAGTGCCACCCAACCACCAGGACCAGCTTCCAAGACCAATCTTTGGGTTTCGACATCGAGAGGATCTAATCCAGCTTCGCCTGTTCCTAGATCACCATCTGCTTTGAACGTTCCAGTAAAGGCGATGTAGATGAAATTTTCGTACGTTAAACCCCTGCACTCGCCAAGAACATTCAGATCATAAGCAGCCGTTACTCCACCGGGTGCTGTTACGGTGAGACTTGTTGGCAATGTCGGTTCATCAAGAGCGTATGGAACCGAACAATGAGGTCTAACTGTCCACTGCAAACTATCTTGAATGGTGGTCTAACCAAAAACAATTAATTTTTATTATAAGATCCAGCAGTCTATCACATGATCACAAAATATTTAAAAAATTGTGCACCTACCTGATTCAGTGTTAATGGAACCTCTGAAAAGTTATCGACTCGAATCGGTGGTGGCATAGTGTGTGCATCGGTGAAAACAATGAAAAATGTACTTTCTTGTAAAACTACGTCGACGCGAAGGAAAAACATCTGGCCAGTACTATCTCTAATATTAATAGTCAAAGAATGATTCCCTTGTAAAAGAATACCGCCAGACCACGAGCAATTAGGAATATTAACGACTCGCACACAAAGTAGTTGATCTTTATCGAGCCTTGGCCAGTGGAAAGGCATATGACAATCTGGCATTGCTGTGATGTATGTGGCTTGGGCAACAGGATGAGTCTATTCAAAATAATAGTTAACAAATTTTTCTTCAGAATCAAAAATTGAAATATTATAAATTATTTTACTTACCACAGTAGTTGTGAAACACTTTTGAGCAAGTTCTAATGTCCAAGATGATTTATTGTGCAGTTGATATCTTGGAGAAAGCGTAACAACGGTTGTAGCTCGATATCTACCTCTCGCAGCTCTTGCTGTTATTCCGATCAGGTAAACGATGTCGGGTCTACCATCACGTAAACAAACCCTTAAACGGTGGACCTGTAAAATTGAAAATATTTTCAATATAATGATTCTCATTGACACCGAGAGCCGGTTTTAAATTTACTTGAACGCCAGGTTGTAAATGAAAACTTTGACACCATTGTGGTATGCCATTTGAATGAACTCCAGTTCCTACTCGAACAGACAGTGTACCGCTAATTTCCTCGTCGTTGAACGAGAAGAGCAACGGTGCAACCATCCTCGCTTTTTCGTGCTCTTCAAATTGACCAGCAAATTCATTGCTGGCTCCTTCTTGTTTAAACACCAAAGGTAAACCAGTTTTATTAATAATCCAATAAGGTGCAGTAATATTGATTCTAGTTGCCATTCCCCGCTCTACTATCACTGTTGCATGAATGAAGAGAATTCGGCCTTGCGAATCGGATAGACGCATTCTTCCCGTGAAAGAGCAACTATTTTGTGGAAGAATAAACTGAAAATTTTAATAGCAAATTAAAATTCATGGTACATTTGCGAAATAACTGATAATTTAAAAAAATATCTGAAAAGTTTACATACTGTTCCAGAACCAGGATAACCATCCATTTGAATACTGATTTCCAGTTGATCGGTTACATTCAAGCTATGCAAATCAGAAGATTCACCAGGTAAAATACGACCGCTCTCGGTACCAACAGTAAAGTACAATTCGTGAGGTAAAAGATTGGTCAAAGTCATTGGTGCTAAAATAGTTATTGTATGTCCAGGCAATGTTTGCGATGTATCGACTGGATAATTGTCCCTTCGCACAGCCACACACATTCTGAAAGTTTGCTGCAAGTTTGGTGTTCGACTAGTCGTCTGCACTTCAATAACTTCGTTCATCTTTTTTACAGTTGTCCAATCAATTGGTTCTATGCAGTACTGATAAGGATGACCAGCTTGCACTGGCTTTACATACATTTGTACATCAGTATGACTTAAAGGGATGGAGATACGAGATTGCGCGGGTACTTGTAAAATTCGGCCTGTTAATGCGGATGTATAAGTTGGAGAATCTAAAAATACCAATTAAGGTAATAACTAATAAAACTCATTGATGTAAAATATAATCATACTTACAGCCATAATAACTCATTGATTTATCCAATTTTAAATCAACACTATACTTCAATTTATTGATTACCTGCAGAGCCGATCTTACAGTTACTAATTTTCTCGCAGATCCTTCTAATTCTACGTTGAAAACTATTCTAGCTTTGGTATTAATCATCTGAAAAAGATAAGGATAATGAATTAGAATAAAAATAAGATTTAAACGTAATTTATTAGATTACACACCTCAGAACCTTTGAAGTCAAAACGTGCATGTCTGAAGTACACACCAACTCTATCTACTGTAACGGGATCAACAACTTTCCATCCTTCGACAACTACGGCGACCTGATGACGCCTTACAATGTGAGTTGAGTGATGTCTCAATTTACCTCTGTTTTCAAAAGTAAAAGGTATCGTCTCTCCCGAAGCGACTTCTAGCCATGTTTGATCCTTTTTCAAAGCATTTTTACGCAAAAAGTCTCTATCGACGATTCTATCATCCTCAGCGGTAGCAATCAAAGTTTTAAACCAAATTCTAGAGCCTGTTTCATTCTTCAGAGCAAATGGTACAAATGGAGAACGTCGTCTGTAGTTTTTCTTATCACCTAAAGACAAAGTTTCACCATATTAAAACATTTATATCCATAGTTAATGAAATTTCAACAATAGCTATCAAAACCTTCTTCTATAAGAATTATACCTTTATTAGGTTCACTTAACGAGTAGTAATCTTGAGTCCAATTTTCTTTGACAAGGGTGAACATCTCAACGAGAGTCGAAGTGATGTTAACGTTAACCGAGTCTTGCGAGTCCACGCGTATTCTCAATCTTTTTGAACTTAAAGAAGAACTCGATAATGCTTGTTCCCATTGCATAGATGCGCGCCACTGTTCAACGAATGGCTCCCAGCCACTTAAAACACGATTGTAGTAATCAATGCTAAAAGTACCGGACACATCACCAGGGCCACAATATTCTTGTCTGAGAACCAAGTCGACCAGAGTCAGCTCGAGCAAGGGCACATCAGCATCTCTACAGTCATCGATGATGCAGATTTTTAAACACGATGTTTCAAGTCGAATCTCCTGAAAAATTCAAAGTAAAATAAAATAAAATAAAACTCAAATTCACATAAAAAATTATCACAAAATAACGAAATTTCTTTGTACCGTTAAAGGAGAATCATCAGAGCTCGTAGTTTGCAGACTACTAGGTACTGCATTTTGAGTGAGCCATAAAGCTGCATCATCCAAATGACCGTTGCACTTATCCAAAGCAGTCTCACAATCAACCTCGGTAAATCCTAGAGCAGAAAGCTTCAAGATGTGACTTTTCGAATTGGCTGGCTGGTTTTCATCGAGAGAACTTCTTTGACGAGCTAGAAGTGTCTGTTTTGGCAGGGAACGTAACATCCGTGTGAACATGTTGACGTCATGATAGCTGAGCCTGACACTTAGAGGTTGAAGATGAATTTCCAAGCATTTTTCGGCTGTCAGCTCTAGCGAGGCACCCACAGGATCGATTATAGAGAGTGCCGTTTCCTCTTCTGCAACCAAATAGCAAGTGAAAATAAAAATATTGTAAGCAGAAGTACATCATAATTAAAAGTGCACTATCACTCACCTAAGCCTAGAATACACGAGAACAATTCACAATGCGATAAATTGCAACTCAACGGTTTTTCTCCATTTTGACTTTTTGATCGATACGCAAGTACTGCTGTACTCTTGAGTATTACTGCGTTGGTATCCCACATTGACGTATCCTCGACTAATACAAGCTCAGACTCAGTAATGTTGAGTTTTAATTCAAAAGGCATTGCAACTGGCTCTTCTTCGATACTTTCTTTGCCAGCAGCAACCGGTATGGTGTGCAAAGGTGCAGGTTCTGGAGAGTTTAATACAAGAATGTCTCGCACAGCTTCCCACCAGTCTAGAATAGCTGTCAATCGCATACTGTGCAATAAAATTGTTGTAGCCGAGCAATTTTTTCTTTTTCTGTGATGAACTTCGGCTTGGACTCTATCCTCTGCAGCTGAACTACTTTTTAACGGTTGTAATATGCTCGTAAATACATTAGATCTGCGATTAACTGGCTCATCTTGAAATCTCGTATCGGTAACAAGAATTTCTCGAGAGACCAGATCTACGTCTTGCGATCCATCGCTCAAAGATTCGAGTATCAAACGAGATTTTATGAAATTTACACATGCGAGAGCTGCTTGATCTCGTTCTGAATGAAGTTTCAAGGTCACATTGACTAATTCAAAGCTAATAAAAGACGTCGTCCAGGCTTTACTATTAGAATCCACAGGAATATTCGACTGATCCGAGGTACTGTTATCGCGCGTAAAAGTACTCACAAGATCGTCGAGGTTTTCACCAATATTGTGAGCTAGTAGGCCACGTATGAGCGTGTACTGAGATGGATCTAAGGCACAGTCCATCGTGGATAAAGTGCCATGTACACTAACTTCCGGGATTTCCCGGGTAAGCCAAGCGTCGAGATTTCTCTCAATTCTGAGTTTTAAATGGCATTTTTCGTTGAGTAAAGAGGGTCCAGTTTTTTTCACTGCATAACTACCGATGTTCAGTGTATCTTCTTCGTCGATCGACTGCTCGTCATAATTACCGGCTATCCTTTTAGCCGTGTAAACGTCCATGTTGACGAGTTCTAAACTCATAGTATCTAAAAGGCACTCAGGATTGATACTTGATGCAACGAATTTATTGTTAGCCGACAACTCTCCGAGATCCAGTAGTATTAATTCTTCGGATCTTGAACTGACTGGCAGCAAAATAACCGGTGCCCCGGCGTGAAGCTCTAAAGACAGTCTGGTGCTGCGTTTCTTAAAATCAATGACTGCGCTACCTCCGGCTTGGAGATTTACCATCACGTTACGCAGCTGAGCAAAATGAGCGAAAAACGCTTGAAGTTCGGCAATGAAGCGCTGCGTGTGCACGTAATGCACCGATGACATTTGGAGTTTCAACTCAGCGTCGTGTGGCCTGCTCTGAGAGTTTGCGTAGCTCGTGTACTGAAAATTCAAGGCCTTGCGACCAGACGTGACGAAGCGCTCTCTGTAGAATCTCCCATGCGGTGTTAGATCTAGGAGAGACATCGATCCCAGCGATCCCGATACTTTCGTGGTCTCTCCAGTTTTCACGATATGCGTACTGGCACTGGAAATATTTACACGGGCTATCTCTCGCTCAGATTGCGTAAGCACCAGTGTCAAAGAATTTATTTCGATCTCTGTGTCCGAGTGAACAGGTAATTTAGCTACTGGACGAGAATCGGGTTCGTCGATGTTTATTGTCGGGACAGTACTGATGACTACGTCAGAACTGGGTGAACCAAAGCCCAAAAAGTCAAGAACGACCATCCACGACTCAACACTAACAACCAAATCGAGACAGTTGAAATCGATTGTCACACGTTTTTTACGATGGCGATTTGGAGTACCCGACTCGGATTCGTTGGTAGTAATGTTAATAAGAACGAGATTTTCTTCTGTGCTGATAGCACCTGGTGATGGTGGTGGAGTGTTAGGAATTTCAATTGCGGTTACTGGTTTACCACGCCGCCAGTGTGATGGTACAGGTCCATACAATGTATCAGTTTCCAAATTATCAGGCAAGCTTCCATAAAGTCCGGAAGATTTACGCAGAAGTCGAGGAATTGTAAGATCTGGGCAAGATCGTGATACACCTATGAAAAAAATTAATTAATTCTCAGCGTTTATACGAATTGTTTTAGTTTCAAAATTGGACCATTAATTCTTACCTGCTAATAATCGAGCTCTAGTAGGGGCGGACGACTGCATCATGTAGCGATGCCGAGAGCCCACAGGACACAAAAGGTCTTCCATAAGTAGCGAACGTAATGAAACTTCAGTAGTTGATTCACCACGTTGAAGTTTTTCAAATTTGGTACATAGGTCTCGCATAGATAGTTCGACCAGTGGTTGCTCCAATCTGCCTTCTTGTTTTAATTCGACGCTCAACGCCGGTATTTTAAATAAAACTTTTATAGGCAAGTCAAACTTTTCTGTATAGGAACTTTCATCGCTAGCACTAAAAGCAACATAATTTAAATTAATTTACTTCTTTTTTGACAATTCATGTGACTGATGAAATATTCAAAGTGAATTCATTTTTTACCACTTACCTAGTTGAACTACTTGAATTATCAGACCCTGATTTGTTGGGCATGGTTGATGTACTATGAGCCGAAAACAACCTGTGAACTGTATCGATCAATTGTTCGTACTGATTACGAACTAGCGACACTTTGAGAGGAGTAGCGACAATTCCATTTATCTCAACAGTACCATCGCGTGACGATACTCCTTCGATTTCAATTGGATAACCTGGACTTTGGCACCGACTACTCAAATCACGCTCTATTGTTACTTGTAATAGCGTGTCATGAAGAATTGGTCTTCCATTCTCTTTGCAACAGTACATCTCTTCGGCACGTAGAGGCAGACAACTTGAAGTCGGCTAAAACATAATAATTGTTAGATTCAATTTTTTAAATATTAAATACTCATTTTATTCATAGTACTCACTTGATTGAGTTTTTCCGATACATCAAGTGAATGTAAATTCATATTTTTTACTTCAAAGGAAATCTTTTGTTTGGTCGAGCCAGTAGATGGGGGTTCATGTTGTAATGACATTGTACCCAGATGAGCAACGAAAACTTGACCGCTTTGGGATGATCTTGGTATTACGATAACTGGGCTGTCCAATAGCAAATCTAGCTTCAATAAATGATTCGTCGAGTCCATGCCATCGATCGAAAAGCTCGGTAATCTCTTCCTTTGTGGAATGGCCCAATCTTCCGCGCCGACCAAACCTATAGCCATATCGGTGGCAGCGGCGCCAATTTGTCTTGCCCAATTACTCAGGTACTGTTTGAACTCGTCGGCACAGGAACGCAATTCCGAAATAAGGTGAGGAGCGTGGGTGTACCAGACACTACCAACGCGAACGCCAATGTCCACCAGAACATCAGCGGTGTCAGGCCTTACAATGCGACTGGCCGAAAAGCTGAAGGCTTCCAATTGACCAGCAGTTTCAGCTGCGAATGCTTCATCATACGCGGATTTGTCATTATTTCGAGAATGTTGCTCTGCTAGAGGATCACGACCGACGCTTATGACACGTTGGTGAGTCTTGCCAGTCGAAGTTTGATCGAGAATTTGAAGACCACCGAGAGAACCGGATATCGAAGTGTCTGAAGCAAGAGTCGCTTGAATACGAGCATCTGACATGGTGGCAGTGGCAATTTTTTGACCAATCTATAAGTAAAAAATCGTAAAGATTACATATTAAGAACATATATGAATTATAAAATTGCTAATGAATTAACTTACTAATTGACTATCTTGCATAACTGCTCTCAGTAGAAGAACATTTAATCGATGGAAATCGAAAGCGATTTCAGTTCTCGTAGCCTTTCCTTCGGATGTTAAACTCGTCACTGACTCATATCTGTCCATTCGTCTTGCTTTACTTTTTTTCGAAGGAAAACATCGCCTTGCAAAACCCATCAATTCAACAATCGTCTCTTGGTTAGCTATGATATCCAAATTATTAAACTGAATATTGGCTACGCGTAAATTTTCCAACGGTTCGTCAACGATCATCAATTCGACGACTATTAGAGCCTCGCTGTCCAATTGTTCTAATGTACCCGTTGAATTATTGTGCGGTAAAAAAGGCGCTTGGTGGGCCAAATTTGACAAAGCATGCGTCAGAGCCACAGGCGAAGTTATGCGACGCGGCTTGTGCGGGTCCGGTGAACCCGTGGATGCGGGCGACGTCGGCGAAGTCGGTTCAGAATCCCTCAAGCTACCCGATATGCTATCCATACCGACATGTTTGTGACTGGCTACCAAAAGCTCAAAATCTGGACCAAATTCTTGAAGCGCATCGACCAACAGAAGACCGTGAACTGATAAAGATGCGCTAAAATCCGCCGGACGTTTACTTAATGCAGCGCGTACTCCAGTAACTCGCAATTCAGCGACAGGTCTGCCTCTGGATTGCAGCTCAAAAGTCATTTGATCAATGATAAATTGAACCATAATCGCATGATTCAAAGTTTTATCGATGGGCTCTTCTTTTTTCGGACTCTCAGGAACGTCTTGCATGTAGATTCCATTAGTCTTTGCCGTAACAGGCGATGTACTGGATAAATTTGACAGCAGATTATACATCGTTCTGATGGACTCCACTTTTTGCTCGTTAATGTGAACTACGAGTCGAGGTAGATTCCCGGAAACAGTAACAGACGGGAAATGCGGATCCGTGGTTGTCACAACTCTTCGCTGAATTTGCAGTGATATGTTGAATCTCTCAAGTACATGAAGATTCGACATGCCTTTCGTTCTAGCGTGTTTCCAATTGTCTTTTACTTTGCCAACGAGTACTTGCAAGTCTGATAAGTCAACGGAATAGTGATCGTAAAGTTTTTTGTGGAGCGCCGCTTCTGATAGGCCTTGTTGCAAATCAGGCGCAGCACTGTTGTCTTCCTCGCTACCAGGAGGCGTCGAGCACGGCGTCTCGTAGCGTTCGTCTTCTTCGTCGTCATCGTTGGTGTTGTCTGGATCGCTCACCGGAGACATGACATTTTTCACACTCATCGCCGTACCAGACACGCTATTGGTCAAATGTAATCGGCCAAAGTCCACAACAACTACGAGCGCATTAGCGTCGTTAAACTTTTCAACGAGCAAAATTTGTGGCGCTGAGATATTCAGCTGAAGATCCCAGGAGGATCGGTAAACCGAATCGCCTTCGAGTATCTGTTCCCAATTTTTCATGAGTCTTCGACGGGTTCGACGCTTCATGGCTTGCAGTCGCTGATTATTGAAGGCATCCCTACGATGTGGCTCGTAGACAAAATCGACCAGCCATCGCATGGCCACTGGATTGTAAACGACGTCGAGTGAGCGCGAGGTGACATGGAGCGAGTGATCGACTGTCAGGTGCAGAGGACGCTTTTCGTAAACGAGCTCAAAAAGAGACGATTGAAGCGCTTGCTGTTGAGTGAGCTTGTCGGTAGAGCTGCGTAAACGCGAAAATGAACTCGGGCCTCCGCCGATTGTTTGCGGTTGAACGAGGATTGGGAAGGTCGAGTTCTCAGTCAAATGATCGTGCAGGTAGAGGGCTCCCAAACTGATGGAGAACTTGTGCGACCCGGAGCGGGGTCGTGATTCGTAACTTAAATGTACGCGCTCGAATTGCAATTCCATAATTTTCTTTGTCTCGGTAGGTTTACCTGATGAGATGGATAAAATATTTAAATAAGCCTAAAAAAATATTTTATAGACATCAAATTTTGGAAATAATTAGACTAACCGTTTTCCGAAGGCAAAACTGTACACAGAGAAATGGCACCCTTAGACAATTGAAAATTGAATAATCCGAAAACTGTGTCCCGCCTTAATAATGTGTCATCATCCACAGCATCGGCCAGCACATCGAGTAGTTCACCGTCGAAAGTCGACGATGAGTTACCGTGTTCCGAAATATTGCCTGGCGAACCATTACCATTATCACTGCTTTTGCTCGATTGCCAACCCCACCACTGAGGAAACCATTGGTACAACATTCCTTTTGCTTGGGGTGACGGAGCAGTTGGCGTAGGAGGCTTTGGTGGTCGTATTTTCGCCATCGCTTTAAACATTCATTTCTTCATTACTTTTCGAAATTTAAATAAAGTTTCTTGTCATTCGAAAAATGACTTACCTAATTCTCGCAAAACACGCAGCTCGTCGAAACTCATTTTGAGTTCCATTTGATCTTTGAGTTTTTTAAGATCCGGAGGTAAACTAGACGTGGGATTTAATAATAACTTTGCACAAGCTTCTACATATAATACATTCTTTTTACCCAGCTCAAGGATATCACCCCACGATTTCTTTGGTTGCAAACTTTTTGGCCCTACATAACAACGAGCTGCATATCTCCACCATTCTTTGGGTGTTTCTTTGATGGACGCAATTGGTCGACATCTTCTTTGACGTCGTTGTCGATCAATTTCCTCTAAACCTTTTATACATTGCACAATTTGTTCATATTGTACCTAAAATAATTAATAAATTATGTAACAAATAAAAAAAATTTCATTTTTAATAATTTGAAAAGTAATCCTTACATCTGTTATAGATAATGGTACTTGATCAAGTGAAAGGTCTACTACTATTCTAGGTTTATGGGCTGAGCGCAAAGGTCTTTCAGTCCTATCTCTTTTAACATGAGCTTTAGCGCTAACTGGTGATAAAATATAATTTTTAGCGTGTTTTTTGGATTCATTCATAGCCACCTAAAGTAAACAATTTTTTTGAAATAGATGTCATTTTAACAAAAAAAAAATTAGATGTTAAAAAATTACAGCCAAATCTCCAAGATTAAGATTATGAAATGTTTGTTCTTTTGACATTTGGTTCCAATACACAGACAAGTCATCCAACTCCATTAATTTAAAAGATGCATCAGATAAATTCCATGATGTAGAACCAGGTACCCAACTAGCATCACAACTCTGAGCTGTTAATCCTCCTATAGTTACACCAAATGCTATTCCATTTCCTATACATTTAAAAATAATAATAAAAATAATTGTAATAATTTTGATAAATTGAAATACTTTGGAACTTGCACACAAACCATTTGGAAGAGTTACTGTATCTTCATAACGTAAATGTACATCTTTGATAACAAGTTGCAAATTTTCTATAATATTGGTCATTAAAGAAGTGCCATAATTAACCCAGGTGCTATAGCTTGCTGCATAATATCCAGGACCTTGTTCAGATTCAGCTCGCCATCTAGCCTCTAGAGCTTCCAAGCGTGACAATTTATAATCAACCATTGCTTGCTCTTCTGCTTCGCTGTCGTACTGTGCCAATATTTTACATTACAAATATCAACTAATACTTTCTATTATAAAGAAGAATGTTACAAAATATCCAATTGGTTTACCTCGTCTAAATTTATAGGCCCTGCCACTAAATACAACTGTTCTATTGCTATAACCCATGGTGCTGTTCTAATTTGTGTTACAGGAACTTGTAGTCTGACTTTGCCAATAAAGCCAGCCTTAATTTCAACAGGTAACCCAATGCGTCGTAAAGCTCCTAATTTTAGAGGTAAATTTTCCAGCTCAACAGCACCTACAGAATTTAAAAATGTTTATCATAACTTTTAAAGTAACAAATCAAAATATTAATTTCATTTGAATTACAATGAAAATTCTTCAATGAATTTCATTTGAAATAAAAATAATTCAAGAATGACAGTTGTTTTTTTGTATACTATTAATAATTATTGTTCTAAATTAAGCATTATAATAATAACTTGAAAAATCAGTTCGTTGCAAAACTATTGTTTTAGGGATAATAATTATTCCATAAAAAAAAATTCATAAAAACATCACAAAACTAGTATCATAAGAATGCAAGTTTCAAGAAAATTCAAGCAATCATAAGTTTAATCTCCTTTAAGAGATGATGTCATTCTTGATTATAAATTAAGAAACATTGCTATCGCACTGCTCGACTGTTACATATATATATCGAGTCGCACAGAGAGCGGCATTACTCAATCACAACAATGAACCAATCCAAATCGCTTACTGCTCTTTTCACTGAAATCAGTAGTTGATATATAATCATAGCCGACGAATATTTACGAACCTGATAGTAAGGCAATGCTGAGCTGGTCCGTGTTAAGATTTTCAACATAATTGCCGAGATAATTGTTGAGGACCCAAGCGACAAGGCCCTCAAGCATTTTAACGATGGGCTGCGACTAAGTCGGCGCAGCAGTAATTGTTGTGACCAGTATTCCGCATGTATACGTAATGTGTCATATATATAGTATTATATATATGATTTTCTGCTGAATACACACACTGACACAGGAATGTGAGCACGCGTTCAGCTCGTCACGCAGCAGTAGTCGATCGAGCGCATGTAATCAAATTTTGCTTTTTAATTAGGTTAGATTTGCTGCACAATTATTGAAATTTTGACGTGCGGACAGCTAACAGCACTAGACACCGACTGCCGAATCAAGTTGATGATGTAAGCAACCCTCGGCAAGGGTCACGACGATCGAGCCAACATTTTGTATGCAAGCAGTAATGTAACTATGAATTTCACCAACGGAGTCGATGCATGCACGCGCGAATCGCGACTACGGTAGGTGTACTGTATACAACGCGGGGCAGTCAGGCAGCACCGAGAATCGCCTGCTCGAGAGACTTTTACCAAACAACACGACGATCAGCTGCGCGATGCATCTGCTGCTCCTGCACGCTATGCTTGCAATCCTACTGCTATGTATATAGTATATCTTTTATCGTGTTTGCTGGTGCGCGGGAAAGCAAAGCGCGAATCTGCATTCTGCGTTATCGGTTGAGCTTCGTTTCATAATCACAATCATTCGCTATACATGGCAAGTGCTGATAAATATTTTCGTTCATTGTGAACGATATAAATACATTTTTTTTCTGTAAACAACAAGTAGAGTACAGTTTTAGTGTTTCTAACTACTGGGTGATTATTAAATTTGTCTGTTCATAAACAATTTGTCTAAAATAAATTTATTATTTTCATTAAGATTTTGATTACAAAATCTCGTTGTAGAGTATTTTTCAAACATTGTCAATTGCAATCTATGCAACTTTAATGTAAAAAATTTATATTTCTTCTTTTTTACAATTGTATTATTTTAAATTACATGCACACCACGCATAGATATATATTTACATACACATTGTACAATTAGCATTCAACTAACTACATACTGAGACATCACAGTCTTACAATAATTATAAACACAGTAAATATATCTTATATGTACAACTGTACATATTTACCTTAACAAAGTACATAATCACTTAGTGAATATTCATTAAAAAATACATCAGTTTGATTTATTCTTATATTAAAAGCTCTTCATCGGATCTTTTTTTAGGAAATGCAACAAATAATGCAAGTTGAAATCCACTCAAGATGCATCCCAAAAAATTAGGGGTTTGAATAAAAAAATCATCTATGATACAGCCATAGAGAAACCATTGGCAAGATGTAATGAAAGTTGCTAAAATAATTGGAAATGGTAGGCTCTCAGCACTCCTAACTTTTATAACATGAGCCTGCAATGAAATGAAATTGAAAGTAAATCAGATGTGTAATGGTAAACAGAATACTTCAGTAATTTATAACACTTACTAGCATGGTCAAAGGTGAGGCAAAAAACATAATCGTTAATGCACAACTGATCAATCCAACATGTCGAGTAACCATAGAAATATCCTCTTGAATGTGCCAATAAAAAAGCATAATTCCAATAAATGCCAGGGCAATAGACATTTGTTCAACAATGAGTTTTTTCTTTATTGTGTAAATGTAAAATGTAAAAGTGTAGAAGAACTGTAACGATGCTCCTACGCAGTTGACAATGACTATAGATTTATCTTGAATTAAAAATCCATACAACATCCATAAGCTACAGCTAAAAGTAAATAAATAAAAATGTATTAATTTATTTTGTACTGTGCATGCAAAGAAATTTAAAAAATAACTTACGATAAAAAACCAGTAACAAATGCCAAGCCTGATGCATCTCCGGTGGATTTGTTTTTGGCAAATTTTTTGCAAACCAAACTAAAATCCAATAAAAAATTTGTCCTTAGCAATAAAACACAAAACTGATTAATCTACTAGTAAATAGTGAATAGGGACACTTACATTCCAGCTAAGAACTGCAATATGGTACATATTGAAGCAGTGCTTGCTAAAATATCTTTCAAGGGTGTTAAATACATTTTGGCAGTTATTAACTTTTCATAGCTAAATTTTATGCAATGACTGAAATCTGATACTGAAAGTTTCAATCAAGTAAGTCGTAGGCGTATATTGCGGAGAAAACAATTAACAGAAAGTGAGTGATCCGAAAACTCGCGAAGCCGTTTTTGCGAATTAAAATTTGCGCAGCTTTCACAAGTTACACAAAGCAATGCTCCTGATCATCGCTGCTTGGCGTAGTACAAATTTCTACACCGGAAAATGCAAAGATAAGCTTTCAACGAGCTGCACTGATGCGTGTGGCCGTGCGGCTTGCTGCTAATAATTGATAAACGCCGCACGTTTCGATTTTTTTCTTTGCACGCTTCAAACTTTGCACTCGCGTCATCGAGGGGTTATAAAATTACAATATAATACTCGCGACATATATACAGTCCAGTCACTACACAGATTATCGAACGTTATGTAAAGTGTAAATAGTTGCTGTGTAATTTATGCGTGCTCGTCATTCGCGGTCCTGTTTTCGGAGTCTCGCACTCCTAAAGTTGCGTAAAAAATGACAGAATGGCCCGAGTGAATTCGCACACTTAGTTCTTGGCGGAATCATACATAACATATGACGTGTACAATTCATATGTTTTAATTAAAGAATTGTTACGAATTGGTGATCTTCGTGAGCACACATCGTCGTAAATCGAAGCAAGGGTAAATATTTATTTTTTATCAGTTTCTTCTTGATCTAACGCACGACCGCGCAAGCATGTTTCGGCATCAGAAAGAACTCGCTTTACTTGTCTTTCATGCGCGAAATCATAATGTAAATATTCATTAATTAAACAATAAATTCGGAGCGTACAATGAATACAGCTTTAATAGTTTCGTCTGGAGCTGAGTCAGCCCTAAAAAGTTTAGAGAATAGTCAAGTCGCACAATAACACAGTGTACACGCTCAACGGCAGGCGGTGTTGTCGAGATGTTAATTTATCGGGCATATACGAGGTACTAAATGCACACGCGCTAAAGTGCATTGTTACGGTATATAGCGCGAGAACGAGAGAGAGAGAGAGAGAGATTTGCAGTTGGCGTTCGGGGCAGCTCGCCTCGCACGGCGTACCGAGCCGCCGACTCGTATTCGCGCGACAAGCGACGAGTGCGGCAACATAAACAGCAGCAGCAGCGGCGGCTGCACAGCTTGCAACGTCTACATATGCAAATCAAATACGCTGCCCGTATGTATAGGTACAATTACGTGCGTTATCGTGCCGTCTTTTTCTTGCGCGTTGAACTCGAGAGCAGGGCACAATATACCTGCTCGGCATTACACCCTCGCAAGAGGCCTGCAGGCTGCACATAGGAGCGCGTCGTTGTCGTCGCCAGTCTGCGTGTATGCAGAGTAAGAGCCCTGCGTATACGTATTATGCTCTCGCGAGAGCGCGATGGATATACATCAGACGAAATAAAATTGCGGCGGTGGCGGTGCGGTGGGTTTATAGCTGTAATACCCACATCTACACGGAAAAACTTTTGACCATGTTTCAGGCTCGAATACATAGAGATACATTCACGCTCTGAGTCGAGCACAATTCATGCTCAGTCCCGAGCGCGAAACGCCCTCGAGTTCTGTCGAGTGCGTATTATGACCGACGCTGAGCAGGATGTTACCCTTAACTCAATCTGGAAAGATATTCGCGCTCGAAGTCGATCACAGTTCATACTCAGATTCGAGCACGAAATGCTCTCGGGTTCTGCCTATGCGAGCGAATTAATCCTGAATCATGAATTTGAAAGATTAATGTGTCTATATTCGTAACGCAGCACACAGAGTTAGCATGACAGAACATAGGGGAAATATGTTGGATTCTTAATATCTTTTGAAAATGGTTGAAAACACCCATTTATAATTATATCATTCGAAAGCGAATAAGATTTCCTATAACATCTATAATCTTTTCATTTAATAAACTATCATTGGTTAAAATTTCACTTCCATCTAAATTTTTTTTCATTTTCGCTACAGCCTGTTGAAGGGGGCTTAATATACTGTGTTTTATATTTGCATTGATTTATTTTAAAAAACAGTTTGTAAAACCAAAATGACAGTCATTACATAGTAATTCACTTGACTATAATACTTAATTCATTGTCAAATTGACCTAGTATTACATTGTGGACGGATGTTGCGAGAGTCACCACCCCATATAAATTTCTTATATTCAATATTTATTCATTTTTGTTAAATCTATTCAATAATTGTGACTGAGTGGCTCAAGACTGAGCGTAAATCGTATTCACCGCAACACTGAAACAAACTCAGCCGAACTCGAGCGTGATTTACGCTCAGCCTCGAGCGTCAATCGCGCTCAGTGCTGATGACGAAACGAGCTCAGCCGAACTCGAGCGTGATACATGCTCGAGCTCGAGCGTGAATCGCACTCAGTGCTGGTTATGAAACGAGCTCAGTAGAACTCGAGTGTGATTCGTTTTCAGCATTCGAGCGTAAAACATGGTCAAAAGTTTTTCCGTGTATACATGTGGCTGCTCTACGCTTAAAAATCATCCGTCGTGCACGCACACACACACACACGCGCGCGCGTAACGTATAGATCAACTCGTTACTCGTCAGGGCCTCAACGAGTAAAAGAGCGAGAGAGAAAGAGAGAGCGCCAAGAGCCTACAAGAGGCTTTGTATATTCAATGGTGTATGGATCTGTTCATTTTAGTCGCTCGATTCATCGATTGTATTTATAGGTGCGTCGAAGCCAAGACAGCAATTCGTCCAAAAGTAAGCTGCGTGGATTGCGTGCGGAACTGCTCTCTACAAATCTTTCTATCTCTCTGTCTCTGTCTTTCGTTCGCTCGTTCACTCCGCCGCTTACTCTCGCCTACTATAAACGACTTATTTTTACGTTTTAACAGATCTGCGACTTTTGTACGAAACTTCTTGCCCGTACGACGTCTCTCTCTCGAAACGACCAGTCGAACGTATCCGTGTAGCTGTCTGTTTGTCGCCTGCCTGCTCGATTCTCTCTCTCTCTTGCTTCTGGTCGGAGCAGCTCCGAAATCGTATATACAAGAACGAATAGAGAGAGAGAGAGAGAGAGAGAGAGAGAAAAGTCATCGGAGCTGTAAAAGCCCCGAATATATACAAGCGCAACAGCTTTTTTATTGGAGAGAGAAAAAAAGATAAGACTACGAATCGATTCCGAGCCCACAACAACACATCTCGCTGTGTTATGCAGCTGCAGCCGAAGAAGTACTAGTTCAGCAGCAGAATTACCAAATTGCCTCGATTGCAGATGATAATATGATCGTCCTACCGGCAAGATAGTGTGTCTGTGTGATATATATCTTCAACGGCTTCTGCAATTTCCGTAAAGGCGGCGGTAACCTCGTTCGGAATCGTAACTCCGAAGGTACAGACACACTCTCATACACACACACGCTAATTGAATATAAATATAGCCAGATTCTTGTTAGTCAAGTACTCGTAAATGCTTGTGAGTTTTAAATTTCTCAGACTTGGACGTCCTAACATCGCTTCTTCTTATTTCCACTAGTCTCTCATTGAATAAACGATTATCGCAAAATTGCACATGAAACATAAATCGAGTCCGCGATGACTTACTGAATTGGCCCTCTTCTTTCTCCTTCTACTCATCTCTTCCTTCTCGAGATGCAGTGCTGCGTGCGTGTGCCGCCTAATACAGTGAGAAACGACGATGACTAGTCTCTCTTTCTCTCTCTCGCTCTCTGACTCTTTGGCACATTGCTTATATATACATACTTACCTGTTTGCCTTGCTCTCGCGAGTTTCGCGGTCAGTCGCTATTGATAAGGCAATCGTTGAATTTTTTCACTCTATAAAACTATTCGTACAGGCCGTAGACTCTGCAGATTTATTTCAAAGAGCTGTAAGTACTACGAGCGTTTCTGCACCGATATTCTGCAAGCTCTTATCTTCGTGCGTGTATGAGTGTATTGTTAAATTTTTCAAACTATTGCTAAGTGAAACAAGCTCACGTTTTATTTATAGTTAAATGGTTCACAGTTGATGTCATTTGTTATCATAACCACCTACTCCATTTTCTGTCATTTGTACTTCATTGCCATGTATGTGTGGGTGAACATTTTTTCTTGTAAACCTCAGTTCAATTCATTCTGGTGTGGTTGTTGAAATCATTTACATGTAATTGTTTTGTCCATACAGTGTTTCTGTGGTGTTTAACATAGCTGCAATGATATGAGACCAAAGGAAACAAACCCTGGCAGATGAGAAGAATTTACTGACTTTTAGTTGAAGCAGAATACTTAAAGCTACTGTGCTTCAAATTTTGAAATAAAATGGAAGCATCTGTGGCAGGTAGGCGGCGTGCTGCCACCAAGAGTTCTGCTGAAGATCAAGCTTTAGATCAAATCGCCAAAGAGGTATATTAGTTACAAGTTTTTGGACACTGTCTCTTGGATATTCGCACTTTGTTTTGTTCATTTGTTTGCATGCCATTTTATTTTTATTTTTTTTTCACTTTCAGTTGTATGTAAAAGTGAGTAGAATTTGATAAATTAACTTAAAATAACATTGATTATTTGAAATATTAATATTATTGGAATTGCAGGCAGAAGCAAGACTTGCTGCTAGACGACAAGCTCGAGCAGAGGCTAGAGAAATACGCATGAGAGAATTGGAAAGACAGCAAAAAGAAGCAGAAGAAAATGCAGACAAGGCTTTTGAAATGGGTGGAGGTAAATATAAGTTAATAACTATAAGGTTTTTACTAATTTGACTATTTAACATAAATATTCTTATTTCCCATTAGCTGATGCAACCAGAATTATAAGGGTAACTCCAGATCCTGTCCGTGCTGCTCGTCTTTTGACTAATTCAAATAATTTCCAATCCAGTCGTAGATCTTCTGAAGATTCATTAGAGGACGCAGGTCTTGGGAGAGATCTACGGGTATGTATTTATTAGTTTATTTTCCTCATTTATATTATTCATTCACAAATTGCCAATATGCTATCAATGTCTCAGACCGAATTAAAAGAAACAGAAGAAAAATTTCGCAAAGCAATGATTGCTAACGCTCAATTAGACAATGAAAAGTCTTCCTATGCATATCAAGTTGATTTGCTTAAAGATAAATTGGAAGAACTAGAGGAATCTATTGCTCAACTTCGACGTGAGCTTCGAGACAAAAATCGTGAAGCAGAACAATTTAAGCGTCTCAGTCAAAAAACTAAAGAAGATTTAGAAATTTGTAGGGCTCAACTGTTAGAAAGGGACACCTTAATTGAAGAAAATGGTTTAGTCATTGTTGATGATGAAAGTGACGAAAATGAAGAGTCTACAAAAGAAAATGGACCAGTTTGTAGAAGAAGAGTGCTAGTCAGTACAGAAGCCGCAGAATTGTTACAAAATGCGGGTGAAGGTTCATTAGGTAAATTGATTATCATTAATTATTTTTGAGTTAATGAAATTTTTGAAAATTGATGTGAAATTATTACACTTTTATGAAATTGTATGGGATTGGAATCCATAAAATTCTTTTTATAAAATTTTCTAACATAATTTTTTTTATAGATGTTCGACTGCGAAAGTTTGCATCAGATAAGAAAGAAATGCAAGATGAAATTCGACATCTTAGGCTAGAACTAGAAGAAGCAAAACATAAAATAAGAACAGAACGAAATTCTGGCTCAGTTATAGGTAAATCTTTATAAATTGCCTGATATGATAAATTTTTATATAGATCTTGATGTGATAATGAATTTGCTGTTTTAAGGTCTGTCTGACTCTGATGATATTCAAAGGGAAACAAATAAACTGTTATCAGATTGCAAATTCAAATTGCAAAAAGCTGAACAGGATGTATCAACTCTTCAAGCGAATGTTGCTAGATTGGAAAGCCAAGTTATACGATATAAATCTGCAGCTGAAGCGTCTGAAAAAGCTGAAGATGAATTGAAAGTAGAAAAAAGAAAATTGCAACGAGAAGTAAGTACATGCACGCATTATTGACTAAATTTAAATTATAATTTGCAAAAAGCAGAAATATTCAAAAAAATTTAAATGTCAACATTTAATTTCTAATTTTTTACTTTCAGGTCAGAGAATCCCAGGCTCGTGTGGAAGAACTAGAAACTTCCAATTCACACTTGCAGCGTCGTTTAGATAAACTAAAAAACGCCAAATCGGCTCTGCTTAAAGAGCTTTGATAGTTCGTCATGCTTGCATAACGAATAAATTCGGCTAAAGCGTAACATGTAAATACGAAAAAAAAACATGAGGCTATTTTAGCTCAGAAGTATTTTAAGAGAACTGCTGAACTGCTGAAATGACAACGCGTTTAAGCGTACTGTAAAGATAACGAGGCCAGAAATCGCCTCTACTATGGAAACATAAGACTTTTGAAACTCCGAATAATCGTTTCCAATGTTTTACCTATTATTGTCACGGCGATATTAACAAACTTTATATAGGTGTTTTTTAATGATTCGAAAAATACGATATATAACTTTGACTGTGTGAATTTCCACGGTCAAATATTGGATTAACTCATTATAAATGCAAGACTTTGTACGGTTAAAGCTGTTTGCATTTTTTCGTTTCATTTCGAACATCGTTGTTAGCCTTTTTTTAATTTAAAAACTTTTCTAAATACCATTGACATGTTTGAGAAAATAGATCTATAGAATAAAAATTGAACATGACTCAATGGTAGCAAATCGAAAACACAGTGCCTGTGACGATAATCGAGGGAGAGTCCAGTAAAGGCATTTGTATCGAAAAAAATTCCATCCAATGAAAGTAGAATTGTGTTACTGATCGACAGTAGCTACATTATCCTTTAATAGGCCTAAAATTTGGTCCAACGATAAATGTATACCAATGCGGAGTAAAGACTCTCTAATTGAAATTATTTATATATGTAATTATGTTCTTTATAGACTTTAACTTAAATACTACGTAACCATAATTGTATTTTGAACTATTGACTTATTACATTTTTGTTTTATCGCCTAGTATCTGTTTATTGATGCGATTTATTAATGTATTTTACCTGTGTATGATAAAATGAAGTTTTTTGTATTATAATGCGAATGTGCAGATCTAGAGCGCGTATATTTATATATATTATATGTAGAATACATATTATCAGTTTAGAAAAGTGTACATCTTTTTTTCCGCGCCCGACAGTTTTAACGACAGTTACAAGGCGTTTGTTTTGTATGTCTTAATCATTGTTTACAGCACGAAAAAATATATGTATATCTTGTTTAAAAAAAACGAAAAACAAATGAGACTTCACGATCTCTTTGACATTTTTTCAGCCACGCTCAAAAATGCATTTGTTAAACTTGACAAATTCGTGTTATAAAGCTCTTTATTAAACGATTCATAATTACTAAAAAAATTGATATGTCTACATTTTTTTTATAAAAAATCCAAGCGTGTTAAAATGAAACAATCTATATTAGTAAACCATATTATTGTAATATTAAGTAGTGCATACATTTGAACATAATATGGAGCAAAGTTAAAAACTCTTGTTCATACATATACATATATATTTAACGGATACAAAACGTTATACAACATACAAGACTATATGAAACTAGATAAAAACTGAAAAAAGCACGATAAATTTTAATGCATCGATCCTTTTCGCTTTGCCCAAGCTGGACTTTGAGCATCCGTCAGTGGTTTATTGGACTTAATTATTTGCAATGGTTTATAAACGGGCATTGGTCGAGCCTTATGTTCAGTCATCTTTCTAAGTTCCATTTGTTCGGCTTTTTCTTTTTCTAATCGTTCTTGTTCCTCGCGTTTTTTCATTTCAACTTCCTCCATTTCTTTCTTTTTCAATTGCTCTTCAAATTCTTTTCTCTGTTTAGCTCTTTTATCTGTGTTCAGTTCAGTTAAAATAGCTGCACTTTTTTGTGATATTTTGCACTTGGGCTCAAGAATTTTCGGAATCGCGCCGTGAACTTTATTTTCTTGATTTTCGGTATTTTTTACTGGCAGACTGGATTTTTTAGCAGCCACAAAAGGAATAGAAGGGGTTTTCTTCAAAGTACTTCCTGGCTTAGTCAATGAATTGGATTTCGTCAGCAAATTTTCATTAGATCTCTTAAGAGAACTCTTGATTTTCCCTAATTCATGTAAGTTGTTGCTTAAAGAGCGTGTCAGTTTATTTGTAGTGCCGCTAGCTGGTTTATTGGCACTTGGAGCTGTAACACTCGCTGATTTGGCCAGATTTTCCGTTGATTTTTTCATAAGATTATCCCTAGATCGTCCTCGTACTAATACAGGTTTAAATTCTGGAACTTTTTGAGCCTTAAAGGTTCTCATTTTCTTTTCTTCTTCCAACATCTGTTTAATCTTTTCTTCTTTTTTCTTTTGCTGCTCTTTGACTCTGTTTTCGAAACTCAATGAGCGTGTCAAAGTGATCTTTGGTTTATGTGTTGAATTATTCAATGGCTTTTGAACAGGCGTTCTGACTGCAGCTGGAACAGGTCGTGCATGAAATTCAGGTTTAACTTTTTCTTGTTCAATTTGTTGTATATGCTTTATTTTCTCTTGTTTTCTCATCTGAATTTCACGATTACGAGCTTCAAAGCTAAATGGTTTTACTTTTGTATTTTCTTTCTTACTCTTGCATGGAATACCAAAATACAAAACTTCTTCATCCTGGAACAAATTATTTTTGTAAAAATTTTATAATTATAAATTTATAATCAAAATTAAAGTGACTAACAATATTTTAAACAACTTATAAGTATACTAAAAAATATTACCTTTACTATAATTCCTTTTTCATCAGAACTAACAATAGATGGCACAGTTTTTACAACGGGTCGATGAGTTCGTTTTATTTCTTGACTGGATTTTTGAGCCATTTGTCCTTTTTTGGTTTCTGTTAGATGAAATGGTTGAGGGTTGGTGACTAATTTTTTCTCAACTTTCTTTAATGATGCTGGTTTTTTCAAAATATCTTTTGGCACAGGATTTGCCTTGATTTGATTTTGACGAATTTTATCTAGCTCTAATTTTTCTTTTTCTTCTGAACTTAAAACAGTTACAGGTCTTGATCTATTTTTACACATAAGGGCTGGAGATTGTGCTTTGGTAAGCTTCAATGACTGACTGCGAAGTTGTTCTGTTTTAGTTGTTTTAACATTGACAGTATGAAATCTTTGAGGGGTGACACGATGGAATTTTGAAACTGCTTCAGCCATACTCACAAACTTTTTTGGAAGAGTACCGGATGATTTATTCAAACTCATTCTTCGTTGATTTGTTATGCTTAGGCGTCTTTTCATTTGTCTTTTCCAAGCTTCTCCAGCTACAAGAGTAAACTTTTTCTTCAAATTGTTTGCAGGGGCAAAAACTGATGAGCTAGAAGATGTGAGTACTTTACTTTTTGTAGCATTTATACTATCATTACCTGCAGAGGTCACATTGGCTGTTTTATCTTGTTCTGGTTCAGATTTATCTTGAGAAGTATCATGTTCCGTACTAGTATTTGTTATTTCCAATTTCAGTTCAGATGATTGCTCATTATTTGAACTTTCTTCTTCATCAACTTCAATATTTTCTTTATTACTTCCATTAAAATCTTCATCTGTTAAAAACCTCACTGACTTTTCCTTTATGGAATGATAGTGTTCTTCTTCATTTTGAGTGCAAGAAGAATATTGCGCACACATTGATCTGGTAATTCTGTTGGGAGTTTTAAATTCTGGTGTATCTATCAAGCAAGATTTATTCATTGACTTATCATATATTTGAGACAACTGTAAATTATTCAATGCTTCACTTATAACACTTTCATATGTTCTTTCCTTGGTAGAACTATCCTTTACAGTTGAACTTTTTGTTGGTTTACCACTGATTACTTTTGCTGGTGTTTTCATTATAGAACTATCATTACCGTAGGATATTTCACTCAATGGAATTTTACTGGAATTACTTTTTTTCATTAACAAGAATGGGGAATCCAATGAGGCAGTTGATCCAATCTGCTCACGGTATTCTCTATTCCTCTTCAAAAAGTAATCATCCATTGATACTTGAGGACTTGGGGCAGTGAAGTCTGCCCATTGTGGTGCATCTATATTATCCATACTGCTAGCAGTAAATTGCCCTAATTTTATAGTGCGGAGTAAAGATTCTGGATTCGAGTCACTTCTTCGTCTGTGGCCTGACTCTGTGTTCAATTTTTCGTCCACGGACGAATTACAATCTAAAACGTAATGTAAATTTTATGAATTCATTGGTTATTAGCTTATAAGTTTTTTCGCAATTTTAATGAATGAGTCTATAGAAAAAATTAAATGTACTGCAAATTTATTTTTTAACAACAGAAAAAATTAGTTAAAAAAAGGAAATGCTCCTAAAGGTTATTAAAGGATTTAGTAGGTAAGTAACAGGAGACATTGTAACGCAGATGGATAGTGACAAAATGATGTGCATCATAACAAACATGACTGACTTTTGAATTCGATATTTCGAATAGTTGACTCTATGCAATGATATTATATCAGTCGTAAATAAGGTGATATCCAAAAGGTAGATCAAGATGAGAAATTAAACAGAAAACTTACCGTGCACAAGGTCCTCGGCCGATTTTGTTATGAAGGACCCCACGATGGCGGCCTTTTCTGAAAGTATCACCCAAAATAAATAGAAAAAGGTTGTTTGGTGGGGTAATGGATTAACTGCGCAGATTCTATTGTTTCCAGTACATATAGGGCTCACTTCCTCACACACTGTGTATCGCTGTCTCAAAGGTATACACGTCTGGCAGGCTCCAAGATAGGACCGCGCAATCCGCGACACAAACTTATTTCATCAAGAATGCTGGTGGGTGCGTAACGGATTTCAAGCGTGTTTGAAAAATCTCAAACGGCCACGGCCGGCGAAAAATTCAAACTTGCACATGAGCGAGCGTTGATTGGCTGTGCAGCAGTAAAAGCGACGAGATTGGGCGGCGCCACCGTGCAGTGTGTGGCGGTGTAGTTTTGCAATTGACAGTTGTTACTGCGATACTGCTGCACTATAATAGAGTCTAATGTTAGCATCTAACTTCTTGAACGAAAAAAAGTACCAGCTCTGACTATTTTGACGATTCGACAATGCGATTCCGGAGCTCAACAAATTACACAACTCATCGGCATCGTGAGATCCCGCATAATTTCTCGAGCAACTTCGAAAAATGCGCCAATAGCAAATATCCCTACTTCAGTTGGAGGTTTTTACATTCACAAATCGTAACCCCCTATCGCACAGAATATAAGCCATAAAGCCGTGCAGAATGCAAGTCCCGACAGGATTGCAGAAATGGTCGTTTCAAAGGCTCTTCTCCCCACTCTTTGAGTTGTCGCGATATACGAGTAACGCGAGCTGCGTTGGGGTAGTAGAGAAGCGAAAAGCAGACCTACGCGCGGACGCCCAGGAGCGCTGTTCGCTGGCCAAGTGCAGTAGCACCAAAACAGCTGATTCTGTCATAACACGGGGGCGCATTTAAAAGGCTCGTCGCGGCTGCTGGTGCTGTTGATATGTGCTGTGCTCCGTTCTCGGTCGACAAAATCATAATATTGCTTAAAGAAGCAATTGAAGTCACCAGAAGAATTAGGATGCGCGAGTGACTCGACTGGTCGCGCGCTGATATGCTTACGGTATCGCGGCAAAGAATCGCACTTACAAGGCGATCGTTGTTATTCGTCGGCAACAACAACCAAGCCTGTTGCCGCGGCTGCTTTTACTTGGCCTGCGGTGACGAACGCGCGAGAGCCGCTCGCTACTTGTTACATTATAGTCGCGTTCGAGAGCTTGTTTAAAGTCGGCCTCGCAGCAGTAGCAGCTCCAAAGTTTGACAGTTCGCGAATCGTGCTCGCTCGGGCTGGATTGCATTTTCGTTATACGTATAAGCTGCGTCTCGCAGCTCTGGACTTTAAATACAGGCCATCAGCGGAGCTGCACGTAAACGAGTCGCATAAAGGCGGACGCGCACGATTCAACTATTGCATATAATAAATTATCCGCCATGTGGAAGCCCTTCGAGCCTGGAAGCTCACCCATCGACTGGTGCGAGGGTAATTACAGCATTTCGCCGAGCATCGCCGAGTTCATGAATACCGTGAGTATATACCTAGCGGGAATTTATAGCTCTTGCTGCTCCGATGCACTGCGACTATTTTCTATGATGCGCATTAAAAAGTGAAAGATTAGAGCGAACGGCTGCGACGTGCAGCGAGTCGAACGTGCATTTTCTTTGTTCCGCGATCGCAGGCTCTCTTTGTTTGCTCGCACGCTTATATACATACACAGGAATCGCTCTCGATGTCTTTCGCGTTTGTGACGCCTCGATTTTTTTCACTTTTATTCGGATTCCGAGCTCGTTTGCTGAATAATAATCCAAAAAAAAACTCCACTCCTTATTTTTGATGCGAACGACCGAGACTTTTTTCGTGATTTATACCATTTGTCGTCGCAGTGTCTTCGACTACGTGAGCTTCGCACGATACACGCGTTTTGTATGTACTTTGCATAACTGGGTTTTGACGCGCGTGTTTTGCTCTGGCATTGATAAAATGACGAGTTGCAAATTTTATCGCGTGTCGCGATTTTTCAAACAAATAAGATAAATTCGTACAGTTGTATCTATAAGCCTGTTAAAACACAAAATTGACAATTATCAATCAGTATATCGATAATTCAAATTTCTGGATTTTAATTATATTTATAGAACTCCGTTTTCAAATGTTACGTTTTACTTCTCATTCTGTTAAGAATATCTTGTCCGATTTCCTATGCTATGCTAAGCTGCAACGTTTTTTTACTACTAAAATATTTAAAAAAATAAATTTTAATAAATGTACTTAACATAATTTATTTTTTATAGCTTAGCAATGCTCTTTTTGTACTTCTTCCTCCAGTGCTGATGCATCTTTTTAGAGATTATGGCAGATTTGTGAATCCTGGTATTCATGTAATATGGTTTCTTCTAATGGTAGTTGGTATAAGCAGTGCATATTTTCATGCTACTTTGTCATTAGTAGGTAAGAATAATATTTATAAGCCTCCTTGAACTTTATAAAATTTTTTTTTGATTATTCAACTATTCAATTTTTTTAGGTCAATTACTGGATGAATTAACTATATTATGGGTATACATGGCTGGTGTTTGTATGTTCTTCCCTCGACGATTTTTTCCATCTGTCTGTCAGAATAGTAGAAAAATATTTTCATTGTATACAACTTTGGTTACTGTCATTGCTACTGTATTAGCTATGTTCCATCCAGCTGTCAATGCTTTTGCATTGATGACTCTTTCAATTCCTGCTTCTGTTTGTTTGGTCCTTGAACTGAAAAGGTAGTTATTACTCTGAAATAGAATTCTATAAATCATTTGAGTTTACATAGTTAATTTTTTATTTCTCTAATTTCAGAACAAAATCTCAAAGAGTATATAGATTAGGTCTTCGATGTGGAGCCATCTTGCTTTTAGCCATTACTTGTTGGTTGAATGACAGATTATTTTGTGATACATGGCTCAATTTAAATTTTCCTTATCTTCATGCATTGTGGCATTTGTTTATTTTCATAGCAAGTTATACAGCAACTGTATTATTTGCATACTTTTCAGTTAAAGAAGAAAGACCTCATCAAACTCCAATGTTAAAGTACTGGCCAAGAGATGACTTTGAACTTGGTATACCATATGTTACAATTAAAAGTTACATCAAAATAGATCACAACACGCACATATAGATATGATGTGCAATTTTTATATTATATTATAACCAATGAAAAGGCTGATGATTTTTTATTTTTTAAAATGTTTACTATCAAGGGATAGAAAAAATTGTTGTTAAAAATATTTCAATGACGTATAGTGATGCAGTTGAGACTGAGATGAGTATTTGGAATAATACATTATCCAGTTTATGAGTTAGTTCATTTTATATGCATAGAGTTGCTGGAAGTTTAACAGATGAAACCATTCAAATCTAGAAAAATTCTGTGACATCACTGAAATAAATTTTAAGAAACATTTCTTAAATTAAATTATTAATCAGGGAGTTTATGTGATATTTATATACATGTGCACTAACACAAATTATGAAAATGTATTTGTATGAGAAAATTAGGAGTATATATACAAAATAGTATTTGTACATAGATTCATGTAAGTTTTTAAATTTTTAATTTTGATATCTGAATTATTAAAATACTAAATTTCATCTTTTATAAATTATTCTTGTAACATCCGAGAAAACGAAACATACCCCATTGTATCAACTAAAGCCAAATTGTATTATTCTAAAGTCAATTTTGAGAGATATTTTTAAATTACTAACATTATAATATTTTTATCGTGAGTATGTGTAATGTAAATAATATGAAAATAATATAATAAAAAAATTAAAAAACTCATATTCTTGATTCATTTTTAACAGCTGCTGTAAAACCGTAAGTTTGTAAAATTAAACGCAATGGTAATGAAAAAATATTTTTATTCAGAACACTTAACGGTGGAACATTGTACGTATATACTTGAAGTCATGAAAATATTTCAAAAACATTGAGGTAAATAACCATCAAAAGTGGATTATCAAAAGCATAAAAAAAATGAAAGAAAAAAATATGTAATCGTGGCTGAACTTAGCTACGTTACATGGACTCTCCCCTGTAAATGACGATGTTGTTATCAGTTTCGAAAATTTTAACTTCGTAGAGTAGTTCAGGTTTCGGCAGCAACTTTTTGATTTCGTCGAATACATAAATCGCAACGTTTTCAGTGGTTGACACAACGTTCTTAAAGTACGGAACGTCCTTGTCCAAATTTTTGTGGTCCAACTGGTCCATGAGTATCTTTTTCATGTAGACTTTCAAGTCCGAAATGTTCATGACCATTCCTGTTTTAGGGTCTACGGGTCCACGTACGGTTACTTCGACTAAGAAAAAAGGAAAAAAAAATCAACAGATTTATCGGCTTTACTTGATTAATGATCTCGCTGAATTAACAAAGTCTACAGAAACATTGTGCACGGAAACATTACGCGTTCAACTTTTTTGAACTAGATTTATGCGGCACATTTTACATAACAAAATTTATCTCCCCCTAACGGATCGATCTTTGTGCTGCTGAGTGCAGTTGCAATGATTACCGTGAATTGCAGTATTCAGAGAGGATATAATATTTTTTCAAATAAATAAACATTAATATACATCAATTCAATTGCATTTTAAAAATGATAAAAAGTAAATCACTTGAAAATCGATCGAAGTTAATGATTGCATAAAATGAAAATTACCGGTATAGTTGTGTCCATGGCCCCAATAATTATTGCACTTTCCATAAACATTTTTGTTCTCTTCGTCGCTGAGATGTGGACTGAAAGATGAGAGAAAAAAATTAATCGAAATAGAATTATCCAAAAGAAAGATTTACACATTATTAGAATTTGTTCCATCGGTCGAGTAATTGCCACTGAGTCGCTCAACAGGTTTCATTACATAAACCCGCGAGCCTAACAGAGATTTATTTACGGTGATGGCAGAGTCAAGGTGTCACAATAAAACGAAAAGTAAAAGTAGAGAGATAGCTGCACTGTCTTTTAATTTATATACGACTGTACCTGTGAAGCCTGTGGCAGGACGATATGGACTCCTTTCTGGTGAGATATCCAACAGGTCGGGACATTGTTGTATTGATTGTTATTGGCGCAGAGCAATGCAAGGCAAGATACTGACTGCGCAAGGCGAGAGATGGATATTAAACATAAAACCGAGTCGGCTTACGCAGCTGCGCTCGCGCAGGCAACGTCGATACGGCTCTTGTATAGCTTTGTGTCCCCTACTTTAGTGCATTTCTATATACACGCACACACTCACATTATCATGTATAACATGTTTAAAACGCAACATATAAAATACTTCGCGCAAAGACACGTTACGATATCGCGACGGCCTCTGTCAGTCTTGCACACGTATATTGTGCCTATATGTGTCGTAGTAGTGGATTGCCAAGGTATGAAATTACCAAGAGTATTCGATTTCAAGGTCGACAAACTCTTCCTGGGGCCGCGTTCATCGCAACTGTCATTCTATCTAGGTCTTTTCACCACTTTCTTTAACATCAACCCGCCAGCTGTATCTTTTTATACAATTTGTATAAAAAATTGTTGCAATGGACATTCGACGAAGTTTATGAAAATGTCGATCGATTTTTTTAATCGACTAGGACCGGCGACGACAAAGACAACGACACAAGCATAACACGTGTCTGTATGAAGACAATTAATATTCTTATATCTGAGGCAAAAACAATTTGTAGCATTTACTTTTGAATGTACTTATATAACACTCAACACCTTTTACTTGTCATGACAAAAAACTATTTAACAGAATCATTGTGAAACCTTTTTACTTTTTGCCACTCTGTTGCTGTTCGATGCAGCAATTTCCGGTCACCCTTTTTGGTGAAAAAAAAAAAATTACTTTTGTAATAGCGTTACACATACGTTAGTATCTGAAATTTTTTCTCGATCAGAAGAATAATATTAAAAACAATAGGTATTTATGAAATGAAAGACGATTAGGAAAATTGAATAATAATCTATAATGGGCTGACAGTTACAAACAAAACAAGCAGCCAAAGAACATTTTTTTAATGTCTATTTAGAACTTTTTTTAATAAATCTAATAAGATTATTGAATTATAAAAAATGAAGCAAAATTACAACAATTATCAACGGCAAAATTAAGAAAATCAAAATATCCAGTTTGAGCGAGTTTAAATAAAATAATCAGAAAATTGATCTATGTAAAGTACTTACAATATGAATGTAAGTATTGACATGTTGCTTCAATGAGCTCCTGTAAAAAGTTTAATAATTTTACGGCAGTTTTCTTCGTCGAATTACTTTTATTGAATTTAATCGATTTATCTACTTTACGTAATAAAAACTATGAAAAATTTGTTTTTTCAATTGCAATATTTTTCACTTGAAAGTATACAGGCACATTTTAAAGAAATTAATGCAAGAGAATGTAATTAGTAACAAATAAATAAGTCAAAGCTTATACACAAAATATTTTCATCATCCATTTTCTATGATTTTCAAAGAAAATTTTTTTGCGGTGGTCTGTGAAGACTGGACAAATAAGAGAATTTCGGAAAATATGAGTATTATGAGTTAAAAAATGTGTCATTGGACAATCGTTGAGTCACTACGTATTAGTTATTGTTTTTTCGATGTGTTTGAAGATTGGATATCCATGCGATTTTAAGACTTACTTTAAATTCAAATTTTTGACTTTGAACGATAAGATTAATTCTTTTTGTCTGTATGAGTCGAGATATTATTAGGCATTGCGCGCAAGACTGCTCATGTTTCCTATAAGATAATAATTCCTATAAAATGCTATTCAGTATAAGAATAAAGGGAATGTTTCAATTTTCATTATTCTATTTCGATCATCGATCTAGGGCTGGTTTTCTCACGTCTAAAACGTGTCCATCCATTTGATGAGTTCGGAGCAGAAAAAGCAACAAAGGAAAATGAAGATAAATTGGAGACTATGTAATGCCAGCGAAGATTTCTCATAAAAATTAGGGCTAGGGATGTCGAAATCGTGGGTGTGATTGGATACGTGACGAACAAAGAGCAAGTAAGCGAAGCGATCGCTGCGATCCATCCACGTGCACGCACGAATGTGTTACGGTAAAAATGGGGATCGAAAGAGCTGCGTAATTCACTGCCAAGCAATTCAGTCTCTATGTGTGGCTTTCAAGTTCCAAAAAATCCAAGTACGAAACTACGACTCGGGCATCCAGTACACATACGTGTATATAATGTAGCATCAGTGGATTAGAAAAAGACGAGGGAAATGAGAGGCTGCTGGCATGTGTAGCTACGTATGTTAATAGATGCGGATGATTTCTCCTTCTTCTTTGGTTGCTCGTCGTGTCTGAAAACGATAGGTGCCTCGTCGTGAGATATAAAGTGCTCGGCTTTTGTGCTGCAGGCCGGCGCGCGCCGCCGCGCTAGGCTCCTAACTAACTGCTGCTCGGTGCGGGACCGCTCCGCCGGCGTCGCGAGGCGCGATCGCTCGGCCAGCGAGAAGCGGACGCAGTAGTTCTCCGACTACCACAACACGCGCTCGCTCTTCTCTCTCTCTCTCCTCTCTCTCCCTCGCTCACCTCTCTAATCCAGTGTCGTATCGGAGGCTGCTAAACAATAACACACGACACACGCAACGCCAGAGGAAAGAGTAAATTTCGAGCTTTGCAACGATACATAGATTCGTTATACTGACGAAAAAAGAGAAGTAGCGAAAATGACTGTGGTCGACGTGCCGGAGCAGCAGCAGCAGCAGCAGCAGCAGCTTGAGCCGCGTCAGCAGCCACTGCAGTGCTACCTCGCTCTCGAGAATGGCAGTTATTTTGCCGGCACGGCTTTCGGTGCCGCTAAACCCATCGATGGAGAGATCGGTGAGTTCATCTCCTACGCTGACAAAGATAATTACATTGATAACTCCGATTGCGTTACCTACTCCGCGCATATGCCGTTGGCTGCACGTGTGTGCTCGGTATCGTATTCGTACACGCTCGATGCGGCCACTAGTTCTCCTACACGTGGTGTGGCCTGCGCCGGCTCGCTCGTACTCGCACGTGTTTGACTTTTCAACGACAATGATATGCCATTTTTATTGTCGCTCCCGCTATCGCGGCTAACATTTGCAATTGTCTACCCTCTATTACCGAGTAGCGAGGAGATTTTTTTCCATTGTCATCTCTGTACGTGTATTACAGGCATGTGCTCATTAGCATGCAGGCAACAGGCCCAGAGATTAGAAAGTTCCGACGGGATCGCTAGAAATTTAAATGCCCGTTTTCGACAGTGATCGATTACCATTGTAAACACGTATCGGTATCGCTTACATAAACCTTGTTTGTACGTATATTACAGTAATGTTGATGTTTTCGTTTTCATTCATACGTCAAAAATTCAGGAAAATATTCTCGCACATCGAGTTGCCGAATAGATCGATCGATTAAGCTGACATTGTATGTTCGCAGTTTTTTAATACCAAGTTGCAGAATAGAAGTTTAAAAGCGAGCTTGTGCCTTTGAGAATATATGGCCTAAGATAAGCGAAAAGTTGAATATAAAAAAACGGCTCTAGCGCACAATGTCATTGTCGTTGCAGTTTCAAGTTTGTCGACGCGTAAAATTTATGGAATACACGATGTATATGAACGAACGCCAGCCGAACGATTTACGATATCGTTTTCGCTGTGACGCAGTACGCTATTCCGTCCTAACTTATTGTCCTTACGACGCGCGAAGTCGATACGCGTATTTACAATTTCGAGCGACGGAGCGAGCGTAAGAGACAAGATCTTTTTTTTATTCGTCTCGCTCTTTATCGTGGCACATAGCGTCGTCTATATACTCGAGACATCGGAAACGATCCGACGCGTTTTTTGTCAATGCTGGCAAAATAATTCCCGGCCATTCAAGTGGCTACTTCAGCACTTGGAAGCGAAAAGCGATACAACCTGGGCCCCACGCGCACGTATTACAGCTTAGCATCTTTACGCGCGCGTGTCGCAGCTCTTCTATTTGCTTTAGGAAACCAGATCGCATGTTTGGAAAAATGTACAAACTCGACGCATTCTTGTACACAAACATAGCGAGGCAAAAAGTATGATATGTTCCTCGTTCATCCGCAATGCAAAATTTTGCTTTCTAGTCTTTCAAACTGGCATGGTCGGCTATCCCGAATCGCTGACCGACCCGTCCTACTGCGAACAGATACTGGTGCTCACCTATCCACTCATCGGCAATTACGGAGTACCGAGCGACGAAGAGGACGAGCACGGCTTACCGAGGTAGGAATGAAAACTTGACCTCTGAAAATTCATGCGTCTGTTTGGTTGAACCACGCGGGAAAATATTATGATGACGCGTACTTGATTATTATGCGCTTAATCGACGATTCATGCGCTGCTGCTGTTGCTGTAGTTTTTTTTTTTCACTTTTTTCCGAGATCGATCTCAAAGAAATCAATTGATCGAGAATTACACATCACTGACTCTGCAGATGGAGATAACGCCGAGCGTTTTTTCTACTTTTTCTCAGCGAGCCAATTCAGATTTTCTCTCTCGACGATCTTTTAAATCTCTCGCGCATAGTCACATTTTCCGTGCTCGAGTATCGAATCGATGCTCGTGATTTATCGCGAGTCAACGAATTCGTAGATGAAACGAGGCAGCGGCAATCGCGGCGCATTACGCGTCGCACTTCCGCACATTTGCCCATCGCGTATCGATGAATCGAAATGTATGGTCATAAATCGATGAACCGGCCGATAACCCCTCGCGCTTCTTGCCTCGTGTCGCGCAGCACGAACAGCAGCAGCAGCAGCAGCAGCTGTCACGTTCGGAAAGCATGATTTATGTAAATGATGATCGCGATGTTCGTGACTATACACGATGACATTGCAGATGGTTCGAGTCGCACAAGATCTGGGCAGCTGGTCTCGTGGTGAGCGAACTCTGCGCCAAGCCGAGCCACTGGCGCCAGGTGCGCGATCTGTCCGACTGGATGAGCGCCCAGGGCGTGCCCGGCATACAGAACGTGGACACGCGCGCCCTCACCAAGATCATCCGCGAGCGAGGCACCATACTCGGACGCATAGTCTTCTCTCTGCCGATCAGCTCGACGCCCATCGCCGACCCCAACAGCCACAACCTCGTGGCCAAGGTCTCCAGGGTGAGTGCCTGCGGCGGCAAATTATTGCGTCGTTCTCGACAAACTTGTCTAAATACCACTGTTTGTAGCAAACGAAAACCGTCTACAACCCGAGCGGCTCACCCACCATCTGCGTGGTCGACTGCGGTCTCAAGTACAACCAGCTGCGATGCTTCCTGTCTCGCGGCGCACGGGTCGAGGTCGTTCCCTGGAATCACAAGTTCCAAAACGAGAAGTACGACGGCCTGTTCCTCAGCAACGGGCCCGGCGATCCGAGCATGTGCAAGGAGACCTTCGACAACATCAGGAGCGTCCTCGCTTCCAACAAGCCCATCTTCGGCATCTGTCTCGGGCACCAATTGCTCTCGCTCGCTGCTGGATGCAAGAGCTACAAAATGAAGTACGTCTTTTTTCCCTTCGTTTCCAACGCATCCGCTCGAGTATCGATCCAATCCTTTTTCCAATCTTTGCAGATACGGTAACCGAGGCCACAATCAGCCGGCCGTCCACCACGGCACCGAGCGCTGCTTCATGACCTCGCAAAATCACGGATTCGCCATCGATCCGCAGAGTTTGCCCGAGGATTGGGAGGTACTCTTCACCAATGCCAACGACGCCAGTAACGAGGGTATCGTGCACTCGAGTCTGCCCTACTTCTCCGTCCAGTTCCATCCCGAGCACACGGCTGGACCGCAGGATCTCGAGTGTTTGTTCGACGTGTTTCTCGATACCGTGCGAGATCACAAAAGCGGCCGGAACACCGACATCAGCGTGAAGCAGAGACTCTGCGATGCCTTGAAGTACGAGTCGAAACGGCCTGCCATTGAAGCCAGACCAAAGAAGGTCTTGATCTTGGGCTCTGGTGGTCTCAGTATCGGTCAGGCTGGCGAATTCGATTACTCGGGTTCTCAGGCCATCAAAGCTCTCAAGGAAGAGAACATCCAGACTGTCTTGATCAATCCCAATATCGCCACTGTACAAACTTCCAAAGGCATGGCCGATAAGGTTTACTTTTTGCCGATCCTGCCCGACTACGTAGAGCAGGTCATTCAGTCGGAGCGTCCCGATGGCGTGCTGCTGACCTTCGGAGGCCAAACCGCCCTGAACTGCGGTGTTCAGCTTCAATCGCGCGGAATCTTTGAAAAATACGGAGTGAAAATCCTCGGTACGCCCATCGAGTCCATCATCGAGACGGAAGATCGCAAACTGTTCGCGGAGCGCGTCAGTGAAATCAACGGCCAAGTGGCGCCGAGTTGCGCCGTCTACTCCATCCAGGAAGCCATCGAAGCCGCCGAGAAGCTCGGCTATCCCGTCATGGCTCGAGCTGCCTTTTCCCTCGGCGGTCTGGGCTCCGGCTTCGCCAATACCAAGGAAGAGCTGAAGGCGCTGGCGCAACAGGCTCTCGCCCACTCGTCGCAATTGATAATCGACAAGTCGCTGCAAGGCTGGAAGGAGGTCGAGTACGAGGTGGTCCGCGACGCCTACGACAATTGCATCACCGTGTGCAACATGGAGAACGTCGACCCGCTGGGCATCCACACGGGCGAGTCGATCGTCGTCGCGCCCAGTCAGACTCTGTCCAATCGAGAGTACAACATGCTGCGCACCACAGCGGTCAACGTCATCCGCCACTTCGGCATCGTCGGAGAGTGCAACATCCAATACGCCCTCAATCCCTTCTCCGAGGAGTTCTACATAATCGAGGTGAACGCCCGACTATCTCGCAGTTCGGCGCTCGCCAGCAAAGCCACGGGCTACCCGCTCGCCTACGTGGCGGCCAAATTGGCCTTGGGTATTCCACTGCCCGTCATCAAGAACTTGGTCACCGGTGAGACGACGGCCTGCTTCGAGCCCAGTCTCGATTACTGCGTCGTCAAGATACCCAGATGGGACTTGAGCAAGTTCCAACGGGTGAGCACGAAGATCGGCAGCTCGATGAAGAGCGTCGGCGAGGTCATGGCCATCGGCCGCACCTTCGAGGAGGCCTTCCAGAAGGCCCTCCGCATGGTCGACGAGAACGTCGCCGGCTTTTGCCCTTACCTCAAGAAGGTCAACGAGGAAGAGCTGGAGAAGCCCACGGACAAGCGGATGTTCGTTTTGGCCGCGGCTATGAAGGCCGGATACACTACCCAGCGACTCTGGGAGTTGACCAAGATCGACAAGTGGTTCTTGGAGAAAATGCGCAACATCATCGATTATCAAAGCCTCTTGGAGAATCTCGAGCAGACCAAGCTCGAGTACGACACGCTGCTGCGCGCCAAACAGTATGGATTTTCCGACAAGCAGATAGCCGTGGCCGTGAAAAGTACCGAACTGGCCATTCGCAAGCAGAGAAAGGAAAACAAGATATTCCCGTTCGTCAAGCAGATCGACACGGTCGCTGCCGAGTGGCCAGCGAGCACGAATTATTTATACTTGACTTACAACGGTACCACCAACGATTTGGGATTCAACGAGGGTTACGTCATGGTTATCGGTAAGTCGTCGTCGCGATAAACTTGGACCAATTATGCCTCACCGTGCTCTAACTCGACTGCTGAATTTTTTCAGGTTCGGGAGTCTACAGAATCGGCAGCTCGGTCGAGTTCGACTGGTGCGCCGTGAGTTGCCTTCGAGAGCTCCGAAATCTCGGCAAAAAGACCATCATGGTCAATTACAACCCGGAGACGGTGAGTACGGATTACGACATGAGCGATCGGCTGTACTTCGAGGAGATCTCCTTCGAAGTCGTTATGGACATCTACGATCAAGAATCGCCCGAAGGTATAATTTTGTCGATGGGCGGCCAACTGCCCAACAACATTGCCATGGACCTGCACAGGCAGCAGGCGAGAATATTGGGCACGTCTCCGGAACAAATCGACGGAGCGGAGAATCGTTTCAAGTTTTCCAGAATGTTGGACAGAATCGGAATCTCGCAGCCAAGGTGGAGAGAGCTTACGGATTTACAGGCTGCCGTGGAGTTCTGCCACGAGGTCGGCTATCCCTGCCTCGTGCGACCGTCCTACGTACTCAGTGGCGCGGCCATGGCTGTTGCCCATACGGACAACGATCTTCAATCCTACTTGAAAACCGCCGCTAGCGTCAGCAAGAAGCACCCGGTCGTCATTTCCAAATTCATCCTCGAAGCCAAGGAAATCGACGTCGACGCCGTAGCTTATAACGGCAATATTCTCTGCATGGCGGTTTCCGAGCACGTAGAGAACGCAGGTGTGCATTCTGGCGATGCCACGCTGGTCACCCCACCCCAAGACATAAATGCCCAGACTCTGGAAAAAATCAAAATCATTACGCGACAGATAGCTCACAACTTGGAGGTCACCGGACCCTTCAATATGCAGCTTATCGCCAAAGACAATGAACTCAAAGTCATCGAATGCAATGTTCGCGTTTCTCGATCGTTCCCCTTCGTTTCCAAGACTCTGGATCACGATTTCGTGGCAATGGCCACCAAGTTGATCGTTGGCGAGCCAGTCGAGCCCGTCGATGTATTGGCTGGCTGCGGAAAAGTCGGCGTCAAAGTTCCGCAATTCTCCTTTTCGCGATTGACCGGCGCCGACGTGATGCTTGGCGTCGAAATGGCGTCCACGGGCGAAGTAGCTTGTTTCGGTGACAACCGTTACGAGGCATATTTGAAGGGCATGATGAGTACAGGTTTTCACATTCCGCAAAAGGGAATTTTGCTGTCTATTGGAACATACAAGGTATTAACATTTAAAGAAAGTCCACTTTTATATTGACTTTATATTGAATCGAACTAATCCATATCGATTTTTCAGCACAAAACTGAGCTTCTGCCTGCGATTGCTAGTCTTCAAAAGATGGGATTCAAGCTATACGCTAGCATGGGTACAGCAGATTTCTATTCAGAGCATAAAATCAACGTAAGTCTAGTATTAACTGAAACTCTTGTAAAACTATGAATATTTTTTAGCGAAAAATTAAAATGTCAAAATTATATCAAAATTTTCAGGTTGAACCCGTGCAATGGACGTTCGAAGATGTAGTGGACAGCGAAGACTCAAGCCCGAGCGAGTTGCGAAATCTTGCCGATTTCTTGTCGAAGAAGCACTTCGACATGGTCATCAATTTACCGATGCGCAACGGTGGTGCTCGTCGAGTGTCGAACTTCATGACCCACGGATACCGCACTCGAAGACTCGCTGTAGATTATTCGGTTCCACTCATCACCGACGTCAAGTGTGCCAAGCTGTTGGTCGAGGCGATGCTGAAACTAGAAGGCAAGGCGCCGCTCATGAAAACCCACACGGACTGCGTGTCGTCGCGCCGTTTGGTTCGTCTGCCGGGCTTCATCGATGTGCACGTGCATGCTCGCGATCCAGGCGCGACGCACAAGGAAGACTTTGCCTCGTGCACGGCTGCTGCCCTGGCCGGCGGAGTAACCATGATCCTCGCCATGCCAAATACCGATCCCGCTATCGTAGACCAGCAATCCTTCGCAATTGCCAAGGAGGTGAGAATTTGGAATGCACGTTAGGAGCCGCGTGAGTGGTCGAACGTTTAATTTTACTCCAATTTTATTTTTTAGCGTGCGAAAATTGGTGCTCGTTGTGACTATGCTCTTTACGTCGGTGCATCGTCCGATAATTACACCCACATATCGGAAATGGCTCCGTCAGCTGCTGGTCTAAAGATGTACCTCAACGAAACCTTCACAACTCTTCGTCTCAATGATCTCACTGTTTGGGGCAAGGTTTGTACTGGAAAACTTCTAGATGATTATCGATATTTCCCCCGAAAATTCTACGAATAATATTAACATTTTTTTCAGCACTTTGAACATTGGCCTCAAAAATATCCGATTTGCGTTCATGCTGAGCGCCAAACTACCGCAGCTATTTTGCTTCTGGCTAATTTACACAACAGACCGATACATGTGTGTCACGTTGCCCGAAAAGAAGAAATCCAAATTATTCGAGCCGCGAAGGAAAAGGTAAGCTTCATCTCTATGAAGCAATTTTTATGTCTATCTGAATAGTAAATAATTTTCATCAAACTTGTTATAAAAATATTCAATCGTTCTAATATTTTTTTATAATTCAATCATTTACAATCGTATTTAGGGTCTGCCCATTACATGCGAAGTGTGCCCTCATCATTTGTTCTTGACCGAAGAAAATTTAGCAAAGATAGGCGAGGCCAGGGGTCAAGTGAGGCCAACGCTGGCCACTAAAGAAGATGTTCAAGCTCTTTGGGACAACATGGACATCATTGACGTTTTCTCCACAGATCATGGTAAATATAAATCATAATTTTTCATCTTCGTTGAAATGATAAAAAATTAGCAAAAACTACAAATAATCATGAATATTACTCCGTATTTTACAGCTCCCCATACAGTGCAAGAAAAATCTCGTACATCTCCACCGCCACCACCAGGTTATCCAGGTCTAGAAACAATTTTACCACTGCTTTTGAATGCTGTGAATGAAGGAAAATTGGAAATGGAGGTACGCACTTGACATTTCGATCTATATCTCAACTGAACATAAATTAAACCGAGCAATGAAATGTGTTTTTTCATTTTTTTGTCTATAGGACTTGATCAACAAATTTTATCGTAATCCAAAACGCATCTTCAATCTGCCTGATCAACCAAACACGTACGTCGAAGTTGACCTCGATGAGGAATGGGTAATTCCAGAAGCCATGCAGTTCACCAAATCTAAGTGGACTCCGTTCGCTGGCATGAAAATTCGCGGTGCTGTACATCGCGTGGTTCTACGAGGTGAAGTTGCCTACATCGAGGGACAGATCCTCGTCAATCCGGGCTTCGGTCAAGATGTGCGCGAACTACAGAAAAAAGTCAAGATCGTCACACCCTCGATGCACACGCCAACTGCTGAGCTCATGAGTCGACCAAGCTCTGCTGCCGATGTTTTCACGTCGCCGAATCAAAGAAAGAATCTATATGAAGATGATGAGCCTTTGGGTGAGTAATAATTGATTATGAAATATTCAAAATGATTTTGAGATCATTATCATTTATTGTTTTTGATATTTTCCTAGATGCTTTTGGTCATTCAACAAAATCATTATTGGGTCATGGCACCGATTTCGTACCAGTACAACGAGCCGTATCTCCTTTGCCATTCACTAGTGCAACTCGTCACAAGGGCGATAGTAATCCTAATTTATTCGTCCAACCACTGCCTCATCCCACTTCACTAGTGTCGCATCATCATGGCCTCAACGGACACCATATTCTCTCAGTTGACATGTTCAAAAAGGAACAGCTCAAGGATATTTTCGATATTGCTCACGATTTCAGAAAATCTATTTTAGCTGATCGATCATTGGATCATATTTTGAGGGTAAATTTGAGTTTATTCTTTCATTTTTGTACTATACTTAACTAAACCGATACTATAATTTCACCATAATTATTACAGGGAAAAGTGATGGCCTCCATGTTTTATGAAGTAAGCACAAGAACATCTTGCAGCTTCGATGCTGCCATGCAGCGGTTGGGAGGACGAGTCATTCACATGGATGAAATGAAATCGTCAACTAAAAAAGGAGAAACTCTCGAAGGTACGTGCAATATATACAATTATGACGTATTTCGTGCACATATTGAACTTTTAATCAATCGATTGTATGGTGAATGTTATTTGCAGATTCCGTTACCATAATGGCTGGATATGCTGATGTTGTAGTACTTCGACATTCCGAACGCGGTGCAGTCAATGTAAGTTTTAGTTTCATCCTTTCAAATATTGGTTTTTCTACATTATCAAAATAATCAAAACTGCATTTTTTACAGAGAGCTGCGATGCGTTGTCGCAAACCGTTGATCAATGCAGGTGACGGCATTGGTGAACACCCAACTCAAGCACTCTTGGATATTTTCACTATAAGAGAAGAAATGGGTACCGTTAGAGGATTGACCATTACAATGGTCGGTGATTTGAAGAATGGGCGAACAGTACATTCTCTCGCAAGGTTTGATACATTTTTTTTCTTTTTACATTATTTCATGTAAGGCATGGAAATGAATCAATTAAAATGAATATTTATCCTGGATCAACGAACCTTTAATCTGATGCCATGACGTCTGTTTGAATAATTATGAAGTCTTCGTGACGTTACGATCGTCATTTAAATAATAATTATTATTCTAAATGACTGACGAACGAATAATAGCAAATTCAATGCAAATATTTATTATATGAATATCGTTTTATAATGTATGTTATTTTATCATTTTAAAGGTTGTTGGCTCTCTACGAGAACGTTCAACTTCGTTACGTCAGTCCACCAAACTTGGAAATGCCAGAAGAAATCGTCAAATTCGTCGCCAGCAAAGGGACACCTCAGGAGAGATACAATCGACTCGAGGATGTATTAGCCGAAACTGATATTCTCTACATGACTCGTATTCAACGTGAGAGGTTTGATACTCAAGAAGAGTACGATAGGGTGAGTCCAGACCTCATTAAAATTCCAGCAACGTTTTTTACTTTCGATTATATTCAAAGTACAAATTTCTTATTCGCTTTATTCGTTACCGGCAGGCATGTGGACACTTCGTCGTGACGCCTCAATTGATGACGCGCGCCAAGAACAAGATGCGCGTCATGCACCCACTACCAAGAGTTTTCGAAATCAGTCCAGAATTCGACAACGATCCAAGGGCTGCTTACTTCCGACAAGCTGAGAATGGCGTTTACGTACGTATGGCACTACTGGCCATGGTACTTGGACGTTGTTAATGATTTTTCATGCATACTGACATCTTGGATTTTCCGATGCAAGCAAGACTACGGTTCTTTTGATCCAAGAATTTTCATTAGTTTTTAAGCTGCCTTTTGGGTAAACTACTTGATTTTTATTCGTAACTTTCACTAATAAGACTATTGGTGCTAAGTTGGTACTCAATGAACGTAGATGTATTCCAGTTTTTACATCTTGTAATTCAACTGGATTTTTCGTCTTTTTTGTGATACTTTTTTAACTGTTTACAACTGGAAAAACGACGTTTTAAATACTTTTATGTGATAATCAAGGAAAATTTTAACAATAATATTTTATATATTTTTTGATTGCATTGAACTGAAATATTTCAATCAATTTACAATTGATGTGTAATCAGTCAAAAAGGTTGTGAAACGCTCAATAGTTGATTATTATTTTCAATAATGTTATATATGCCATTACATATTTTTTATTTATTTCCATAAGTATTTTAAAAGAGTTGCTATATATTATACATATGAAATTATTTTGAGGAAATACAGACATGGAATCACTAGATAATACAATATGAAAGTTTCTTTTATTTATTGACATACTTTATATTCGATAACATTCAGATCAAAGTTTAATATTTAGTTTTATTTGTATGGACGTACTTTTTCATTAATCTGTTTCGTTTACACAAAGCTTAAATATGGTAAAAAATAAATAAAAATAGATGACTTTCACACCAAGTATGCATCAGGTGTGTGGTTTTTACGGCTAATACTTTAGTAAAAAATATTAATCACATTCATTTCTTGTGAGTTTTATATAAAAATAAACCTTAAATTATATTACAATTTATACACTTTTAAAGTCTTAAAAATTAATATTATGAAATATTATCACAATCGTTAGTTTACATTACGTATAAAATACATGTTCCAATGGTTCTCCTTGGTAAAAAAATTAACTATTTTTTTCTATAATTATGTCTATTTCAATCGCTGCAACTTATTGTTGACACATACGATTCATTTTTTGACTTAATCAAAGTTACGCTGACAAATAATCACTTACTTTATCGAATCTACAAATTTTGTTCCCTTAGATTCTTCAAAAAATACTTGTGTCAATGTACTTTCATGTCCCATTTAAGCAAAATGATAATATCATTTAAAAAAAGTTATCATTTGAACGATGATTATTATCAAACAATGGCGTCGAGTTGACCCGCGGGTACCTGGCTCGAGCCGTTTGGGCACATGTCCGTGGCAAAGCACGTAGCGTCGTCTTGAGGCGCTTGACGATTCGCTCGACCGATCACCGGCATTTTCAGACGTGACTTTCGCTTGTGCATTTTATTGAGACTTTCAGTTTTTCTGCGCAAAGAATGATAATTTTTTCGATAACAAGTATACTTTCCATTTCCTCACGTTCATGATCGCGAATCATTTCATTAATTGAATTAAATCTTGACTTACTGAGTTCTGCAGTCTATGAAGAGGCCCATTGAGAAAAGGAATATTACGGCGGCGATAATGCCAATAACGACGACGACCAGCGTCACTATAGCATCCTCCTCTTCGTTCGTCAACGACGACGGAGTCGTTGACCATATCGCTCCTTCTGTAACTAAAAATCGTACGCATTTAATCGTTATCTCTTCCAATTCGAGATCATAAATTATCGTTTCGGATTCTGCAAATACGTAAAATCATTCAAAGTTTCATGGTATCGAGGTGTTCTATCGCAAGGAAGCAAAATACATCGATTGTGATGCGCTTGAAATAGATAAACAAAGAAGCAAAAGATTGAAATTCTATATTAGTAAAACGTAATATCATTCACGAATTTTATACGCATACAGATCGTACAATACATGTGTTTTATTGTGTGCAGAATGAAAGGTGTCTCGAGATATTTACGCAATCAGAGCATTAAAACGTTGCATCACGCGCATTATAGCCCGCGTAATAGTCCAAAATTTGACTTTTGCAGCTAACGTTCGGTAATACGACGATGATGCAGCGCTTACAGCGCGTCGCGTCGTCCGATTCCTGAAATGAATACACTTTTTTTCGTTCCGAGATAATCGCATGTTCTTCCAGTGTAGCGTAAGCTTCGGTAACATGCGCAAATAAGCGATGTGCGTGCCGCTGGAATCAAGTGCACGATCAATTGGCATTAATTCAATTATTGGCTTTACTCCCCCGTTGAGGCAGATAGTGCAGCCGAGAGAACGTCGAGCACTACTCTGTCTCGTCGACTATGATGACCACTTCCGCGCATTTATGTGTGTACATTGTGCCATCTTCCACTTTTCGCCTATTTCTTTTATAGTACCTATAGTCGTTTCAATTCTCCATGGACTCTTCGTTGAATGCGCGCCGAGGCTTTATAAATAGTGCATACTCCGGCGTCGACTCGCCGCAGCAGTATAATGTGCCACTCACCCCGTATACGCTGTAAATTACGCGCGTACGTACGGCCCTAGCCGAGGTCGATTGTAATATCGAGTATAGAGATGCTGTGCTCGAGCGTTTTGTCGCGCGAACGAGCGCCGATTAAATTATTCGACTTTCTTTACGAACTAGCGGTAGCGGACACAACGATTGAAGGATGACTTTTTGTCGAAAGTTGCAAAAATAAAAGTATCACGCAATACAACGATCGATCGATATTATTCGAAAACAAACCTTTCAATAAATCCTGCCGGACAACTTGTGGTTTCATGGTGTTCCTTTGGTAATACCCGACGTAAATTTTGTTTGCCTGCGCGCATCAACGTGGGAATTCCCAAAGTGGGAAAAGGGTTTTTAATTAACGCGTCACGTTTAATTAATACATCCACTTGCGTGTTTGTGAACGAACGAGTTCGAATCAGATGCAGTGATTTTTTTTTCATAGATCAGAGAGTGCGTTTCCAACTGATTAGTTCGAAACGTCCGAAAAAAGTCCCCGTCTAGTTGGATGATTCAACGAATGCTTCATAGATAATTCATCAAATCGATAAAGTTTAGTCATCGATGTGCGCGCGGATACTTCTCTCTCTCTCTCTCGCAATAATAAATAAGTTCCGACATTCGTCGCGTCCATACGCACATCTCTCGTACGCTCCAAGGATTGCGTTTATTACGATATAATACGTGCGAAACCTGCGATGATTTGTCGCCGCGATTAAACAGCACCGACTCGCGGATTATCAGCAGGACGCGAACGTGCTCTATCTCACTGCGGATTCGAGGTAGGAATTATCGCTCCTGCCGCGTGTTCTTTTCGATATTTGCGCGATCCCTCGCCAAAGATCTCATCGTCGGCAAGACTCGAACGGCTCAAACATTATATTACATTATTGATGATGCGTATAGATGCGTGCCGTAACTCGGCTAATCATGTAAATTTTTGCGCCTTCAATAGGGGGATGCATTATCGATTCTTCGCGCTTCTTGACTTTAAATCAATTGAATTTTTATCCATACCGTTTATCATTATAATTTCTTTATCCTGTATGCGATGTACGGTCATCGAACGCGTCATCTTCGTGCGCGTATATTGACGCATTAATTAAATAACGAACGTATGAATTTTTCAATGTAATTTCAAGGAGCTCAATGTCAATGCCGCGCGATAAAACGATCGCATACGTATACGCGCCGCGACACGCGCTTCATCCAGAAAACGTTCGCTTTCGCGATAATCGTATTGAATTTCTCTCTCGAGCAGATTTCGCGTTTTTTTCATTATTATTCCGAGTCATAGCGGAAAAAAGGCGTAATCGTCAAGGGATGAGGCACATGGCTCGAAACACCAATTATTCGAATAACTTTTTTTCCATCAAGTTTTGCGCAGTCGCTCTTTATACCATGTGCCCACATTGTGACGTCGGAGCTTTACAGCTTTATAGATACGATAGCTATGTGCTTGCTACACTTTCGATTAAGATTAGAGATAAAATTGGTTCGGTTTCAAATTGCTACAAATTTAATGAATCACAGTTCAAACACGACGAGATATATTTAAAACGAAGAAATCGATGCTGGTTCTACATGGAATTTCGATGCATGTTTTTAAAATAATTCACTCACACTTGGAATAGAGTTATTTGGTATTTCAATGATTGACTTTATCGAAATGATTTAAAGAATGAGAAAGGCGAAGCGAATTGGCACACAAATAAAAATAAGCGGAGCAGGTGCAGCGCCAACGAAGCTATCGTATTTTTCCGTCCAATTTAGAAATACAAGTTTATTATCTACGTTATTGTATCAAACTCATGATTGAATAAAACTTTGAGCACCGACTTTGGATCCGGTATAGGCTATCTCGCGCGTGCTAGAAAATTACCGGCAAGAGTTTCTCGCGCGATCAGTACGTATAGGAAGGCCAGGCCGGCTTCGAGAGGTATCGGCGCCGCCTATGGCGAGCGTTCACGAGCGAGAGACTCGTCCATAAAACTTGGAACGAATCTGGGTTAAATATTTGCGAAGCGCTTGGAACTGCAGCTGTGAGCACCGGCCACAACTTCGGACGACAGGTACACGAGATTCCGAGCGACGAGAGGTTGACGCGCAGTTTTGTTGATTCAATTGTATTACGATGTACTCGTGCGACGCGAGCGCTGCGCCATGAGAATAATTTATACGTATCCGACAATGACACAGATAGTCTGCTATGTGCCGTGTCGCGGGACTAATTGCCGGTGTCGCATTATGATAATAGCTTGGAGTTTCACTGGACGATCGAAGAAGAGAAGAAGAAGAAGAAGAAGAAGAAAATCGAGCGCAGCTGACGGAGTGGCTCGCGATGCACTCGAGGCACAGACACACGACAGCTCGCGCAACTCGACTTTCATATTTATTTATGAAAATCGCCGATCGATCGGATAAATAGTCGGAGAAAAAATAATGCAAGGCCGATTGTTTCGATGATTCACGCATAATTAGTTAATGCGCGTGGTGGCAGTTCAATGCAGCGCCGCGCACAGTGTACGACAAATATATGTATGGGAGACCTGCACCGTAGAGAAAGTGAATCGCCAATTCGACGCGGTGTTTTTCTAACGACTATGCTAGTTTGCTGCTGTGCGCCGTACGTTCATGTACTTGCAGCACGAGTTAACGCGAACGGCGACTGCCTCTCACTTTGCCGATTTGTTACAATCGATTCGTATCGTTTTGAGCGCACGTAATGTCCGCATATAATATACTCACTTTTAGCCGTGACGTTTTCCATCGCTATCGAAAATGCCTTCAGGCCTTCATTGGCACACTCGATCGATTAGAAGAAGTCGACTCGAAAGCTCACAAATTTACTCCAAGTCGATGAACGAATAAGCAACAGTACGCGACGCGATATCGTAGTGCACGAGTATATAATACCGATCTCCGCGCGACGTCTTGCCGTTAGCAGGCTACACGAGCGACTGACTGAGCGCAAAGTAAACGACTGCTGCTTCAGCGCTGCTGCGTCCACCTCGACTCGTACGCTCGGCTATTATATACTACGTGTACGATATAGCATACAACATGCATCGAGATACGCATGCTACGAGCATAATGCGCCCGACTCTATCGTATATGCATGCATCGTTCCACACATTGCCGGAATAATGAGAGAGCGAGGAAATGCTTTAGACGCGTTCTCGACTCCATGTGCAGACCTAATGAGCTTTTCTTTCCTACGTAATATACTAATATCTGATCAAGGGCTTTGTGGCTGATGTTTCGATCGCGGTATATCATCTTAATCAATCGTCGATCATCTATGCTACTTGAATAGTTTTATTTCCGAGTGATGATGAAAATTCCATAAAGAAGTTTTTGTACGCTTATTTTTCATATTGAGGCGTTTATACACGAAGACGGACAATCGCAATAAATAACATGAATTACTTCAAATAAAATTTTATCCAATAAATTATACCTTCACGGACCAGAAAATATATTTTGTTTTATTAATTTTCCATTTCATTTTTATACAAAATTGATCTCAATAAAAAAAGCTACGAATCTTCTTAAATTCGATTTTTGTCAAACATAATTGATTACTCATCTATTTGTTATATAATGCGAGATTAAATTTTACTAAATTCGTTGCATGTAATATCATAAAAATTTTACATTTGCTTCGATATCGTACAAATATATATATACAATTATACATTCTATCTAGTGGAATCGTGATCATTATTTAGCGTGAATTTTCGATTGACGCTAGAGTTGCTGGAAGCACTTTGGCATTGACTAGTTCAAAAATTTGTCTTTTAATTTGATCTAACTAGTGCGCCACAAAATCTTTGAACGAATAAAAAGCATCGGCTCCGTGCAATATACCGGCAACGGTACTTAGTGCCTGAAAATTCAAAGATAGAACGCGTTAGAAATTGTTGTTTTTTTTTACTCACAAGACATTTCTACATTTCAGCGTGATATGAATAAATTGATTTATACGCAAATGAAAAATGTCTTGGGCTCGCATGTACGTATTTTAGGCATTGTCTAGGTACATTGTGAACTTACATAAACACCAGTCATGCCATAATAAACGCTCGGCGTCGTGAAGCTAATCGTCCATACGAATATTTTCGTAGCAAACGCCATGTAGACTGCCGAAGTCAAGTAAAAGAAGCAGGAGACTATGTTGAACATTATTTCCTAGGACAAAAGGAAGAAACATGGTTTTATTACGTCCATGGATGTGTAAATATGGATAGAAAAAAAAATTGAATCACGCAAATGACTTACGAACAAGGAAGCTCTTATGAGCCTATAGGATCTTTCCGAGACTATGTAGATGAAGAGCAGAATGGCCGAGGTGAAGAAGCAGGCCGAAGACGTGGTCAAGGATCCCTCGAAGGCCGTGCCGATGGTCGCGTGATAACGAAGCCCGTACTCGATCAGCAGGTACTGAATGACACCGCTGAGCAACTGAAAAACGAGCCCAATCAGATCGACAATCGCTACCACAGGAGCAATCGAATGACTTTTCTTTTTTGTTTCTTGCACTTACGGTCTGTACGAGTTTCACCAGTCCAACCGTGCTGGCGAGGAACGAAAAGTGTATGCAGGTGCAGCAGCGCATGAAGCAGCAGGAGCAGCCCTCCTGAGCCGGCGTATCCGTCGTGGCCATTTTTATGATCGGACCGCGTGGACTGCTGCTGAACGCGCTGACCGGCTTTTTCGGCCCATCGGCACGCGCGAATTTGAACATTTTTTTTCTATGGCTTTGGATCGTGCCCCGACACTGGCTCGAATCGCGACTGATCGATCGAACGTTATAACCGATTCCGTTTGAGCCCGACGACACTGCCTTGGCGAGCCTCGGAAGGAAGGAAGGAAGTCACCTTGACTGTGCTAGAACGAGCGAAGAACTGCGATCGGATTGCCAAGCCCATGGCCCAACGAGACCGAAATGAGATAACTGGTAGGGAGAACGAGGCGCGTGTCGTTGCACCCCCCGCATAGCTCCGGCTGCCGCTGCCACCGTCTGCGCTTATTTCGGGACGCGGATATACCTTATAGGCGCATCCCGCCGTATAGGCACCGACTATGCTCTATACGTGTCGAGACGCGCGTCGCTGTCGTTTCGCCGACTTTTTTGCCCTTTTTCGCTCTTTTCCCTACTCCGTCTAAACTTTCTCTCTCATCTACTACTACCGCTGCTACTACTGCCACTGCTACCGTTTAATAATGGATCTAATGCCTTTTTTTAAACTGCCGTCTCGTTCGAACTTGTCTCCGGATGTCGCGCTCGAATGGGAAGCGAGAAATGTCCATAGCGGAAAAACAATATCGAGTGCGGTCTTTATAATAGACACTTTGCGTCCTATAGTCGATGTCTTAATGGATCAAGCTTGTGGGGAATGCCAATGTAACGATATTATAGCCGCCCTACGTAATAATGGATTTCGTCATGTGCCGTTGCCACCGCTCACGCCTGTCGTGCTTATGGCTGTGATGATGCTCGTGATTATTTTTGGCTTCCTCGGCTTTTGGTACTTTTTAAACAGCGGCTTAAGACCGTATCCGCTCAACGCCGAACATGATCTATGCGTGCAGCGTCAAGTTCCTTCGCGTCCTGCTATATATAATACGAATCGTACTCTGCTAAAATAACATCGTCTATCATCGAGATTGTTCCGTTTTTCAACCAAATTTTTCTTTCGCGATCGTGAAACTAAATATCAACCTGACTACTTGCGAGTGATGAGAAACAAATTTTATTCAATTATCATCGTCGTTTCAAATTACAACTTGGAGAACTTTGGATTTTTCATATGATGTATTACTTCAATCGCTAACTTTTAATCACTTTTTAAAATTGAGTACATGGTTTTTTTTCGATTTAATATTCATAACGATCTTATACTGGTTTAAATCATAATATGCCCTCAGAGAAGTGCAAAAAAAAGTTAACAAATCACAATAACCCTTTTTTTTTAGACTGACTGCAGTCATTTAACTTTTAAGTGTAAGATCTATAATTGATACATTTCTTTTATCGTAGACGATTCCTCGATTTATATAAAATTTTCAAAATAATAATTTTAATTAGAATAAATTTTAAATTCCATTGTTACGAAAAAACGAATAGTCATACTGGTAGCAAAGACTTGCAAACAATTGAATTCGATTCGAAAACAAGTCATGCGTAGTTATAAAATAAGCCGCTATTGATACATTAGCGAAGAACTTCCTCTAATAAATACTTTTATGCAACAGGCACAGAATGTATTTTTTTGCACAAATGAAGACTTACAGTATGAAGCGACTCCATTTTAAATTTTCTAATGCTCGTATTCAACCTTTCTTCATCTTTATGAATCATTCATTATTTGGTCTTAAATTTAAAAAACTGCTCCTCTTTCACATTATCTGCTCAAATATTTAAAAAAAACTTCAACTTCAAGAAAAAACGAATAAAACAAAATATTCCAAAAATATTAAAAATACACGCATATTTCATTTTCAGGACTTAATTTGTAGCTGCTCCTTTATCATAATTAGTGCGCGAGAATTCCAAAAAACGACTGCAACCTCGTAAAAAAGAAAGAAAAACAGATAAAAAGTTTTACTTCTCGTAATTTTATTATCCTATATCACATGTAATCCTACACACAAGAAGTGAAACTCCCGGGCCTCTTTCGTTTTGATTGATTTTTTTCTGGAGTATATCGACATACCAGTGCTGAAAGATGCCACTTTGGTGCTCGGTATTTCTGCGTTTAAAGCTTCAACTTTAACTATTATCTTCATTTCAACGCAAGATTCTGGAAAAGCATCCACTTTACTTCTAAAACATGAAACATTAACATGGTGTCACTTCAGACGCGGAAAAAACCATCCTTCAGAATCGAGCGCCGAAGTGGCATCTTTCAGCTCGAACGCGAAATGGCATCTTTCTGCTCTGCGAAGCGTCATCTTTCAGCACTGGCACGTCGATATGTTGTTTTAGTAAAATAGCATAGAAATGAAAAAAAACCTTTAACAATTTAAACCAAAAGGAAAAATGACTTTGAAGTTTCATTTTGAATGCCTGAAGATACAAGAAGACATCTTATGAGAAGGTGTCGTTTTTCTTTCTGGTTTTACTCTTTGCACTCTGATGCAGTTGCATAATGATATTTAATTTACTTCTTTAACTGATACAAAAAAATTGGCAAAATTTAATAACACACTGAAACATCCTTATCGCCATCATGAGCCTTAGTCTGCACTCTGCACCCGCCAAGACAATAAAATATAAATCTTGGTTCCGAAGCTTCTCGATAATTATATCACAGCAAAGAATAGGTAACTCATAGCGTGTTGATGAGTATGGCAGCCAATGATGCCGCTTAGTGATCGCAGAGTGCGAGCGGTTCGGCGCGTACTCGTACAACCGAGTTTATTGTATTGTATACTGATCTATACGTGTATGAACTATAGCTATAAATTAAGAGTTATTAATTAATAACCATAGTCTTTTATATTATTTATGTACTTGGTAAGTTATATTATAGATTGTCGTGGTAGCACAGCGCTGGACAATTGCAACGCCCGATCAACCAACTACATGCCGCTAAGGCTCGCTCGCGGTTCACTCGTTTTTCACGGAAAGTACGCTGCATGCTGTACTTAACGATCTATAATTTTAAATCAAAACAAAAAAGTAAAAGAAGTTCATGAAATATTAGAAAATGTGTTGAAAATCGAAAACTCAAAGTTGATTCCTTTGTCTGATGTATCGATTTACCAGAATATTTGTTTACATAATACTCACCGATCGATAGTGGACTGTCGGTTAGAATGCAAAGCGCGGGAATCCCGGCACACCGCTTTTCAAGTCAGTACATAAACAGCTGCCGCTGCGAAAGGTGTTGTAATTCTTTTTTTGTCTTGATATCTTTTCTAGACTTTAGGTATAGTTATTAAAAACTCCTATAAAAATATCAAGTTTGTTTAATCTGAATCGACAAAACCTCTAAGAATGGAATTTGATTGGCTTTGGCTTTATCGCAATCGTATAATCAAGTGGAAAAGCAGTTTTAAGTGCATTTTGTGTACTTTTGAATTTGGAAAAGATTACGTCAATGAAATCAAAATCCATATTGAAGATAATCCTTTTCATATCAAAGGGATTAAGAAGATAGATTGTGAATTGAAAGATTCTTTGGGTAACGAGGTTATCCCGTCAGTGTGCGAAGAAATAGTGAAAAATTGTATTTTTTTCAATACCAATGACAATCAACTTAGATGCTATCTGTGTAGATATACGTTTCCATGCTATTCTGACGTTTTAGAACATGTGAAAACTCGAAAACACCTGCAAAAAATTAATAATAACAAAAATGCTTTGAGTTCTTTGAAATCTAAAACATATGTTTTCACGAATGATTTATATTGTAAAACATGCAAAGTTTTTTGTCTTACCCCCATGAGTACTTTGAAGCATATTATGGATCATTTTCCTAAAATGCTTCCACATTCAACCAGTTTTGATATCATCAAAGTCTTCAATTCTCATATAGTATGTTCTCTATGCAATATTAACATTAGTTCTGACAAATTAGAAGATCATTTAAAGTCTACTCAACATGTGAAAAGGAATAATTTCTTGAAAAGTAGAAAACCAATACTTCAAGAAAATCAGATTTCCACAAATGAATGGAAGCTTATTAAACAGATTTTTTTCAACTTTTTCAATATTCGTACTTGGCGTTGTAGTAAATGTGAAACTGACATTCCAAATGAATTTCATCTTATTCCACATTTTATGGGAAGGATTCATCAGTTAAATGCTATGAAAAATGTTAAGTGGAGTGATCATTTGATCAAAGAAAATATTATCTCTTATCATTGTTACTTGTGTAATGAATCATTTGGTACTGATATCTTTTCTTTGTTTTTTCATTACTATACTTCGATTGAACATAAAATAAAACTAGAATTATTTGATCAAATTTCCAAGCAAAATCATCTGAATATGATAGAAATAAAAGGTACAATTTTTGTTGAGTGTTCATTATGTCAAATAAAAATGAACGATATGGAATCCATTAACGCTCATTTTAATGAAACAAAACATAAATCTTGTGTAATTGCGAATAAACAATTACCAATTTCTGAAATGAAATCATGTAAGACACAATGTAATGAAAAAACCAAAAACAAAGAGACAAAAGTTAGTAAAGTGAAAAATGAAAAATCAAAGACCTCAGAACTAGCATCATCAAAAAAAGAATCAGAATATCATTGTACTGAAATGGCAAGAAACAAAACAAAAGAAAAATTTGATTATTATCCAATAGCTGATGAACAATTTCAACTAGATGTGCTTGACATTATAGAGGATTTAGATGGACTTCGATTAAATAAAGTTAAAATGAATAGATTCATTCCAGTTCATAAAAGAGAATCACAATCAAAATCATGCAACGTGCAGGCAAATAGAGTTTCAATATTTGATCAAAATATTTTAAAAAATGGTACTCAGTATATAGACTTATGTATTAAACAGGCCAAAACAAATATATACAATACAAGTAGCATCAAACTAACTAATATAAACTTGAGCATTAATTTCATAATTAAAGTCAATGATGACCATTTCTGTTTACTTTGCAACAAACAATTTTCCAGTGAGGTAAATGTTATAATGGAACACTTTTTTTCTAAAGATCACATTAAAAATCTACAAAATCAGAATAACAGCCTAACTAAAACAGAAGATTCATCAAATATATCCAATGATAATTTAACATTTGCGTTACCTTATATTTCACACACTACAAATGAATCTTTTCATTGCCATGCTTGCAAAAATGACATTGCAGAATACAATGTTTTTGAACATGCTCTATCTCAGAATCATATGCTAAAATGTGAGAACATGAAAAAAAATGCTTTCAATATTCTTTTGAAAATCATGACTCTCTTGAAGAATACATGGTATTATGCTCAATATTTTAATTGTCAAGTGTGTAACATGAAATATCAGATGGAAATAGAATTTGTTGAACATTTAAAAAATGAAAACCATTGTAAAAAAGTAAAAATGTGCATTGAAAAAGGTGAAGTACTGGAATTTCATACATGTTATGCATGTGTAACATGCATTTATGGAGATTCCAGAAAATATTATGGTCATTGTGATGATATTTTCCATAAACGCTACTTAAGTAAGGGTGATTATAATGTTTCAAAAATGATGCCTCCCTTGATAGATTTGTTAAGTAGAATAGAAGATAAAAAACAAAAATTATTATTTGAATCAGATTCAATTACTTTGGAAAGCTCACAAGAAAACAGTTTATTAAAAGCTGTTGAAAAAGTTGTTGAACACTTATATCCTAATGCAAAAGCATATAAATTTGGTTCTAGATGTTCTTATACAGCTCTCTCTAATAGTGATTTAGATATTTTTTTAGATTGTGACAACATGTACCATGAAAACTTTGATACTTCATTGAGCCATAAATATTTATCATCTGTGATCGATTGTTTTAAAAATCTAGAAGACGAATGGTATATAGAAGAAACATTGTTTGATACCAGGGTTCCTATTATCAAATTGCGTCATTATCCTACTGATCTCAAGTGTGATATCTCTTTTTCAAATGGTTTGGCTTGCAGAAAATCTAAACTTGTTAGGTAAGTAATTTATATTTCTAATCAAGTATACCTTTAGTACTATTGTTATAAATTAACTTATCATTTACAGATACTACAATGATGCTTACAAAATGTGTAGAGAGCTTATTTTGTACCTTAAAAAATGGGTAATTTTTTCACAATTATCAGGTACAGAAGGTATTTCAACTTTCACTGTATCGTGGCTAGTGATTTTTTACTTGCAAGTCAAAGGTGTACTTCCAAGTGTTTATGAGTTAATAAAATGTCAAACTCGCTCAATAATTATTGATGGTAATATACGTTTATGTAATTTTTATAAATGTATATGAATTATTTTACTAAGAATATTTGATAATCAACTAAACAACTAATTATTTCAGGTTGGGAATGTGGATACCAGAAAAATTTTTGCATCACTTCCAATGATTCTAGTTTTGTAGAAAATCTTGTTGGACTGTTTACATTTTATGCAGAATTTGACTATCAGAAGTATGTTATTTGTCCGTATTTGGGTTCGATAATAGAAAAAGAAAAGTTTGCTACCAAAGAATTACCAGCTGAGCTTACAGCTATACTTAATGATAAAAATAGAAAGGCTGTATCACTTTTCCGATTTGATTCTCCAATGTGTATGCAGGACCCAACAGATCTTTCTCAAAATTCCACCAAAGCTCTTAGAAAACGTCAACTCAGATGTTTCAAAGAATATTGCTCATCAAGTGTCGACAGAATTATATCTGGACAACAAGCTACAGATTTATAATAAATCTTTTTAATAACTTTTTTTTGAAAATTATTGTTTTTAAAACATTACGACAAGAACTCATGATTTATAAACGGAATGCAATTATACTGACGTTATCACTATCATTGTTCAAAATGTTTATGAAACATTGTTTTAAATTTTTTAGAAAAAAATTTTAATGTGCTATTTTCATATTTTAATTACTTACTGAATTTTAAAATGTATGTAGTAATATATACATGTACAATATACTGCTTTTGAACGTTTTTTATTTTAATAAAACGATTTTATACAAAATATTTTACGTATTTTTATTATCGTTTTCTTATGAATGTAATACATTTTTAACTTTCGATTTATCGGTTTAAACTTCCTAAAAGTCTACTTTGTACACAAAAACTCATTATGAAAAATTAAATCACGACTGATTCAATATGCTAAAAGGTAATCTTAAAAGATTAACGCTAGATGAAAAAATAATTCAAGTCATAATTTTCACGGCTGTATTTATTTGTTGTATGTAATAATTCGTATTTGGAGACTATATCTTGCGTTGGAATAATATTTTTCTCTTTCTAATTAATTATAATCTTAATTAACAGAAGAAAAATATTAAAATAATCAAACTTGATCGTAATTATACTGAAGGCCTTCAAATTTTGAATCTATCTGTATTCTATGGTATTGGTATGGTCGCGCGTATTGGTTTTAGACATTTAACAGTATTATACATTTGACAGTACCATTAATTTGATACAATACGCCTCTTTAAATGGTATGATTTTTTGATAAATTAATTAAACATTCACAAACTAAATAGATCTTTAAATTTAATTACATGTTTACACGAATAAATAAAATATTAAAGTTAAAAGAATGTAGACATAGGTAGGATAGATTAAAACAACGAATACAGTTACATACTCGACTGCGTTAAACTTTGTTATTAGCACAATTAAACAAAAGTTTAACCATACCCTTTTGTCACCAAAATGTTTCGTTTGTTGTAAAGAAATAAAAAGAATTAGAATGCACAGTATGATTTATAAGGAATCCAATCAAATATAGTTCACAAATATCTAAACCGAGTTGTCTTACGACATTTGACTCAATTGAAACGCGTTTTCGAGCCTACAGCTAGTTTCTGTTATGAGGAAACAACACGTTTTCATAAATCGTTTGTTTTACGAAAATTATTAAAATACATAAAAAAATCGATGTGAAATCTATGTAAAATAATGACAAATTTTACGATGAGACGAAAAAGAATCGAAAGATTCAATCTGATGTGAGGAGTGCGCGAAAAGTGCAATTATTGAATGCAATTTTCTATCGGCATTTAAAAGATGGAAAGAAGCTGATCACTCTTGAGTAGTCTTGTCTTGACAGTGTCGACTGTTGAGCGCTAGCCAATCACAGCGAGCGATCAACCAACTACACGCAGTTAAGGCACTCTCGTTCGCTGTTCGCGAAAGTGCACTGCGTTACTGCCGGTACATAGCAAGCTACCTAACAAGTTTCGCGTCAAAACAAAAAAGGTAAGGGCGTCGATCGAATGTATTAGTTAATATGTTGAAAATCTAATGTAAATGTTGAAAGCTCAAAGTTGATTCCTTTCTCTGATGTATGTGTATCGATTTCCATGATAAATGTTCTATTTTTTGTTTTCATTACACCACTAGCACTGCCGGTTGGAACAGTTATCACGTTACACGACAATTCACAAAGCGAAGCGCGGGAATTCCGACACAGCGATCGTCAATTTAGTACACTGGTGCTGTGGTTGCAACATCCAAACGGCTCTGTGATTTTTCTCTGTACCAATACCTTATCAACCTTAGTTATTGAAGGAGTTCATCTGTACTCAAGTAGTTCAACGGTAAAATTTGCAAAAATGGCATTAGATTGGAAGTGGCTTTGTCAAAATCGAATCATTTCGTGGAAAAATAGTTTCAAGTGCATTTTGTGTACCTTCGAATTCGAAAATGATAGTGTGGCTGACATCATAAGTCACATTGAAGCTCCTTTTCACGCTGAAATGAGCATGGATATGAACTGCGATTTAAGAGTCTCAAGCGGTAAAAGGCTTTCCAAGTGTTTTGCAAAAAAAATAGTGAAAAATTCTATTTTTTTTAATTTCAATGCCAATCATCTCACATGTTATTTGTGTGAATTTCAATTACCATGTTCCTTTATGATGCTTTTGCAGCATGTGAACAGTTCTAAACACGTCAAAAAAATTAAACTCAATAAAAGTTCTACAAATTCTGAAACCTATATTTTTTCAAATAATTTGTATTGCAAAAAATGTAAAATTCATTGCAAAACTCCCATGCTGGCTTTAAAGCATATTATGAATCATTTTTCCGAAATTCTCAAATATCCGAGTATTGACATTATCAAAGTTTTTGAAAGTTATATAGCATGTTCTCTGTGCAATATTAACATTAGTTACAACCAATTAGATGAACATCTAAAGTCTTCTCAGCATGTTCAACGTAGTAATTTCTTGAAAAGTATACATCAAAAACCAGTAGAAAGTCACATTTCTGCAACTGAATTGATTCGTATTCAAAGTATTTTTTCCAAATTGTTTGAAATACGTACCAGGTGCTGTAAGTGTAATGAAAATACTTTAAGCTCGTCACAACTTTTTCACCATTATATCGAAAATCATAGATTGAATTCTGAAAAAAATATGCAGTGTAGTGATCAGTTGGTCAAAGAAAGTATCATCTCTTATAAATGTTACTTATGTGATGAATCGTTTGATTCTGATATTTTTTCTTTGTTTTTACATTACCATACTTCAATGAAACATAAAATGCAAATGGAATATTTTGATAAAATTTTTTATCAAAATTATCTAGAAATAATAAAATTAAACAATACACTTTTCATAAAGTGTTCATTGTGTCAAATACAAATGAACGACATGGAATCCGTTAATGCTCATTTAAATGAGGTAAAACATGAATCTTGTGTAATTGTGAACAAACAATTATCAATTTCTGAAATGAAACCATGTGAGACAAAATGTAATGAAAAAACGAAAAACAAAGAGACAAAACTTAATGGAGTGAAAAATGAAAAATCTTTTGTAGTTATGAACAAACAGTTACCATTTTATGAAATGAAATCATGTGAAACACAATGTGATGAAAAAACAAAAAACAAAGAGACAAAACTTAATGGATTGAAAAATGAAGAATCTTTTGCAGTTATGAACAAACCATTACCATTTTATGAAATGAAATCATGTGAAACACAATGTGATGAAGAAATGAAAAACAGAGAGACAAAACTTAGTAGAGTGAAGAATGAAAACTCAAAAACATTTGAACCAATATCAAGAAAAAGAAAACCTGAAGAAGATAATTGTACAAAAATAGCAAAAAACAACAGAACACAACAATGCAGTTCCAATCCAGTAGCTAATAAACAATCAAAGACAGATGAGCTTGACTTTATAAACGATATAGTTGGACTTCAACTAAATAAAGATAAAATGAAAAAATTCATTCCAGTTCATAAAAGAGAATCACAATCAAAATCATGCAACGTGCTGGCAGATAGAGTTTCAAAATTTGATCAAAATATTTTAAAAAATGGTACTCAGTATATAGACTTATGTATTAAATGGGATAAGACAAATATATACAATACAAGTAGCATCAAACTAGCTAATATAAACTTGAGCATTAATTTCATAACTAAAGTCAATGATGACCATTTCTGTTTACTTTGCAACCAACAATTTTCCAGTCAGGTATATGTTATAATGGAACACTTTTTTTCTAAAGAACACATTGAAAATCTACAAAAACAGAATAACAGTCTTACTAAAATAGAAGATTCATCAAATATATCCAATGATAATTTAACATTTGCATTACCTTATATTTCAAAAACTACAAATGCATCTTTTTATTGCCATGCTTGCAAAAATGATATTGCAGAATACAAGATTTTCGAACATACTCTATCTCAGAATCATATGCTAAAATGTGAGAAATTGAAGGAAAATGCTTACAATATTTTTTTGAAAATCATGACTCTCTTGAAAAACACATGGTATTATGCTCAATTTTTTGATTGTCAAGTCTGTGACATGAAATATCAGATGGAGATAGAATTTGTTGAACATTTAAAAAATAATAATCATTGTAAGAAAGTAAAAATGTGCATTGAAAAAGGTGAAGTACTGGAATTTCATACATGTTATGCATGTGTAACATGCATTTATGGAGATTCTAGAAAATATTATGGTCATTGTGATGATATTTTTCATAAACGCTACTTAAGTAAGGGTGATTATAATGTTTCAAAAATGATGCCTCCCTTGATAGATATGTTAAGTAAAATAGAAGATAAGAAACAACAATTACTATTTGAATCAGATTCAATTACTTTGGAAAGCTCACAAGAAAACAGTTTATTAAAAGCTGTTGAAAAAGTTGTTGAACACTTATATCCTAATGCAAAAGCATATAAATTTGGTTCTAGATGTTCTTATACAGCTCTCTCTAATAGTGATTTAGATATTTTTTTAGATTGTGACAATATGTACCATAAAAACTTTGATACTGCATTGAGCCATAAATATTTATCATCTGTGATCGATTGTTTTAAAAATCTAGAAGACGAATGGTATATAGAAGAAACATTGTTTGATACCAGGGTTCCTATTATCAAATTGCGTCATTATCCTACTGATCTCAAGTGTGATATCTCTTTTTCAAATGGTTTGGCTTGCAGAAAATCTAAACTTGTTAGGTAAGTAATTTATATTTCTAATCAAGTATACCTTTAGTACTATTGTTATAAATTAACTTATCATTTACAGATACTACAATGATGCTTACAAAATGTGTAGAGAGCTTATTTTGTACCTTAAAAAATGGGTAATTTTTTCACAATTATCAGGTACAGAAGGTATTTCAACTTTCACTGTATCGTGGCTAGTGATTTTTTACTTGCAAGTCAAAGGTGTACTTCCAAGTGTTTATGAGTTAATAAAATGTCAAACTCGCTCAATAATTATTGATGGTAATATACGTTTATGTAATTTTTATAAATGTATATGAATTATTTTACTAAGAATATTTGATAATCAACTAAACAACTAATTATTTCAGGTTGGGAATGTGGATACCAGAAAAATTTTTGCATCACTCCCAATGATTCTAGTTTTGTAGAAACTCTTGTTGGACTGTTTACATTTTATGCAGAATTTGACTATCAGAAGTATGTTATTTGTCCGTTTTTGGGTTCGATTATAGAAAAAGAAAAGTTTGCTACCAATGAATTACCAGCTGAGCTTACAGCTATACTTAATGAAAAAAATAAAAAGGCTGTATCACTTTTCCGATTTGATTCTCCAATGTGTATGCAGGACCCAACAGATCTTTCTCAAAATTCCACAAAAGCTCTTAGAAAACGTCAACTCAGATGTTTTAAAGAATATTGCTCATCAAGTGTTGACAGAATTATATCTGGACAACAAGCTATAGGTTTATAATACATATTTTTAATAACCCTTTTTTTGAAAATTATTGTTTTTAAAATATTACGACAAGAACTCTTGGTTTATAAACGGAATGCAATTATACTGACGTTATCACTATCATTGTTGAAAATTTTTATAAAACATTGATTTAAATTTTTTAGAAAAAAATTTTAATGTGCTATTTTTATACTTTAATTGCTTACTGAACTTTAAAATGTATGTAATAATATATACATGTACAAAATACAGTCTTTGAACATTGTTTTTTAATAAAACAATATTATACAAATTATTGTACGTATTTTCATTTTCTTTTTCTTATGGTTTAAGTAATTTTGTCTTTCGATTTTCCGAGTCGTACTTGAAGGTCAAGTTTTTACATAAACTCATTATGACAAACTTAATCACGATATGTTAAAAGATAATGTTAAAATAATTCAAGTCATGAAAGTTATTTTCATGATTACATTTATTTAATAGATAATTAATTATAATATTAAAGCGTATGAAAATATTTAAAAAACAAGTTAACCGTTCTTATAATGAAAACCTTGTCATTTTAAATTCAGTCACGCATTGGTTTTCGGAAGCATAACACGTTTAACAGTTACCAGCGTATAAAACCGATATAATACAATATGTCTCTTTGAATAGTACGATTTTTTGACAAATTAATTGAAAATGTACGAAGTAAATTGTTCGGCTTACATGAAATGCAAATTTCCACATTTTTCCTATTTTTAGTATTTTCTACCAACAAAAATTGAAGTTTTTTTGTAATAGTGTTTTAGTTCTGTAAATCGATAACATATTTGAGACATTTTTGTAAGTTATAATAAAGTGTAAATCAGTAAATATAGCTATACCCCTAATTTTCGCACCTTTCACATTTGTTTTGTACCTAACATAATTTTTTAATTGATTGACGGGAGGTACAACCCTATACGGCCTCGAGATTAATAATCTTGAAGATTCATTAGCGATATTTTAATTTAATTGCATTCTTACACGAAAAATTAAATTTTTTAAGATAGAAAAATGTAAAGATAGGTGAGATGGATGAAAAAACAACGAGTTTGCAATACTCTACTGCGTTAAAATTTGTTATCATAACAAAATTAAACAAAAACGTTTAACAATACACTTTTTTCACCGAAATTTTCTTTTGTTATACAGAAATGATAAGAAAATTAGAATGTACAGTATGATATATAAGGAATCCTATCAATTACAGTTTACAAATATCGAAACCGAATAGTCTTACGACATTTGATTCATAAACGCGTTTTCGAGCCTACAAGCTAAATTTCTTTATGAAAAAACTACATGTTTTGATAAATCGTTTGTTTTCGAAAATTATTGAAACATAAAAAATCTACGTGAAATCTATGTAATAAAATAATGATAAATTTTAAGACGGGACGAAAAAAAATCAAAAGATTCAATTCGATATGTGGAATGCGCGAATCTTGAATGCAATTTTCTTCATCGGCACTCGGCATCCTTAGCGCTGTGCACACTGTGTTTGTAAATAGCAGACGACGCAAAGGTACAAAACTTTACACAATCAAAACAATGTATAGGTAGCAAGATGATTAATTAATAATACATAGACAGACTCGTTTCTTCACAGTCTCGTTTGCAGGAAAAGTTCTAACTTTTGTCGAGCCTTTACAAATTAATTCTTTTTGTACCGAAGGATACAAAATGGTACTCTGTAAATTTTTTCAACAGGGTAATTGCCGTTTTGGTCAATATTGCAAATTCGAGCACGCTTTCGGTGAGTCAAAATTATGAACAAGTTTCCTTTCACAAAGGTTATTTTAATACAATAAACAAATACTCATTTTCTTCGTCTTTAGGTAATCGAAGCAAAACATTTAATGATGAAAAGAGTACTGCGTAAGTAACTTTTCTTTGTTCTTTTAATCAATTAAAGAAGAGCTTTTAATAAAAATTAATTGTTTAAAATCTAGCTTAATGGTTGCCGAAGAAGTTCTTATAGCTGAAAGAGGAGGACAATGGTTATTGTCATGTTATGGACCGTTCAAAGAAAAAAAAAGTATTCCTGAAATGCATGATGTTTCACCCGAAGAAGTTAGATGGAATATGTATCAAGCTCGTAAAGCTGGTACAGTAGATCAAACAGTAAGTTAAATATAATTTTTTTCTTTATTGATTGAATTTTTTCTTACCATTAGATTTTTAAATTATGAATTTTCTCATTTTACAGAATGCATCGTTTCAACAGATGTGCGAGGCAATGAAAGCTAAGCGAGAGGCTTTAAAAAATCCAACGCCACAGATTGTTCAAATGTTGGTAAGGCAAGAGTTGAATACAGTTTTATTAAAAGTTCCATTATTTTAGTTAAATAAAAGATATTTTAAATAGGAACAATTGCAAAACTCAGGATCTGAAAATAACAATAATTTTGGATCTACATCTTCTACTTCTTCTTCTGCTAATAATGTATTTGGCCAAAAAACTCATGGAACTCAAAGCAATCCCTTTGGTGGTAGTTCCGCCTTTAGTGCATCAACAGTTTCATCATCAATTTTTGGAAAATCCAGTGCAAATAGTACAAATTCTGTATTTGGGAGCAAATCAACTTTTGGAGGTTCATCATCGTTTAGTGGACCTTCTACATCTATTTTTGGGGGTTCTGCTAAAAGTTCCACAGTCTTTGGTGCTGTACAAAATACATCATCATTTGGTGGACTAGCCTCTCCAGGTACTTGAAAAAATCTTCAAATATCCTGATTATTTATTGAAAATAATGCAAAAAATACATTTTATTTTCAGCTCAAACTAGCTCAATATTTGGTGGTTCAAGTACAACACAAAATTCAGGTTTTGGTCAGTCAGCTGCTTTTGGAGCAGCAGCGGCAGGTACTACCAGCCAAACAAATGTATTTGGACAGCCTCAAAATTCACAAGTATTTGGATCAGTAGCACCTAGTAATGTATTTGGAAGCAGTACCCAGACCAGTGGTTCTATTTTTGGAGGTTCTACTGCATCAACAGCATCTGCAGCTCCTAGTTCAAATGTCTTTGGACAATCTGCAACCACTGGTTCAGCATTTGGCAGTGCTCCAACTTTTGGTGGAGGAGCCACATTTGGTAGTCCTCAAGTAATAACCATGACTCATTTATAAAACAATGCAATCACAAACTATTTTTATGAACAGTTTAGCACAAACAATTTATTACTTTTTGTTTAGCCCAATACTTCAGTATTTGGCAGTCAATCTACTTTTGGCAGCACAAATCCAACAACTGTTAATAACGTTTTTGGTGGACAAAATTCAGGAGCAACTAATAGTTTTGGTCCTGTTACACAAAATGTTTCTTCTAATACATTTGGAACACCAACTCAAAATACCAATACTTTCCAATCTTCAGCTTCGCCATTTGGTGTAGCAGCTCAAAGTGCTACACCTTTTGGAACTGTTACAGGTACATTTATAATTTTATAATTATTATTTAGTAAAAACTATAATAAAGATTGAATAAAATTTTAGAAAATTCTATGTTTACTACTGCCACACCAGCATCCCAGCCATTCGGTAGCAGTAATACTTTTTCCCAGGCAGATAATGCTTTTGCTGGTGTCTCATCAGCAACCAACGTTTTTAGCAATCAAAATTCTACGACCACACCATCTTCAACTCCATTTGGTGCATCAGCATTTGCTCAAAACCAACAAATTGGAACAAATAATGTATTTTCTAAAAATTCTTCCCCATTCAGTGGAGCTCCAATCAATCAGCCTAGTCCATTTGGGGGATTTTCTTCTCAACAAGCTAATACAAATGTTTTCGGAGTTTCGGTCACAGTAAATGTAGATTCTACTGCTTACACCCCTGAGGACTGCTTGACTGATGATGAAAAAGCTGCTTATATGGGCGATACATTTTTAGAAGGACAAGTTCCTCTTAAGCCCCCTTCAATGGAACTTAAATAAGAAAATATTTAAATAATTTAGTTTTCTAACAAAGTGTATTATTAATTAACATTGATAAATTAGGAAAACTCGTACCAAGTAATTTAATTAAGAATATTAGGAATTTAAATCCTTATATTTATTCTTATACTTAATTCATTCATAAACTTTTGTAAATATGAACTTAAAGTTGTACAAAAAATTGTAGCATTTCAATGTTGTTCTCTACTTGCCTCAAGTAAAAGAAATTATCTATTAAGTTTTCTCAATCTACATGACATTTATACTGGGGCTCAAAATGTGAAATTTTCATTGCAATGTTACAAGTCAATCTTAATAATTTGTTGTTAATAATGAAAAAGTTGTAAATAATTGTATTTACTTTTCATCAAAATAAAGCATATATTATATTCTATACAAATATAGATAAAAGATTTTTCTATGAACATTTTTGTTATTTTATAGTAACAATATTTTCAATTTTTTCAATTTGTTTAAACTATGCTTTTACTTTTTGATTGTGGCTTGTGAAGATGAGCTTTTGCTTTTTCTCTGGAACAAACATCATGATCATGTTTTCGAAGAACATTGAATACTTTGTTGTCCATTCTTATGTCTGATTTGCCAGTATCACCAGTTTCTATTGCTGAACGAAACTCAAGAACACGACATGCATTAATTTGTGAATTTATCAATGGATCATGTTTTGTTATTATATGAGCATCTTCTCCTTGGCCAACTTTTTTGTAACCACAGGCAGGTATTGATGCAGCGACTTTTTCAATGGCCTAAAAAAAAAATTCATATTTCACAATGTACTTTCTGTTGGACTAAAAACTACAAGAATCACCAACCACAAAGCGGTCTATGTCTTTTTCTTTTTCATCATCATCGATAACTGATTCAATAGGATTTCCAATGCCCATTCGAAAATTGTCATAAGATATTTGAACTGTAGAAACAAAAGATGATTAAAAATAAAAAGTAGTTTAATTTTCTATAAATACTATTAATCACAAACCTTTTGAATTACGATTAAATATCTCTTCTTCTCGTTTGAGACGCAAATCATGATCTTGGTTGATTTCAACTTGCAGGGTATGAGCGATGGCCTCGTCATTTTCTATCATTGGGTCAATTATGTCTGGTATGTCTAATTCTGGTTGGGCAGTATTTTTCAAGACAAGGTCATTGTGTTTTTTAATCTCTCTAAAGTGGAAAAACAAATTTTTGCTCTGATGATGCAATGTCACTATGAATGAATATTTAAATCAATGCAATACTAACTTTTCTTGAAGACTATGAGCAAGTTGCTCGGACGTTATTTCTTCAAAGCTCACGTTACTGTGATTTTCAATTTTTCCCCAGGCTGACATCTTTAAAGTCGTTGTTTTTCTTCGCGTACAAAAAGAAAATATTGCAAATGAGTTATCTTTACAATCGAGCACACAGATCTTTTCGCGAGAAATCAGTACAAAAAAATAACGCACGAATCGTTCTCTAAATACGAAGACTAGAATAATTTGTTTACCGACTTAAACTACTCTGTACAATTACTACTATATATTACAATGTACAAGTGGACTCGACGATTCGTTAAATAATATTAGAGGCTATAGGCGAGTGCTTTCGCTTTGTAGCAGTCTACAGTCGATATACGTAAACATGAACCTGCTGAGCTATATAGTTAGCACGTCGTGGGCTTACTACTTTGCTAGTAAAGCGCTCCGTCTGGCAAGTTTAAATACAAACGCCTACTCATCACGTTGTTTTTCATTATCATATTTATCCATAATCAATTATACCTATAAACCTACCTATCAATGCCGAGGTAAAATTTTTGATTCTGTAAATTTGAAAGTCTCATGGAATACCATAGAATTTCTTCATCTCTCCAATGAGTACATTAAGAATACTGAAAATTATTTTGATTGTTAATTGTAAAATAGATTGAAAAATTTTAAAAGTTCAGTTTTCGGATATTATGAATAGATGTATAATTTTTTCATTTAACAAACTTAAAAAGTTTAACTCGCGCATTCATGCCTAAGTTTTCAATTCACGCATCTTTATTGTCTCGCAAAATCGACCTGATCATTGAACTGTTGCTTTATGCGATTGAGATCGAATTATGTGAATTGTATTTCGACTATCATTATGCAGGAGTGCATGTCCGCTAGATACTTTTCGAAAATTTTGTACGAAAATTTTTCGTGGATTATGTTTTTCATTTTTTAATGATATTTTTCGTGTTAATTAAAATAAGAACTAATTTTTTGCTCAAGTACATATAAAAAATTTTTATTAACGATGATTACATTCAAAGATCGAATTCAAAGTTTTACGAATGTAAGTTTTCGACTAGTTTTTTTTTATTACGTTCAATTCTCATATATTAAATATTATTTGAAAATAATCTTTCAAGAACTACATGAAAAATTTTATAGTGTTTCAAAATGTTTTATATTATTGAAATCAAATTTGAGATTATGTGTATTTATCGCTGCACATAACATCAAAAGTTATAATTCAGCGAATAGTAAGGGGCGGATTTGATAATCTCAGTAACTTTCTTTACACACATCATGTAATGAATGCAATAATAAATGGGGAAACTGTTTTATTTTTTGATCTATGCTTCAACAAATCTTCTACACTCTACAAATACAGATGATGCAGCGACGCTGCTGGCAGCAGTGCGCAAAACTTATGTGTGTATGTACAACAGACAACTTGATAATAGTGTACTATGAACTGTGAACTGTGAAATACGAATTGTGTCGCTTATCAAGTGCTTCAAAGTTTCTTAAACGTAATTTACATTAACAAAATACCAAAATGCCAATAGCTGATAAAAGGAAGGGTGATGATATTCTCTCACTTGTGCCGGCATCTAAAAAAACGAGAAATGAAGTGGTTTTCAGCAGCCGAGAAAAAGCTGTCGTTCAAAGTGTACGTATAACCTCAATTTGTTTACATACAGAATGCGTCTATGATGAATTATGCTTCTTTACTTCAAGCTTGCTGCTGAATCTGGATTCATTTTTAACTTATTCAAATTCTATAAAGACTAAAATTTTTTCATCAATAAATATTTTAAAATCGATTTTTTGTCCTAAAAGTCAGAACTATGCGTCATAAATGGCTTCAAAAATATCAGCTATTCCTAAAACCATGACTAAATTTCATTACAAATCTATGAATCATCTTGAATTTTCAATTAATAATCTAATATAATTACATAAAATTTTGTTGAACATTAGGGTCCGCCAAGAACATCGTCTTTGAATTCACCCACTATGCTATTGGAAGGTCATCAAGGAGATATATTTTCTGTTGAATTTCATCCAGAAGGTCAATACCTTGCATCAAGTGGTTTTGACAGACAAATATGTATGTTGCAATCAGAAATTTTATATTAACGTGTGATCTTTGACTGATATTTTATTTTTTTATCATTTTTAGTCTTGTGGAATGTATATGGAGAATGTGAAAATCTGTCAGTTTTAACGGGCCACAGTGGCGCTATTTTAGAAATGCATTTTAGTACAGATGGAAACACATTATTTACAGCAAGTACAGATACAACTTTGGGTATTTGGGATATAATGGCAGGAACAAGAATAAAAAAATTGAAAGGTCATACATCATTTGTTAACTCTGTTTGTGGAACAAGACGAGGAGTCACTCAACTTTGTTCTGGAGGTGATGACTCTACTATCAGAATCTGGGATCCCAGAAAGAAAACTCATTGTAGTCTTTTGAACAATACATATCAGGTAAGAATATAGTTTGAATGAAAGTTAATATTGTTAAAGAATCTTCATATTGACGAAAGAAAATTCTTTTAGGTAACAGCTGTTGCATTTAATGACACTGCTGAACAAGTAATCAGTGGCGGTATTGATAATGAACTTAAAGTATGGGATTTAAGAAAGAATGAAATTCTGTACAAAATGAAAGGACACACCGATACAGTAACAGGATTAGCTTTGAGTCCAGATGGCTCTTATATTCTTTCTAATGCAATGGACAACTCATTGAGAATTTGGGATATCCGACCATTTGCACCTTTTGAAAGATGCACAAAAGTTTTCTCAGGTCATCAGCATAATTTTGAGAAAAATTTACTAAGATGTGCTTGGTCAACTGATGGAAGTAGAGTATCTTGTGGATCATCAGACAGATTTCATTACATTTGGGATACAAATAGTCGAAGGATTCTTTACAAACTACCTGGACATAATGGATCTATTAATGACGTTGATTTTCATCCAAAAGAGCCAATTAGTAAGTTATTAATTATTTTATTAACATGATAACATTGCATGATTTATATTACAATTCAATTTTTTTGTTTTAGTATGTTCTGGTTCAAGTGATAAGCAAATTTATATTGGTGAAATTGAAGATCAATGATTTGCTTCCAATATAGTTCTAGATATCAATGGTAAATATAATTGTAAAATAGCTCATTAAATTATGTATAATTCCGACCCAATTTGTATAACGCAAATTATATGAAAGGAATAAATTCCTACATTCGAGACATAACGAAATGTTGTTTATTAATAGTACATGTACACATTTACCAGCTCTAGAAACAAATTATTCTAACTGTCTCTAAAATTATCACCAAGTGGGATTTTCAGTGATTAGGACGTACTTAGTAAAGAAACATACGTCTGAATGTTTTATTTAAATTCTTTGTGTATTTACATAGCGTCAATAAAATCTTCAATTATTTAATGGCTCTTATCAAATAATGCCATTATAAAAATTGAGAAAAATGACTTTTGGACTAATCAATAAGAATTTTTGTCTTATTGCGTGACAAAATAACGATATGCAAAGAAGCACTTAACAGATATTCAATGCACTTCAAATAGCATTTTGGTAACCACTAAATTTGTCCCCTTCAATTATGTAATTTATCTACAAATAAAATTTTCAATAATTTCGTACTTAATTTCTCATTAAATATTCATTTTCACAAATAAAATTTTAATTTACTAGAGGAGCATTGTTGTTGGTCTTTCCATAAAGTTTTTGAATGCAGTAAGCCATTGAGCTCCAACAGCTCCATCCACTGTGCGATGATCGCAGCTGGCAGTTACTGTCATGTATTGGGCAGTGGTAAAACTAAAGGAAACAGAGTATAAATTAATTTTTGTTTTAAGTAAATGAAAATTTCTTGAGTAATGAGTAAAAAATGTACCCTTTCTCGTTGTCTGCCGGTACAAGCCTTGTCTCTGTTGTTCCTATTGCAAGAATGATAGATTGTGGTGGATTGATGATGGCTGAGAAATTTTTAATTCCAAACATTCCAAGGTTTGAAACGGTAATAGTGCCGCCTTGAAATTCTTGAGGCTGAAGTTTTCCTTCTCTAGCTTTGGCAGCCAAAGCTTTCACGTCATTACTGATTTGGGCTATACCTTTAACATCTGCTCCAAAAACAATAGGTGTGATCAGACCATTTTCTGTACTAACTGCTACACTTACATCAACATGATCATACCTAGAATAAGAAAAATTTCATAGTAACATGTGAAAGTTTTTTCATAAATTAACTGAAGATTAGCTTACTGTCTTATTTTATCTCCAAGCCAAGCACTATTGCCTTCTGGCACTTTTTTACATGCCATGGCCATTCCCTTAATAATAAGGTCATTAACACTTAATTTAATTTTTTCTTTTTCCAGTAGTTTATTGAACTGCTGCCTCATAGCTAGAGCTTCATCCATCTTAACTTCAATTGTCAAATAATAATGAGGTATCATTTGCTTGCTCTCGAGTAAACGTTTAGCAATAACTCCTCGAATATTGGAAATTGGTACGTCATGACCTCCAGCAGCTCCTGCACCAAAGCTCGATGATACTCCAGCACTTGCAGCACTTGCAGGTGCACCAGCAAGATCTTGTGATGTTATTGCAGAAAATAAACCAGTACCAACAAGACCCTTGTTAATAATAACATCAGTTGAAAAATTGATCTCTTAATGATAATGTTCATTGAAGTCTAAGGAAGTTACAATTTACCTGCAAATTAAGCCCTTGTTCAGCAGCTAATTTCTTGGCAAGAGGTGTAGCTCTTATTCTATCACCACTTCCAACTGATATCGGAGCAGCTGGTGTAGAAACAGGTTGAGGAGGAGGTGGAGGAGGAGGAGCAGCTGCTGCAGGTGGAGGAGGTGAAGGTGCAGCGGCCGCTGAAGCAACTGAACCATCATCTTTAAAGTCTTTAAATGCTGCAACACTTGCTTCATCCGGAACAATAATGCAGACTAGACGTCCAATTGTAATATTTTTTTCACCAGCTGGGACTAAAATTTTAGCTAAATAACCTTCTTCTGGTGTTTCAAAACCCATTGTAGCTTTATCTGTTTCAATTTCAGCCAGTAAATCACCCTCGTTTAATTTTTCTCCTAAATAAACAAATAAAAACTTGTATCAATATAGTATTATTATTAACAATAGAATATTGTTAATGAAATGATATGTTACATTATTGAATAATAAATACATTTTTGTGTAACAACTATCCTACTTGTAAGTTTCAAAGGAGTCAGTGATCTAATTTCTATCAAACAAAATAAGCTAATAAATGTCATCAAAGCAACAGCAAGAAGAATAACAGTTGTTATATAATTTTGAGTTATTAAGAATGCAAGCTGCCAAGTTGATTAGAGAGCAAGTTGTACCTTCTTTTTTTTGCCATGAAATGATTGTTCCAGTTTCCATGGTGGGTGAAAGAGCAGGTAGTGGAACCTTTATATGGTCTGGATAATCGGCGTAATATCTTATACTTTGTTGCCATGGCTGTACAGCTAACCTTGAACTTTTGTGAATGGTTGGCCTATAAACAAATTAAAACGTTAAAAACGACGTCAGTCGAGACTTTTATTTCAAAACATCGCGAAATGCTCGTCAGCAAGCTCGCTCGATCACCGTTAATTTGGGCGCGATCTCCTTTACTATATCAAGCGTCGCAACATCACATAATACGATATCGCAATGACAAATAAAAGTTGCAATTTTTTCAGTTGTAAAAATCAGATTCATAGATATGGCAATGCTCGGAAAGCTCGCACGTAATAGTGCCTCCCCCGAAGAATGAGCTCAAAAGGAAGAACCATCGAATAACGATCGACTTTGAAAATTGATCGAAATTGTCAGCACACGCGACTCGTAATAAGTCATCTGCAATAACATTGGTATCTGGCAAAGACCTAACCTCGTGGCTCGCGCGCGAAAGCCTAGGCGAAAATAATCGTCCGAGAGAAAGCGTCAACGCAAATAGAAGAAAGGCGTGCAGCACGCACCTTGGCTGTTGCCTCCTGTGCAGACACTGGGTGCCGAGGCACCTGACGACGTTGCTCCTGACGCTGCAGGACGTCGTCGTCGTGGCGCGTAAGCTGGTGGCTTTGGCCAGCTCGTGGCGTAGGCTCGTCGTCGTCGTTCTCAGCATGATGATGATTCGCCGTCGACTTTAGCGTTCGATCGAGTCTCACTGTCTATCTTGACGAGATATCAGTTTCGTTCGTTGTTGTCGTCGTGTGTATATAAGTCGTGTATTTAGCAGTCGTTGCAGTTGAACGTCAGCAGCAGCAGTAGCAGCAGCAGTAGAAACAACAACACCTGCGTACACGACGTCGCTCGGAGTCTTTATTAGCAGCAACTATCGAGTGACACGCTGCACGCGATCCACGGCCAGCGCGATGGGTTTTACTATTTCTCTCTCTTTCTCGTATTTTCACGCACTCGCACGGTGGATGTGCTCGATATACGTGTGATTATGGTTCGATGCGCGAGCTGCGAGATGTACTGCTTAGAGGTCGTCTGCAAGGTCACGTGGTCATCTCACTCTCTCTCTCTCTCTCTCTCGTTCTCACAATGAGCTATATAGTTTCTTCTTCTGCTCTGCGGCCTGCTGTATGTGTGTAGCAGTATACAAATAACATGTAGCTCGCGAGATCGTTTATATTCTGCTAGTTTGAACTATGTTTGAAATTCGCAACGCAAAGCAGTGGCGCGACGTGTTACGAATTTTTCCTATAGATAATATTGTTGATGCGAGTATGCGACCCGAAATGACTGCTGTGATTTCACTGATATTGAGCCGATCACTTCCCTCGCGACTCGCTCTCGGTCGTCCGTCGACGATTTGGATTCTTTCGAGTTTCCGTCAAAACGTACGGCTCGATAAATCGAGTTGAAATAGGTTTCGACGATTCTCGACTCTTTCCGGCTTTACTTTTGTTGATTATGACTTAAAATCAATTGAAATGTTTTCGATTTCAAGTTCATTCAAGGTTCTTACCGATTTTCTTTACAACATCACTGTAGGCAGCGTCCCCGCGAAAAAAATGTTCGAGATATCCCACGGTGTACCCAATAATTGAGCTTTTGTCGATTTTGAACGATTACCCAGGTGAAAATGGTATGTTAGATGTGACTGCAGATCTGATATAAGATCTGGTATAAGATCTGATAGGCGTTCACCACAACTTATAACAGATCTGACATCAGATCCGGAGTCAAATCTGATACACTATTTTTACCTGGCTACCCTCTATAATTACTGTTCATGAAATATCATTGGTCATTCTGAAAGTAGATGATGGACAAATGACGAGCAAAAACTCATTTCAAAACGAAAATTCGACTTACCTTTTATATTCACGTACAGTTGTAGTTATATTTTCGACTTGCTAGGTTATCTTGTAGTGACTCAATTTTAAGCTTCGCAAATTTTAAAAATTAAAAAAAAAACAGTCTGATTCATAGTGCAAAACTCCATAGAACTTGAGTAGAAACACTTCCGTTGAAAGATGTCTGCGCGAAAAAGTAATAACCGGCAAAGCTCAAAATCGGCTATTTTGACGAATAAACCGGAAATCGGTAGCACAAGACCATCTAAAGGAAGTTTCCACTTCGAAAACGGAGACACTTACGAAGGCGGTTACATTATCGAGAATAATAAAAACATTTATCGACACGGTACATTTTTATATAGATTATTAACATATTTTTGTTCGAGTTTTTTTTATTATTTCTTTCGAGCAGGTTATGGAGTATACCGATGCAGCAACGGTGACGAGTACAGAGCAGTATGGGACAAAGACAACATAAGCTCGGATTTTCAAGCAGTGTAAGTTCATCGACTCGTTCTTTTTTTCAAATTTATAACATTGTTCAACTGAGGTATTTATACAGTTACAGCAATACATGCGAATACAAAGGAGAAGTCGACGACGCTAATGCAATGAGTGGCAAAGGAGTCTACGTATTTCCGGATCGGTCGTCTCTCGAAGCCGAATGGGCCGATAATTTACCGATTTCAAATTTTGTGTATAAGGATCCATTGGGACACAATTGGCTTGTTTTGGACAGCAATGAGGAGGTATGAAACAATTACATTACATTTTTTTATGTAGAAATTAATTTTATTCGAACTTTCTAATATCATAACACTATCAAAGTTTTGAACTCGTTGCTCGATACTTGTAATAATTTAACGATATTTATTCACAGGAATTTATTTTGGCGCCAGAAATAAAATTAAGATAAAACAGTTAAGAATATTCACAACTTTGGAGTCTAAAAAAATAATTTACAAATTTTTTGTCACTTTTTTTGTACAGTTTAGTTTGACGTTGCATTACACATCATCATTGTGATATTGTTTTATAAAAAAAAAGAAAAAAAAGAAAAAGCTTAGCGCTATTTTACAAATGTAAAGTGATGTAAAATTTTTTACATGAGCAAAAACACTAAAAAAAGTTGTCAAAAATTATACATAAATTAGGCTCATAATATGGATTGCAAAATCGACTCTATGTTATGTAGGCTTGGTATTAAAAACTTACACTAGTACAAACATTCAACATTTTACCTCATAATCGAACTATTTATAGTAAAAATCTTTAAAACTACATAATGTTGGTAAAAAAGAACATAAACCACCTAATTATAAGTTGCAACTGTTTGTGTGATTATAATTCACATTAGAAAATTTTGACAACGTCGTTTTATCATTATTTTAAATTTTAGTCGGTAAGCCGATGAATAACCGATTGCATCGTCGTCCAGCGACTTATATTGTACACATATTTATGATACACGTCCATGTATGTGTGGGTGTGTGTGTTTTTGCGTGTGCGCTTTGCAAATACATTGACAGCGAAGGCAAGGCGATGGCACTTTATACATCCTATCGAGCCACCCGGAAAAACGACTGACAATACAAAACTCGTCTTCACGTGACATTATTATGCTTACAAAGGTAGCCGATATGTCTAGTTTCATTGTGGGAAATGTGCAGTACGTATAAAAAAGTTTGGAAGACTTCGGATACGTAATTGTTGATGCACGTAACAAAGGTTTTCGAGGCTTTTCCGAGCGCTCAAATTTCACGTATTTTTGATTAATGCCGCATCGCAGCAGCGTCGAGTTATAAACATATAACAACAATTCGTCGTTCGCTTGGAAAAGCTTCGCAGCCGCATTTGGCACCCTTCGTTCTTATCGCATCGATTTGTAAAAAGAATTTCCTTCGAGGGTTCTCCTCTTGCGGTACCATATCTATGGTAGCACTCGCCACAAGAGAGAACCAAAAGTCGTCAAGATCGGTTGGCGCGAGCTTGACACGAGGCCCGGAGGACGGCATCAAGGCTTGCGCTCGGAATTGGAGACGCGCCTGGCCAGCTGCTGGTGCAGCACCCCGTTGCCGGGCTGATCCTTCATCAGACCGTTGAGCTTCGTCTGAGACAGCGAGGGCAGTGTTTCCGGCACGGGTTTCGACGTCTCTTGGGGCGCGGCGTCGTGCACCAAGCCGTTCAGCAGCATGCAAGCGCATCTCCACGGGAACATCCTGGAAAGTCGAGCGAGTTACTTTCGATCGGAAGCGCGCGAGAAGAGCATACAACCTTCGACGCGAAAAACTCACCATTTGGCCGCTAAGAGTACTTGGAAGTAGCTTGGAATAATGGCAAACTTTTCATTGCAACGCATGGCCTCGATTACCCTGTCGGCAACTTCGGTCGAGCTCAAAGTCGGCACGAACCTGTGGAAATTACGATGAAATAAAAACAATTTATATCGTCGATTTTTTTCGTCAGCTTTTCTTTCCGAGCACAGCCTGATTACTTACCTTGCCATAACGTCCTCGAACATGCCAGTGCTGCGGATAAAGTACGGACATATCACGGTCGTATTGATGTCGTATCCGTCAGCCTGTCGAAAAGTTGAAAAAAAGTATTATGAGTTATTCGTGTTTTTTATGGCGATGAAAATATATTACAGACATAAAGAATCATCGCGATACGGTCGACTGGTTTATTTTTTTTTTGTATAACTATTCTGCGATTTAACGTTGAGCAAAAGTGTATTTCGACATAGAAAAGTCGAGCGCGCGTACCAGTCGCCTAATACAAGTTGACCTTGGAGCACGCAAAACTGGGGTCCTCGCGTGTACTATGGATTTGCGCCAATCCTTGCAGTACTTGCAGCGTATGAGAGGTTTTTTTTGTTGCTGCTGCTGCCCGCTTTTAAAAGTAAATGTTTTCGCGTTCTCGAAAGTGCATTATAACGATCGTAGCGTTTTAAGAAAGATTTTCGAGCTCGGCGCCCGGCTCGTGCGGACTCTTTTGCAAGGGATGTACCGCGTCGATTATATTTTATTGTATTTACCGAGAAGACACGGGATAAAGGAGAAAAGAAACAAGTGCAATAAACATCTGGGCGTTTTGCAAGATCGGTATATCGAAAAATTGATTTTGCAATTGGCGTTGCTGCAGGCGAGAGTGTGCGCGCGGGCTCGCGATATTAGTCGCTCAATTAGCGCTTGGATATACATTATAATTAAATTACTCAAAAAGGTAGCAACATTTTTGCAGCAGGATAATAATCGCGGGTCCTCGAGCGGCGTTTCCAAATCACGAGCGTTTTGCATATTCGCCTCGTTAAGGAGCACTCGGGCAAGTGCAGCCACGACAGAGCATAAGGCAACACAATTCATTAAAATAATGTAACGACGATTGCTCTAAAAAAGAATTTACATTTTATGCGCTCGCGAGTGTGTGGCCGTGCGTACGTGTGCAGGCGTGCACAAGGTCTCGCTTTTAACGACGGGCGCGTTCGAGTGGCTTTATATCGAGTTTATTAACCGAGCGAGAGACTTGCACAATGAGAAAAGCAGCCCTGGGTTTCGGAAATATCCGTCGCCCTGCTGAAATCGGACTTTCCGAGCTGAGTCATTACTCAAGCGACTGGCCATCGCACTTGCGCGCAACGAAAAATCCATAAGAATGTCTTTTTTTCTGCCTTCGTTAGCAACGATACATCATTCGAGCGATGATCTCTGGCGTAGATGCAAAAAATGACAGAAACGTCGTGCATATTGCAGGTATCTCGGGTTGTGCTATTTACACGCCGTTGAGCCTTCGAAAGGAAGATGATCGATAGATTTCGGATGTTTCGAAATGTTTTGAAGGAAAAAAACTTAATCCTCGAAAGAAGAGACATATATTTTGAGTCGCGCGTTTAAAAATAGAGAAGAACAACAAGTGTGGTATGCTGCAGATACGTTTATAAATAATAAAATAAGGAGTCGGACTCACCGCCAGCTCCATTCTGAGAGCCTCGTCGAATCCAACGGCGGCGAACTTGGAGGCGCAATAATCGACGAGTTTGGGGCAGCCCACTTGGCCGGCGAGACTGGCTATGCTGACGATGTGACCTTTGTTCTCCTTCATCATGGCCGGCAGGAAGGCCTTCACCGTCTGCGAAAAAGGACGATACAAACAAGCTGATATATAAATGTGGCCATCGTTTACGCCATCTCTCTCGCACACACATATAATATACGTGGCTCGCATATCGTACACGATATACAAACACGGGAGATGCTATGTGAGCCACTTGGTTGGCTGCTGCATAACTTTGCGCTGTAGCTATTCCCGTTATCGTGCATGCAATAAGTACGTTGGCGCGTCTCTCGCGCTCGGAAGTGCGCCGCTGCAGCGAGCCGACGATTAAGTCACCGAACGTCTCTCGAAAGTTTAACTCGCGCAGCGCAACGAGCCTGAGCTGCGAGAGAAAATGTGCGAGGTGTACAGCCGGCGCCGACGCGACGTCACCTACGGCGCGTCCTGACCTTTTTACGCTTTTTTTCTCAATAACGTATCCTCGCGCGTTGATACACGGCTGCAACAAATGGAGATACTCGGGCGCGAGAGCCTAGCTCGGATGCAGATCGCGACGGTGACCGCGATAGACGCTGGCGCGCGATAAAACGGCTCGATTCGATGTACTGCCTGGCCGCGAGCACGTGCTGTGCGATCGAGAGGTGCACGGAAGCGGCGAGTCTTTAGCGTGGGCAAGGGCAAGACATATTATCCCGAGCACGACGAGCATTATGCGCTGCGTAAATAATGATCGGCTTCGTTTACTCTGGCTTCGCTCGCTCGCGAAAGAGAGAGAGAAGACAATCAAACGAGCCGTTATTCAAATATATCGTTATTTACTGCGACGTACGTACAGCTACTTGAAGCTCGCAAACGAGCTGAGCCGCGTCTCTATATAGCATGTACCTATATATACTAGACTTGCAGGAACGGGAATATCGTTAACACACTGCGCTGGAGCTGCTGCAGAGATCGGCTCTCTTTCTCTCTCTCTCTCTCGTTCGCTCATGTATACAGTGAGCCGAGCGCATGTAGCCAGTACCATTCGCGATCCATTATAAAAGGAGGATACGCGCGGCGAGCCTCTTCTTCTCTCTTTCTCTGCTCTCTGGCGTAGTGTGCTCTTCTCGCGACGCGTGTGCACTTGTACGTTTGGGTGCCATTTACTCAGCGACAAAAGGAGAAAGGCGCAATGGAGCTTTTCGAAAGGCCGATCGCCTCCGCCATACATAATGCACAACGAACGAACGAACGAACGAACGAACGAATGAACGAGAAGGAGAAGAAAAAATCCCAAACAGACACGAGGACGAGCCAATTCTCCGTTACCGCGGCCGTATATCAGTGACACTTGCGCGCCACTCGCCGACCAAACTATATTATCTTTATTTTCGAGACTCGCACTGAGAAAATTTCCGTTTCCAACTCTTTTTCTCCTCGTAATTTTGTGCTCTGCCCCCCGTGGGCCACCAGCTAAACCGGACGGACGAGCGACGACTTTGTAACAGGATGCTCGTAGCGCGTGGCATGATCGCCGACCGATCGAGGTGGACGACGAGACGATCTCGTGGCGCTGCTCGAGTTCGTAACGCATATTGTACAGCTAATTCGCACGTGGAGCATCGGCAAAGGATCGGATCGGCGCAGAGTCGAGCATAGCGAGCTCTAGAAACGTGCCTGGAAAGCAATCGTAAGAACCGTTTCGTGCAAATTCATAAAAATAAATCCAATATGTAAAAATGCACTCGGAGTTTGTAAAACGGGATAGGCTGTGGAGTGCACCATTCGCGATTGAGATTTCAATGGTACCCGCGCGTTCTCTCTCTCTCTCTCGCAGATTCAAATGGTATCGGTAATAGCAGTACTCGAGTGCCTCGAGGGCGCAATATCGCGTGCGTACGCGCATAGGATGCGGCTGGGTATTTATGGCAAATCAATTCGTGAATCCTCCGACCCAGTTGGCCGAGAGCGATAGAATCTCTCTTGCTTACGTGCGCGCGAGCTCGTGTGTGCGTCCGTGTACATGTGTGCTTCTTACACCTCGGAGCCGAACGCGCGCAGCCGATAGCACACATACCGCCGACTGCAAACTGGTTTGTTGCACTGCGTCTGTGTGCGGCGTGTGCATGTGTCGACGCGTCTATGTGCAGTATGTGCCGTTCGCGAGCTGAGGCGCGCGCTTACATATAATATAAATACACAGGTATACTCGGAGCGAGCACGTGTTATAATCGCGCAACGAGTGGCCGTGACACTGAAATTTCTTTACTTTCTTTTATCTCCTTCGCAGCTCCGATATGCTCTAACCAACTTGGACTTTGTATGTACCTTGTTCTCGTATCGGCCTCCTCGTCGGCTTCCGTATCAATCCGTATCGATGCGCGCCGTTCTTTTATACGATTGCGCTTCTTTTCTAGCTTTTCTATGCGCATTCTTCTTCACTTGAATTACGTGCATGAATTTACTTCTCCAAGATGAGAGGATGCATCATAATCTTTTTTTCCCCAACTCATATGTTCGAGAGCGCTCGTTCGTTAAACCAGAACCGCGACGCAAGGACGATGATCCGCGATATCATGCGATATTTTTTAAGGCTTCCCTGCCCGCCAACGACTCGCGGGAGAGCCCCAGCAGTATAATGATGAAACAACGCATCCGCGTTGGTTTTTTTTTAAACAATTTTTTTACAGAAAAGGAGCAATGCAACCAGCGAGCAAAAAGTGCACTTGTCGGCTCAGGGTTAAGCAGGCTCGCCAAAAAGAGGCCAATACAAAGACACCGTAATTGCCAGGCATTATTTTCAAGCTGTGTATACGCAGATATAATATAGTAGTGCGAAGTTGCTGGCTCAAAATGAAACTTTTTCGCTCCAGTACGCGCAAGTAAATCTGTCGAATGGTGGGTGTTGATTAACGATAGGCAATTGCGTTCAAGCGATGCAAATGCCTGCCTCGATACCCATTACTTCGATTAACAGAAATCCCAACTTGAAATCAATTTACGCATAATAGATGCATGAAACATGTCGTTTCGCCTTGTGGCGCGATTGCCAATCCGATACAGCTCGAGTTGATAAATATCGTAAGCCATGATCACTGTACTTTCAAATGTACCAATTTTAGAAAGAAGCGGTGGACAGCTATACGTTTTCTCGCGCACAATCTCGCGAGGGTCGAGACAGCCACAAGTATAATGTATAAAAACGAAACAAAGCTCGCATGGCTCCGGGAGAAAAAATCCATCTTTTTTTTCCTTCTGAAACTCGCGAACGCCTTATTGGTCGACGGAAAGCACGAGAAGCTAGACGCGCGCTTGGCGTAATCCAAATAACGCAAATCCAGCCCGATTGCGCGAGCGGCGACTCGCGTGCGTTATGACGGCTCTCCGCGCGCCTGTATACACACGGAGTCAGGCGCGCGCTGCGAGTACGTAAATACATTGCACTAGCGCAGTTACACCTGAGCAGCGCAAATCGCCGATGGAATGCCGTTCACCAGCACATGTGTGTACTCGTGGTCCTTGAATTGTCTGCCGTCCGAGCGAGGAAAAATGCACGACGTAGCGGAGAAAGGGAGCCAGTGGCTCGCGCCGATCGTACTTATTATTATATTGTATACGTTCTGTGCAGCGATTGCTTTCCTTTTCATTTTTACCAAACTTATGCCCGAGTTTAGAGGTATCGTGCTTCTTCTATGCCTTTTATCGTCGCGTCGACCGAGTGGCCCTGGATAGCCATTTGAGTGTCGGATCGCTAATCGTTTCGCTCATTGCGCTGTTTGATTAATTTTTTTATAAAAAAAACTTACCCAAAAATGGCTCATTATGTTGACGTCCATGGTGCGCTTGATCATTTGATCGCTGGAATCGAGGAACTTTTTGCCCGTCACCACTCCCGCATTGTTGACCAGAATTGACACCTGCGGACACAGACAATGGAGCAATTATTGCCGTACGATTATCTCCGTGCCTTATGCTCGCGATCGACTTTACGACTTTGACATTAACCTTGCCCCGAGCTTGCACAATTATTTTCTTTTGCTCCTTTATTTTTTGTATATTCGTCCGATCAACCTTGCATAATTATGACGTCTGCAATACGAGTTGTATGTATATTATAAAGGTGATTTACGTTTTTGTGTAGCCGGGCTGCTGCTGGGTACGTAGCCGATCGTGCGACTGCTAACGAGTTTCGCCGCGTGTGTGCGCCATAATTAATCGATGCACTACTCCCGGGTACAGCCGTGTCATGTATGTATACGAGTACAGTTGTAAAACCAAAACAAAAATTGGACGCCAATAATTGATGAAGTCCGGCGTAGTTTTGATTCTAATCGAGCTTGAAAATGATTTCATTAGCGACGTCGCGATGCCTACCGCACGCTCATTCAAACTAACTGCTACCTGATTGTTCCACCTATATTCTACGCGTTCACGGCGTCGAGCTATCGTTCAGTATAACCCGAGCAAAATTGAGAACAGCTCATAAATTTCCAGGTCTCGAGCGGTACATAGTGCGTATCCATCCCGATCTCCGTATGATCGCGTTAAAAGCCAATTCGAAGCCTCTCGAGGGATATATTACGTGGCTCTCGGCGTGCTACTATATAAATACGTGCATAGGTACGGATCGCACGCAACGCACGCAGGAGTAGCTGGGAAAAAAATATTTTTTTCCTCCTGTCGGACACTGCAACGCAGTAGTAAAGTACGTAGTCAAGCTGCAGCTACATTATCGCGCAACTGCCACGCCGTATCTGCTGCGTACCTGGCGTAATACGCGCGCGCACCTGAATGATATTTTGCAACGCGATCGAGAGCTTTACGTGCACGAGATCGAGTGAATAAAGCGCGATCGGCCGAGAGTCGATGTTTATTGGTAAATAACACGGCCGTAGAGCTTCGAAATCCTTTCATTCGATACGACTCATTGAAATGAGAGTGACGCTGCTTTGTGCACGCGTGCCGAGCTTACTTCTGCTCCTTTTAAATTCGTTACTCCTTTGACAAATCAACCATTCATCATTTCGCTCGTGAATTATTCAATTCCAACCTGACTTCGTCAAACTACACGTCGTTGAATTTATGCAATTAAATTAAATTAACAGAAATGTGATTTATTGATTCCATGCGTAGGATACCGATATCTCGATAACGTCGCTGTGAAAATAACATTTAAAAAAGCTCGATTTTTTAGTAGTCCATGGGTTGTCGACGTTTCTTATCTCGTCGTGCGTCCAGTCCCACGCAATACAGGCGAGTCAAATTTATATTGAGTAATCTTTAGCTCCCTCGTATCTCACGAGCAAAATCCAAGAGCTCTCGAGACACTCGCTTCGAGCCCCGAAATGCACATCCTGACTCGAGTGTGTGCATAAAACTCTTACTCGCGGGACTTACGCAAGCCATGCTCGCTTTTCTCGCGAGTCGATCTTATCGAGTACGGCTAGAAAAACAGCTTTCGTACATCTCGTAGGAGTAAATTTGAGCCGGGCCAACGATTAATTAAATTCCGTTCTGCCTTTTTGTGTTCATTAAATTGAAAATCTGAAGTATTTATTATAGTTAATGGAGTATTTACAAGAAAAACGAACTTTGGCTAACATAAAACAGAGCAGGAAAAAAGAGCCGAGAACATGGCTGCGGCTTTGCCAAACTTACCCGTCCAACTTCTCTGTTAAGTAGTTGAGCTTTTTCGTAGACGTCCTCGCGATCGCACAAGTCGCAGACGTAGCCATAACACGTGCCACCCGACGACTTGATCAGTTTAACCGTTTCGTCGAGACCTGCAAAAAGTAGAGAAGAAAAAATGAATAAAACCCATTGTTCTATAGGAATGATGGATTGGCGCGAAGCTTCGAACGCGTAATATAAATGATCTCTGAGCTCGCAATCTTTGCATAAACGCACGCGTGCGCAAATGTCACGAGGCACGTACAAGGAGACGGAAAAAAGTCGCGAATCCTTGAAGATGAGCTCTCCGCATGTATAATATACGGGCCGCTCGAGCGATTTAGTCGCATATTCACGCAATAATTACGTAGAGCGTACACATATACGAGCGCATAAGATGCTTCGGCGTGCAACAACAACGACAAGAAAAAAAGCCAACCTCCTTGAACGCAGTCGGTGCTGTTGGCGACGGAGAAAGTTGCCGGCGCATGTACTTCTATTATACACTCTGGACGCGAGTAGCTGTGTGCAGTAGCCGGTCAAAGTTTATTATATCGAGAAATATCGCGAATAAAAGTCGTATGCGCGTATGCACGATTCATCTGCGCGGGTCGGCGCACGCGACGGAAGATATCATTTCCTCGAGCTGCGCGAAATTTTCACTTTTACGACTAATTTGCTGCTGCCGCTACCACGTGTGTGTACGAAAATATAATCTTTATTATCCCTCGTGCGCACGTATGTATCCGGATATATATATGCCTTGCTGGTTCTCCAGCGCGATTATATGTTGTATTACATGCTACGAAAATAAAGCACTTGAGGTCATGCAGTGCTTAAATGAACACGTACCTACGATATGTGCGCACGAGGAGCAGCAGCAGCAATTTGCCACTCGCGAATAGTGAAAGTTTTTGTTGTCTCGGATATTGCTCGCGCGCGCGCGACATTGAGCAATTCCGCTGCACTGTAGGCGCTGCTGCACTTTTGCGTATCCAGGGGCCCAATTTTGGGCCGCAGCATCGTACGATTCGTTGCTGCCGCCAGCGGATCTATCATCAGACGCCTGCAATAGCCTGCGGTGAACGACAGCTGCAAATTTTCCTACTGCCACTCTTCTTTCGAATTTCGTGGAAAAATGTTCCTGGCACGAGCTTAAACTTAATTTTCGGCTCGATTCGCTCTATGTGGAACTCGAGTGCTGTGCACGATTCCAGCTCCGTTGCGATTGCGATTCAATTGCCGTATTGGTATAGGCTATACGTAAAGGGTCGATGATCCCGAAACCATATTCTTCTCATTCAACTTTAGATGCCAATACGAGCTCTAGTGTATTGAAATAGTTTATGATTCGCGCATGAAAAGACCCACGAATCATGGACTCGCTCACGCGATTCAAGGTTGAATTTAGCCGTGATCGTTATTCATGTGTTTCGTCGAGTGTGGCAGCGGTCAATTATTTGGCCATATTTTGTAGCGCGTCAAAATCGATCGCGCAAAAGTGCAGCTGCGGCGCCGAGCGGTGGCTGCAGTGCCACTTGAGCAGTCGCGCGAGGCGGTCGCTATTATTCTCGCTGTACTCATCGGCACGTTATAGATTCTCGAATAGCCGCGCAGATCGCGAAAAAGAAATCGCTCGGCTTTATCATAAACTTTCTATGCGCTGCTCGGAACAGCTCTCCAACTGCTCCTTTTTTTCTCTCTCTTAGTTTCTGCTGGGAACAAAAGCGAATGTCGCGTCCGTTGACAACACGAGTAATTCGTGGCTTCGATGACAATTAGTACACACGCCTCGTCAAAAATGTACTTGCTCGAAAAACTGTGTACACTTCTGAGGTTATATTTTACGCGTCGTCGCGGAAGTACGAACAACAAAATTGTTGACAGTAGCCGACACCGGTATTCCATTCGTTCCAGCCTCTCTCGGCGATTTTCCTTTTTCACGGAATATTTTCCTGCGAAGGCGAGCGAATCGACGCGTTCTCGTGAAAACGAATGCAAAAAGAGTCATCGCAGCGAGAGTCAGCGAAATTATCTCGGCATCGATGATCCGAAGGAAACGACTCAATCTGGTCGCGCGTTGCCTAGCCGAGCAAAGTGTGCCTCTCGCTGCGCTCCGTTGGCTCGCGATCTCGTGGCGCGTCTAATGCGCTGAAAGTTCATCATCATCATCATCATTACTATCTTTCTCTTGGACGGGCTGGATCGAGATTCTGTATATATAATGGCACGAAATATAGCCTAAATTCCATTAGCGACCGTGAAAACTGACGCGGAGGCTGCGTTATGACGTACGCAACACGTGTGGGCTCGCGAGCCGAGCGCCGGATCATTTACGCGTACATGCAATTATCCGAGATGAGTGAAAGATAGACTACCTTGAGGCCAAACAGGAAGAGACGCTTCGCTCGCGTTCTACATCAGAAGCGAGCATCGTACTTTGATATTTAAAAAATCTACTCGCGTGCAATATAGGCTGTTTCATTTTTTTCACTGCCGTACGATTTATCGTACGCGGCTCCGGAAATTGCATCTCGCCAAAGAATCGAGACGGGCCGAAACGATTTGACCTTTCCACACATCCGGCTAAGCGCGCAAAATTGTTCCATCGTCGGGCTTTGATCCTGCCATAGCCGACGAGATATTACGAGGGGAAATCGCGATATTATCGTGAAAACGCGACTCGGCCTTTCGTCACGCCGAGAGCCATGTGCGTAGCTGGCACGGCCTTGCCATTATTTTTCGTCTAAACGCAGCAAAAACACATTGTTACAATGTCGTGCATCGAGCGTGCGCACAACAAACGCATCGCAATCGTAATTTGGGTTATCATCGCGCGGACGCGTTTTCTCTCGCTGAAAATCACGCGACGCATCGGTCGTTGCATAACTATTATTATTTTGCTCGTTTTGTATATGAGACTCTACTCAGCAGCCCGTACCAGCCCCGCTTTGATTGCGACGTTTTTTTTCAACCTCGTTTGACCTATCGTCTTGTAATTAGCTCAATCATCGTGCAGATTCGCGATACGCTGCTAATAATTCGTCAAGGCTCGACTGTGAGATTTTATGCGTTTGATAATGGCCCCGTGATTTATGATTCGTGGCTTTTATGAGATGCTGGGATTCGACTCAGGTGTTCGGCTTGGCCGTGCGATACGCGCTTACTCGTTCAAGCTCATCAATTTCAATTTGTCCGCACGCGACATGGTGTATATTTAAACTCTCTTATAGTTGCTAAACCTCGGCGTATGATATAACCACGCCAAACTGACAGTTATAATAATATATTTTCAAACAATTCGTAAATCAACGAATATCTATGCGAGAATCTTTTTCATTTTGTAAGACCGAAGCATTATGTTGCTGTCGGTTCCAAAGTTCCTCGTAACTGTATGCAGTTATTAAAAATACTTTCGCCAATTTGAGCTAAGATTCGGTGAGATTTTGCGCCATGTCTGATAATACTTGATCGATTTCATAGTAGAACAATTACAAAAAATAATGAATTCACCGAATAAATAAATCACCGAGGCAAATCTCATGAAAGTTAATCTTTGCCGATAGTTAAGTCGAGCGATTTTAAACTTTTCCGTGTACATCGCTTTTTATTTGAAGATGAAAAAAAAACTTGGTCGGCTACGACATTTGCATACGCGATGTTGCACGTTATTTTGTTTTTTTTGACCAAAAGACGAACGTGACTATACTGCTGCACAAGACGATCAAAATTGATCATCGACGCTTCATGAATACGATTCTACTAATCCTGAAACGAGTCGACTCCCGTTGCAGTTTCTCATCTTCTACGCTAAACTTAAAAAAACACAACTCGAAAGAAAAAAAATTTGAACAGAATTAGACGTAAAAAAAGCTCAACTATTGTCCGAGTTTGGGTCTCTACTGTCAAACTGGTCTTTGAATTGAAAAATGTTGTCTGGTTGTGGGCTTTTCCATTCTGATTTCATCCCTGAACCTCGCACAGTCTCGTCTGCTTTGGAAAGTTTTTTCGGCGTAAACAAAGCAAGGAACGAAGCATAATCGTTTTCATCGATGCATTATTAAGTCGAATATTTGCATACGCGCACTTGGTATTAAAAGCATAATAAATTTGATTGCGCGATTTAAAGCAAATATTACAAAAGGCCAGGAGCGATCGCCTCGTAGGTCTATTAATCTCTTAAATGGCTAGCGGATAACAATGGGAGGAAAGAAAAGTTTATTATTACACGCACGGCTCTCGAATAGTTTAAAAAGTTTATGTAACGAGGAAATCTCACAATAGGCATATCGGAATCAGTGAAACCGCCGGAGCTAAAGACACGCATTAATTATTAGTTCACGTTGAGACATTTCACTCGTGCTCACTATGTGTATCGAAACGAAATCTCGGATTTTTTTCGCATTCGAGTCAGAAAAAAAGAAATCGATTTTTCCATAAACGAGCTCGCAATTTTCCCTCGATATAAAGTACGAGGAATTTATAATGGGTCACAGTGGTGGGGAAGGTTACCGGCTACATGGACTTGCTAAATAAGACAATCCGTAATGTCAATTGAACTTTTTTTAACAAAAATCTTAATTATTCTATGCGGTAATATACGCTTGCATATCTCACGTGCAATTAATTCACGTGATGACGAAACATTACTTTGTTGATCATTGACTAATTTTATCTCGATTGGAGAATATTGGTTATAAAAAATTTTACGATGGGACGAAATTGAATAACGTTTTTTATTTCAATAATATCATCCGATGAATTTTCCTCGAGGCATTGTAATTATTGTCCAACCATTGTGCATTATGATAGTTTGAAAATATATGCGATAAATTTTAATAAACAATTTTATTTATTACATATTTTTATTTTATGTTTCACTTGTTGCGACACTTGCATTCCGTTTGCATTTACGATCTGAAAGCAAAATCGATTGCTGACGATCGAACGACGATTATAATCTCGAGTTTGAGAAATCTGCATTTTGATAGGCCACTCATGACGAGTTTATCGGATTGAATTGTTTTTTTTTCAGAATAACGATGATTTTAGTAATTCTTTCACGATGTTATCAAAATATAACTCAATATAATCGAAAGCTGAAATTTTATCAGACTTTTCGGCCTGAATTTTCCTCGAATATCATCAATTTTTTTATAGATGTTCTTTTTTACCGAAGACGATCGTCGAATGATAATGCACATAAAGCCATGTACTTTTTCATTAGCCGCTTAGCAGCATTATCCTAATTATTACGAGGAGTCGTAGAACGATATAATTGTATTTATAAAAGATCAAGAGTCGAGCGGCGATTAGCAGCGGGAAATTAAAATTTTTTGCCCTTACGTCACAGAGAGCAATAATGATGTGCACATAGAACGTCCACGTGCTGATCGCGCAGCGTATGCGAGGCTCGTCGGCGATCGTTTAGCAGAGGCGAGAATTTTCGCAGCCACCAGACTGACATATTAACACAGATACTCCAATGCATGCTGTGCACGAGCGATATGAAAAAAATTAAAATTCACTGCTCGGCAGTTCGCAATACTGTGCGGGCACACGATATTCGTAAAAATCTTTAATTTTCAAAATTGTCGGTTACTTCAATCGAAATAGCATTATTTAATTAAAATTGATTAAATTATGCAGAATTCCATTAAACTATTTTATTAATTTTGTAATGGAATTGTGACGAAACACGTGCATCGTGCTGCATGTATCGGCTATAAAATGCGCGTAGACTAGTCGTAAAAGTGCGCGAGTCGAATGAAAAATCTCACCTTGTGCATTGACGTCCCAGACGACGACGATGGCACCGAGATTGGCGAGCCTCTGGGAAATGAGACGGCCGAGGCCGCTGCCACCGCCGGTGACCAGTGCCACCTCGCCGGCCACGTCCTTCATGAGATACCTCTTGGGCAGGAACAGTTTGACGATGGACTCGAGGATGGCCACGATGCAGAGCAGCAGAAAGCCGAGGACGTCGCCGGTCGAGCGCCACCAAGTCGCCGCCTGCTTCGAGCTCATTTTCGCAGCTGTTTTTGCAGCGGCACTGCACGCGCTGGGGAGTCTAGGAGAAGGGAGGTTAACGTCGATGCAGGCTCGAAAACTGTTGAGCCTCGTAAACCACAACGCTAGGGTATAATCGATATAAGGGATGTCGCGAGTAGCAAGCTCATGCCTCGTCTGCTGCTGCTGTTGGCTGTTGCTGCTGCTGCTGCGCACCGACGAGATCCGGCAAGTCGGCGACGCTCCACGACTATGGACTCGGGCAACTCGGGGGTTGAGCCGCCGGCGGCGCACGCGACCCCACTACCGGCGCTGATTTCGCGCAGTGCGCACGAAGCAACGACGTACGGACCCCGTGTCGCGCTGCGAGCTTGGGGAGACTCGGCTTCTGCGCTTCCCGACCGGCCTCCCTCCTTTGCGCCGCGAGGATCCTTCAATCTGTAAACAAACCAAATCACGATTAATCCCACTTGCAACGTCACTCGCTCTTCTACGCGTTCTCATTGTTATTGCAATTTTTATTTGCCGCGGAATTATACTTGCATATATTATTGAGTCTATTGCGAGGCACAGATCTGCATTAATTCTGTTTATTGATAAGCGTCCGAAACGATAAGATAGCGACAGTGATGCGAATCAAAGTCAAGGATAAATCGTAATCCACGTCACGCGTGCAATTACACGTATTCTACTATTTATTCGCTCGCGGAAATAATAGGCGGGAAATTTAATTTTGAAGCTGTAGCAGGAGCATACTTTTCTCAACTTTTTATCACTGCCCATACTGAATCGAGCAATGTATCGTTAAAAATTTGCTTGGCTTTCCCTCACGAGGCGCACTACAATGGGAGCAGATAATACGAATTTCGTGCTAATTAAGCCGCGCGGGCTCGACGGCAGGCACGCGTCGTGCTTATGATTTTTCAAACGCAAATAAACACATAACAATTATTCTCGACTCTTATCTCTCCTTGTTGTTATTATATGTACACAAGTAAGAAAAAATTCGTGCGCAACTGCGGAGAGCGTAGATCCTTATCCCGGATATTATGCAGCTCGTTGTTTTTATTTTACTTTCGGCCAGCGAGTGCCTTTGCCGAGCTTTTGCACGTAGAAAAGAAAATGACCAGCTGTCTTGTATATGTATATTCTGTAACAATGCGACTCCAAATACGAATACACACTCACACACAAATACTATACTTTCTAACAATGGGCGATGCAAGTAGGCACACGTATAAATATAAAAAAGACTTTCGTTTTTCGCGCGCGCGCATGTGCTTGCACACACGTACAACACACGTACACGGACAGAGCACAGACTCGCGTAAACAAGAAAATATGCTCATGTATTTGTACAATTACGGCGCATAGAAACGAAAGAAAGAGTGTTTCGAGTGATTTCATATCTTGCGTGCGCTCAATGACCATCGTGTATATGTCACGGTTAATGGACGCGTGCGCTCCCCATGCTGATTGTGCGCAGACACAAACGGTGCATGCCAAAAGGTAAATAAAACAAAGGGGGGAAACAAAAACTATTTCCCGGACTGCTTCCAACGCGACGAATTACGCTCTATTTTCCTGCTTCTGAGGAGGAAAATGTCGATACCGATATATTATAATCGCGATGCAATAACGCAATCGCGATCCCGTCTTTTTTTCCCGACCATGTTCAAGCCAGTTTTTGCGAATCATTTGTAATTTAAAGTAAAGCTGCAAAAAGACAAGCAGCGCCAGAGAAGTTTTCCAATGTTTAGACGACTAAAGGAAAAGAATTTGAGAATAATAACGAAACGAGAAGCGCAAAAATATCGGTGGCAAAATCGAGACGGGCGTATAATGCCTCGCTATTGCCCAATAAGACAAGATAATGATCCTCTTCGATGTCTCGTGCACGCGGTACTGCCGCGAATTGTGTGCACCGCACCGGAGGCGCGACAAGCTGAAAAACCATAGAGGATCGTGAAAAGCCGCTTTGGTATAGGTCGTATTATACGGCGCGGTTGTTTCGTCACTCGAGCTCGCGCGTCGCGCCTCTCTTTCTTCTTCTTCTGCTTCTTCTTTTTCTTCTTCGGCTCGGCCCGCTTGTATTACAACGATCTATCCGCTGAATTTATTACTCGTGGGACGCCGTAGACAATTTTATCGCTCGTGTATATACGATGTATATATTATGCATGTATGGCTCACGGTACAAGTTACATACGCAGGTGCAGTGCGGCACAATCGGCGCGCACAGCCGAAACATTTGTTGCGACTGCCAACTGACACTCGAAGCTTGCGCAAATCAATGTGCATACGACGCCGCACGAGAGCTTATGATCTATAAGTTACTCCGTGCCTGTGTAAGTAACGTTTGACGCTCGTGTAAATGCACCAACTCCTGCAGCTAAGTATAATATAGAGAGAGGCGCGTATATCGCTTGAATTGCCTGCGGATGTCGATGCTTGAGCACAGTCTGCTACCGATTCACGCGCCTGTGCCATTCATTTGCATAGTATCCACGAGCGAAATTTCGACTTTTTTTCATTAAAACCGAAACTATATTGTGCATCATCGATTGCGGTTTTCGCTCCGATCGCAGTATATGCACATATTTGTCAATGGATTTCGCAATATCGATAAAAATAGATTACGTCATCGATGCCTCGTGTGTCAAACAATGAATTTCAGCTCTCCTGCGTAGTTTATAAAAATTATTTCAATTTTAAATTTTAGGTAAAACGAATTCCTCCGTCCCAGAGAATGAGTTTAATAATGTATTAAATTGTGTATGCGTTTTCGCGGTGTTGCCTCTAGATAAATTGCTTACATATCACCTTACTTAATGCATACGATAATTCACCTGGGAGTCAACTCGACACTATGTAGTCGAATATCTAATTGATGGTTCAAAAGTTTTGGATAATCATGACTCCAAGTCGCTTATAGCACAATGAAAATAACAACTCGATAATTACAAAACAGTAACGAACTTCTGATTGATAGATAATGACTACAATGTTATCTCAAGCTTATAATTATACTTTTATTTTTATAGATAAATCTACAGTCGTCAACGTGAAAATTTCAATTTGGCCAATGTGACAATAACAAGCGATGTTCGATTCTTTAAATGGAGTAAACGAAAAATTGCAGGATAAGGAAAAAACCAGAGTATTACGAAAATCCCAGAGCACTCTGAGAACTCGAGTGACTTCGAGCGGGCTCCGCATGCATTAAAATGCGATGTCAAACGAATCTACCTCTCCAGTACGATGGACTAATGGCAGAGAGGAAAGGAGAAACTGACATCACCATGAGTGACTTAGTTGAGCAACTTCGTGGCTTAAAGAGGCCGGATAGAATGCGAAAATTATCGACTCCTTTGTAATTGAAATTTTTCTTTCGTTGATGAGTACAGTCAGTGAACGTGAAAGTACATAATCTCTCACTGTCTATTCTTAATTGTTGCATATTATGTAATGATAACTATTTTTTTTTGCAATGTATTCTTGACAAAAATATAATACAAATTACGCCTGGATTTTTTAAACCTCTTATACTCTTTACAAAAAAGTCTACATTTTAAATGTATTCCCAAGATGTTCGTCAAATATACATATTTGTATCTATTGAAGTACTTGGTAGTGTGACTATATAGTTTCAATATAATGACCGAGCATCATCGAAAATAAATATTAAATCCTCGTTCTTGCATAAGCAGCATTTCATTTATGAGAGAAGCAACAAAGTTTTCAATAATAAATAAGCAAATATTTTCGACACTTTAATTTTTTACGCATTCATCAAGGCATGCAACTTTTCTCTTTCGTATTTATGTGTCGCTCGGGAATTATTGAGATTCGATTAAGATTTCTCACTGTATTTTAATTTTGGAATGCTGGAAAGGTTTAAAATAAAAATCATTTTAGCTTTGAATTCGTCAATTACGGAGACAAGTTATAACCTCTTGATAGTTTTCGACATCACAATCGGTTAATCGTTTAGCGAAAAAAGCAACTTGTAGTAAAAATCATTGATTGTATACAAAGATTTCGCAGGCTTAATTACATTGTATACACTGAGTAGTGATGCAATACATGCAGCGCGTAATAATTTTGATTTGCCAAGATGTATTAGTGTAAGGTAAACACGATGATTTCAAAGCATTAGCAGGATTATGCGATTGGGAAATTAGTTTAACTCGATAATGAAGCAGGATCTTACACGATTCCTCGTAAAAGTGCCAATACAATTAGCGGGAAAACTTGGATGATTTTTGCAGTGAACGAAAAAATTCGAAGCAAGGATCGTCGCAACGAGAACAATGAGCGACGAAAATGAAAAAAAGTCAAGCGCGAAAAAAAGCCATGATGGCACGACGTTGGCCGATTAACATCGCGAGACATGCAAATCAGCAGGTGAAGTTCCTGTGCAAATAATCATACGCAAGAGATTATAATTGCACTTGCAAAAGCTGCCACTCGCAACGTCACGAATCGGCTCGCATATAGCGTGCTATATATACGTATGTATATGCCTATATCGGTTGGATTTATGATTCTGCGAGTCTCTGAAACGTGACCGCAATGAGGCGTGCGCGAGGCTCGCGTGGAAGACGGTGCGCGGATTTTCTCCGGATATAATGAGCGCGATGCAGTACCAGAATCGCGTACATGTATCATTACGATGACGACGACTATGACCTTGCTCGTGATAATGTTCGCCGCCGTCCATTCTCATCCGAGTGCATGTGGCACCTGCGACGTCGAGTTTCGCGCCAAGCCGAATTGTCGCGCTTAACATACTCGACGCTGTGGCGCGTAAACATTTCTATGGGATATATTATATTTTTAGTTCATGGAGCAAAAAATGAGGCAAGCCATGCATTGGCAATGAATCATAATGAGCTACTCAGGATAGCATATATCAATTGCATGAGAGGTGAATGGACTATTTACGAAATATCGTGTGCATTACAATTTTTGCGCTCACCTTGAATCATGAAAGTACGTAAGAAGTATAACATTTATTTTCACGCTCGTTATGATTTATAATCACATTTTTTCATCTTGCAGAATTCACGCTGAATAAAACTGGGAATTTTTTTCTGACTGCAACTACTTTTTCAAGTTATCCTCGGCACTTCGACGTACGAAAAACTATGAAACTATTGCTAGACATGTTAAAAAATTTTTTACTACATACATCAACCTGGTTGTGCGAAAAAATTTATCATAAATCAGTGAAGCGTAAAAATCCAGATAAACTTAAATATTGATTTTTCTAATTCGAACTTGATTACGGTATATCAATATTGATCCGTAGACTCGAGAAAAAACATTCTAAAACGAAAATAATTCCAACGAACCATTTCGCAGTAACGAAGCCTCTGCTTAGGTGCAAAAAGATCGCGATGCTGCAACGGAAACATAAAATTGCAGGCGCACTTGCCACTTGGAGAGCGTCACGACATTCTGCATCGGCAGGAGAAGAAAAATTTTGTCCAAGAATGATCGATCGAATCAAAAAGGTGAGAGAAAAGCAGCCGTATGGACTATACCTTGACCTCGGAGGTAACTGGTTAGCGCATTTTTTCATTCTACTTCCGAGCATTTTCAATTTCAATAAACTAGCCATGCTCTAAATACTTTTTCAAGCACACGAGCGTGCACTCAGGTGGCACTTTTTTTCACCGTCCTTAAGCACGCAGACTAATTATTACGATTATTTGGGACACATTTTTTTACTTTCATTTGAATTCTCAACTACTAGTTTAACTGCAAACAGCGAGTTGATTCAGCGCGTTATTTCAAAACAATTCAACGCAAGTCGGTCGTTACGCAGCTCTTTGGCTTTTCTTTCCTCTAATCGATATGATGGCTTCGCATGCACATCCTTTTTGACATTTGGACAAGAAAAAGCATTTATCTCCTCGATGGATTAAGGTATTGCAGAAGAACGTCTAACTAACCGAGCGCTAATACATAATAGAACCAGCGATCAGATGCGTCTATAGACCGTCGTATACTAAGCTGGCGCGATCGGCACAAAAATTTATCTTCAGTCAAAGGACGTCGTTGCGGTCATTGCGTGTGTATTACAAACATTTGCGCGTCTTACGCGCTGTTCACGCGCTGCGTGCGCTAAACGCACTCGAAGGCGAGAGACACTCGTGTCTCGCTGGTATAATATGCATTTTGAGCATCGAAAGCTCTTACAATCGAAACGATTACGTATATCATCAGCAATTATATTTTAAGCGAGGTGTATTATGTATTATTGCAGCTCTGACTTGGTCGTTGTGCCGAACGATCGCTTCATTACGACGAGATTTGATTTTTTGCATATTAATCGCTATTTAATCGTTCGTTAGTTTAACACAAAGAGCCGAGTTGATTGTTTTTCAACTTGGCTTTTCATTAATTTTTTTTAATGGCACATTTTTACAGCACCTCGGGTATCCTCCAAACGATCAAACTCCTTTTACGCCTCGGACGCACAATTTCGCAAGAGGAATACGTATCCTTGGATGCTTATAGCGCAATAGATTATTATTCGCTGTGGGTCGAAACGGCAGTAATCATTACGAGGAATATATAAAAAATAACATGACCTCCTGTATTTATATTACGGTTTAATGCTAATTGTTTTGGACTCGTATCTGAATGAAACAGGTGGAAAACAATAATATTTTGGACGAAAAGTTGTGATTCTCGACAAGATCTGCGTTTTAACACGTCTGGTATGTATAACATTCATAAATGTATGCATCCAAGAAACGAGGACATGTATACAACTTGATGGCTTAAATGTCATTAGTCAGCTTTTCTAGATATACGAATTTCTTACAGCAAACAAACAATTTTCTTAGATTAGTGGGAAAAGTTCAAAATTGTTTGCTCACAATTTAGAAGAAATTTGATTGTGCACGAGCAATTAAAAAATTTGTAGCGTACGTCTAAATGTAAAATGTAAACCATTGGAAATCATGAAAAATGGAAAATGTAACATTAACCAGTCAAAAAGGTACAAATTCAATATCGGCTTATTGCGCTATAATCTGTTGAGACGGAAAATTAACGGTAACTAAAAGAGGTCAAGTACAATATTATCACGTTCACGGACGAATTTTGGGTATAGCCAAAATTGAATCGTTCTTTGCAAATATAAATCATATAATACAATGCCGATCGAGCAATTCGATAACATTCAATTTTTCAGTTAAATTCTCAACTTCGTAAATTGAAATTTTAAATGGCTAATAATTATCGGCTTTTAAGAGTTTAGTCATATTATTTGGGAATTTATTTAATGTGAGTATTATTATTATTATGACATCAAAATTTCTCAATTATTATACGGTATGAAGTTTTAATTATTAACAATGTTAATACACTAAATTTTTTTAAATTTAGACTGTACTATTCATCGTTTTCATCTTCGAGTTCTATTAAATTTATATGACTTTTTCGGTATTTAAAGATGAAAATATAAAAAATAACAGGCTCCAAAAAATTTAAATTGCGCACAGCGTAAAAGTTATTCGCATTGAAAAATTAAAAAATTATCTTGACTCACAGAATACTTTAAATTGAAATAAGCAAAAAAATCAAAATAATTAAAATTCACTTTTTTTATCCGATAAAAAAGTCAAACTACGTCAGCATCAAGTTAAAATATTATATGGAATCTATCGTGAGAAAATAATTATAATTTTAGTTTCTTAGGTAAATAGTTACACAGCACAAAAAATGTTAACATAATCTACAACCAACCTGATGATAACATTCGTTGAGACGAATAAATCGCACAGTCACTTTGAAGTTTTATATAAATTTTCAAGATAGATGAAACAATGCACTTTTTTATTCTAAAATAACTTAAATATCACGAAAAAAACTATGGAGTACGTCTTAGAAGCACATGCGTACGTACACAATTCAAAATTTCAAGCAATAAGCCGCATTAGCGAATAAAGTATAAAGTGACAGGGAAGGCAATCCTACCGTCAGCGAGGTTTGCGCGCAACTGAATGGTAAACCGAACCTGCTGCTGCTGTTGCTTCTACAAGTGTACAGATTCGCGCCAAACAGCCGGAGAAAGAGCCTCGACCGATGCACGGGGGGCAAGCCCCCCTCGATGGTGTTGGAAATTCTTCATTAACAAATAATTTTTATTATTTTGTTTGATTTTTCATCGATGTTACTTTGTTTGAATTTAGTTTTTATCTCACCAATTCAAGAAATATTTGAACTGCTGCCTGTACCATTTGAGGAACCTATTTACAATTTTACTCTTTTATGGCTCGTCAATAAAATTAATACAGAAAAAGTACGTGGAATTCGTTGTAGTAAATTGAACGATTTTTTTGTGAAACCAATTGGATCAAAATTAATTTAATTTTTAATCAAGTTTTATTGATTTGCGTCATTCAAGATGGGTATTCATCGTCACACAAAATTTAATCGATGAACTAACTTTTTCTACCATTTTAGTGTTTAATTTTAGTTTAGTCTAAAAGCTGTTTGCATGCTATTAAAGCTACTATAGAGTAACATCTTCATTCGTTTTACTGAAAATATGATATATGAATTTAAAAAATAATTAATAATCAAAAACTCGAATAAAAAATTGATGTGATTTTTTTCGTTCATTCATGATCAAGAAAAATCAAATAATTGCTATTTATGTTCATGAACTTTCAAAAAGTCTGCAGCCAATGCCAATGCAATGCAATTTATGAATTAATTATGATTGAGTTCAAAACTTGAAATAAGAGTAAACTTCAGAGCGTGTGCAAGACGATACAAACATACGAGTGCTCGCGGTGTCCAGCGCGTCTTCCAATAAATGGCCTTAACCCATTTATTGGTCCAGCGTCATTATCCATGTACCTGTAGTTGTCGTACACTATAAGTACCGAGATATTTTTGAATCCATTCAATTAATCATAAGAGACTGAGTAATCGAGAAGCTGACCTCACTTTATCGGCGTAATAATTCGACAAACGGTGCGAGCGAGCAAGCTCAGGCTCATTACCGCGATATTTTGCGATGGACCGATTGCCGTAAGGATAAGTACTCGATTAATCGCGGTAATATAATACACCGGGATAAAAGTAGAGTATAGGAATTTTAGTTCCAGTTGAAACATTACAATAAATACGCAGTCAACGAGGCGCAAACACGCTCTGCAATATATAACGGTCAGCAAGCGCATTAGATGCCATAAAAAACAATCGAGTTGTATGTACGGTGTGTAAGCGTAGAAGCAAGTTGTACAGCGGTATAGCATGAATCGTTTCGATGACTAGGAACTAATTACTACGTGTTTGCCCCTTAAGAGTCAACGAATTAACATTATCCAAAAGCAACTGGCCAATATTGACGGATCTGCATTAGAGCGAATGAAAAAAAAAATGTTTTATCTCGAGAGGCACTTGTTGAATTTGAGTAAGAAGCCCATACTCGAGCCACTCGAGCACTGATTCAGAGGCTTGTAAGTCGTATCGCATGCCACAAAATGACTTGCGAATTCGCAGGTAGCATCGTTATTTGGGTGTATACGCCGGTCGAAGGCCCACATGCAATATAATATCGAGGATGTTAAGAGACGAAAAATCCGAGTACGTGAGCTTGAGGAAGGTACGTGACGCAACGCGATCATCTCCCGCACAAAATTCGCCATTAATTCAATAACCGGTATATGCGAGAGCGAGGCGAAAAATATTTACCACCTAAAAACTTTTTGGCTTCAATGAAACGAAACGATATGGGTGAATGTTCGGCTCCTCGAAGACCACCGAATGTCTTATCCTGCCGTGGCCTTGTCACATATTATACGCGTCTATGTTTGCAAACTAGTTCTCGCAAAAAAAAATTACAATGGAAATGCCGCTGCTCCGTATATAATATGTGGACAAATTTTCAAGGCACGTGATCTCTTTTTGTTGTTTGCGTATCTCTATATAGCTCAATACGAAATTGCTACACGCGCAAAGAGCAAAGAACGTTTTGGATGCCTTATTTTCAGCGCTATTACACAATGACAGTGCACCTGCACATTTCTGGCATCTATTCTTTGCGCATATTTATTTGTTGCATCTGAAATGCATACGTGCTTCGTACGCACGCAAACGCTCCGATGCAGCAGTGACAATCCATTCACGCGCTATTACTCTATCTTTCAAGACGTTATATTGTCCATAAATCATCGCGTCGCTGCAGCTGTATGCGAAGATCCTTTCATTGCACGCTACGGAGAGCATGTGCGTCTTATGTAGCGCAATATGCATCGCGAGACGACGATCGTCGATTTTGCAGCCTTAAGTACACGCATTCATCTCGTCGCTTTGTATGTGGATGCATTGAAGCGCAAAAAATACGCAGGTACGAACATACGCGAGGACTCGAGTTCGAGCTCCCGAGAGATATAATTCACTTGGCCGTTATGTACATATGTACAAAGTGTCGCAGAGAAACAACGAGCGCCGGTAACAGTTGCAGTATCGAAGATGACCGGTTTTTTCTCCCGGATCGAGATTACCTTTTTTGAGTTTGCTGACGTATTGTGGGTGTCAGACTGCCCGATCTGATCTTCATCTGCTACTTTTCAAATTATTTATATTGCTTATTGCTTCGAATGCTAATCCAAAATAAAAAAATTTAAATATTTGTGAAATTCTCATGTAAAGGATTTAAAATTTTTCTCCACTGTGTACCCTGGGCTACGAGATTTGATATATTTCCAATGAATTAATGTGTAGGTAGATGGTCAAACTGCACTTAAAATCGAATTAGTTATTGGAACAAAGAATCAGTCATTTTCAAGAATATCTTTCGAACTGCTAGTGTCTTAATTTCAAATGCCAATAAATAAAAAGGCTAAAAAGAATAAAAAGAAATTATTTTTCCCATTCATTTTACTCTTTTGAAATTTTTTGGGGGTGACTGAGTGATGAAAAATGAACTGACATTTTCTGTGCTAGTTTTCGTTTTACTTTTCCATCATTGTGAATCATGTCATATTATTAGGTATATTAAAATGTCAAAAGTGTACGTTCATCATACATTATCTTTAGCTGGTAACGTACCGATTTCAGTTCCCCTTTTACCGATCACCAACAAGTTTCAATACAGCAGTTTACAAACAATACAAAAGCAGGCAAAAAGTTGTTACTCCATCATTTTATTGGAAAAATATAATAACAAATTGTATATTGGACAAATCAAAAGTCATTTTCAAGTTTCAGTTCTAACCACTTCACATACTGACAAGATATCTTCATTGCTTAAGTACTTGATTACTTTTTCGCAAAACAACAGAGGCAAATTACTCCGTGTCAGTAGCATCAATGGTTCCAATCCAGCTGCTAGTGAAAATTTTCTGATCAAACTTTTTATTATGTAACCCTTAATGGTAATTGATACATAACGGCAATTATTTTTGAAATCATCTGAATTAATAACTGACCAGTATTCTGAGTTTTTCAGCAAGGGACATGCTTCATTAGGACTACATATGCAAACATCGTGAAGAGACACATCATCTTTTATTTTTATTGTTTTGATATATTCAATTTCTTCTTCGATTTTTTCTTTCTCATAATCGTACTGAAAATCGATATCAGCTACTTTTTTCAAATATTCCAATATTTTCTCAAGGCAATCATTGATTTTTTTATCAATGAACATTTTTCCTATTTTCACGGTCAGAAGGTGATGACTAAGTCTCGTATGTAGCTCTAAAAAATCGATCTCCATATTTTCACTATATTGTTTTTGTCTGATTCGATCAAAAAACCTTTGGAATTGCTTTAGAGAACCTGTAAAAAATATCATTTACATTGATTATTCATTTTAATAAATTTTGACTAATAAAATCTTACCATATTCCAATATTTTTTCGATTTTCTTTGTAGTGTAAGATTCATCAGGCTGGATCAAGAATTTTAATATTTTCAATTCAGCAAATTCATTCATTTCAAATCCTTTATTTTGTAAAAGCTCAAGGATTCTTAAAAATTTAAGTGTCGCTTCTACCCACGGAATATGATCATTGTAATCCCAAAATTTCTTCGAGAAGTCAATACTTTGTACGTGAGCTCCATAATCTAAAAGTACCTTGACCACATCGTAGTTGTAGCACAGCACTGCCAATTGAAGAGGTGAGTCACCGTCATCATCTTTGGCGTTTGGATCGGCTCCATATTTCAAAAGTGTTTCGACTAATTCTGAACCAACTTCGTTTTGATAGTACTGTGGCGAATAGCTATTGTTATCGATGTAACTAAATGTGCATATTTTGGAACGAATAAATAAATGCAGTAGCGTTTGCCCATTTAAAAAGACTTCCTTAACATTGGCATTATTTTGAAGCAATATATCTAGTCGATTTTTTTCAAACCTCAATTGATCATTGTGCCTTTTTGGTCCAGAACGAGCTTCGTCGCCTCTAATAGAGCAACAAAGTTCGTAAAAAAGATACAGAGGGCTAAAGCCATCTTCGTTTTTTGCATTAACGTTGCAATTGTGTCTAATAAGAAGTTTCAAAATTTCCATTTTAGATTCGGGATCAATTAAAGAGTAGTACGTGAAAAGGTTGTGTATAGGCTTATTACCATAGCAATCTACTACTTCAGGATCAGCACCATTTTTCAAAAGTAATTCTACTATTTTTACCTGCCCTTCATCTATAGCCAAGATCAAAGGTGGTGTACTATGATGCGTATCATGGCACATGATGCTGAGATTTGCAGATTGATCAATGAGTTTCTGCACCATGTCTATGTTGCCAGTCATGCAAGCAGCGTGTAAATACGTGAACCCTTCATCGTCGCAGTAATTTTCGTTCCCAGAGTATTTGAAAAGCAGATCAACCATTTTAAAATCACGATTTTTTGCCGCCAGATGAATCGCCGTTTGACCCGAGTCATTCAGTACTTGTAACTCTGCACCGTTCTGCAAGAGTAGCTCAACGATCCTCCTTTGATTTGTCTCGATGGCTACTTTCATAACCCACTTGGTACCTTCATTTTTATTGACAAACTCACCATCGATGAATTTAAATAAATCTTTATCCGTCCATGAAGTTTCTCTCGCGAACTTTTTTATGAATTGGTTTCTTAATTTACCAACTGATGCTATAGCTAATTTTCGCGTACTGCACTTTTTTCTCGCTTTCATCTGTAAATAATGAGTTGAAAATTATTAACATGTTTTATCTTTCAAAGTTTAATATAGCAAGAGAAATATTTTTTGCGTGCAGTACATTGTAGTTTTTATAGCTTTTTCCCAATTAACGACGGTTGTTTACACCAATTTTATCACATTTGAATCACAATTTAATTATAATAAAAGACAACCTCAAACAAGATTCCTATAAACTACGTTACGTATTTTTTCCATTAACTGAATCATTAACACATTAGGAACTATTTTGACGTCAACATGTACAAAACTGACAAGTGTCACTTCTCTGCTTTCATTTCTGGTACCGATGAATGTAAGAAACAGCTGGTCGTATGTAAGAAAAGTTTTATCCACTCCGCTATAGTCTGCTATCGCTATCTGCTAAATATAATAAATGACTGGCATCGCGCATGCGCATTTGAATTTACTTCCAATGAATCTACTAAATTAATTTTTAAAATGAACGAACTATTTTCAATATCCAAAGTTTTTACTGTAGCGGTTCCGATGATGTAATGAGACGATATCCTTTCAAAAAATAAAAATTCTTAAATAAACAGAGCAAATTCATGTATAATAAAAAATACGCTTACTACATGGTCCTTGAATCAATCCTCGATGTTTTATAATTGAAAAATTCTGCGATAGAAAAGGTTGATAGTAGATTTTCTTTATTGATGTTATCGTGAATATTTAACAATTAAAAGTAATTACAATGTCATTCAAACAGTTGCAGATTCGAAAAAGTTCCGCCCCGATGCAAACCTTCGTTTGTCACTTATGCAATTTGAAAACCTTTAATATAATATTTTAAATTGATAAAAGTACTCAGAACAAGGTAAAATCAATTTAAGAGCTTTGACTAATTTTGACGAAATTTAGAAAAAAATTTCTAGTTCAAAATAAATTATGAATTGGTTTTCGCTTTCCAAACAAAACGTGAAAAAATAATCCGGCTGGTTCGTTCCATGAAGAGCTAGAAACTAAGTAGCCAAAAAATGAACGTAAAGTAGTAATTAGACTGTATGCGAAATCTGAAAACACGACAATATACAAAGGTGTAATTTTGTAATGACTTAATGCTACTTTTTGGTCTTTTATCAAAAGTGAAAACTCATTTTATTTAATCATGTTGAAAATTTGGAAAATTACATCAAACATTTAATTAAATTAATCGTTATGAAAATGAATAAGCAATTACAAGTTTTGGCCTGCAGCCGCCAAACAAATAAGATATAAATCTTCGTTTATTAGGTGCTCGATGATTTTTTCACAGCAAAGAATTGGCAACTGGTAGCGCATCAGTTCCATAACAGATTGCAGTGCCCAGCGACGGAAAAATTTTCTCGAAATTATCTCGAACAGGTGCACAGAACACGCCTCAAACAATTTTTTGGGGAGGCACCACGATTCTTTCAAGCGCGTGAACTTGAAGTACTCTGAATATGTGAGTCGTTTCGTAGTCTCTTCGGGTCGTAACCGGACGAGGTCGTTGAGAGACAATTTCGAATTTATCATCCACGTCTTCGCGGCTCTCACGAAGTTCTTGTCGTCATACCAACTTTTTCCAAGATCCACCGACTTACTGAACAATCCGCGTTTGGCGAAAAATTTCATGATCGTTAAGGCGTCGCTTTGGTCCAGCGTGTATCCTTTCTTCTCCAGATTTTCGATGACGACTAGAGCGCCAGACGATACATCCATTGTATTTAAATATGCTATTTCTTCACCATCCAGGTCAAATCTTTCGCCGAAATAGTCCTCAGTTGGAAAAACAAAGCTGGACAGATCAGCACCATGATCCAAGAGTACATCGATAGTATGTGGGAAGAGATTCGCCACGGCCAATTGAAGAGGTGTCCGACCATAATTATCCCGGGCATTCACTTTCACAGTTAGATTTTTGTCGCCACAGATCTTGAATAAGGTCTCCATAAAATTTTCTACATAAATGGTGTCTACCTGGCAAATGACATGCACAGGAGTCAATCCCTCCTCATTGGCGAAATTAGGATCGGCGCCGCTTCTTAAGAGCAATTCAGGCACCGTACGGTAGTACATGTGCAAGGCCAAGTGTAGCGGCGAATCGCCTGTTACGTTGCCGAGGCAATTGGGATCCACTCCACCTTCGAGGAATTTTTCGACGATCACTTCACAGCTAGAATCGCAGGCCGCGTGAAAATGTGTAAATCCAAACTCATCAGTATAATTGACGTCGAATCTGTCGTAAATTTCAAATAGACTCTCGACGACGTAATAGCATTTGCATCTAACCGCATGATGCACTGGTGTGGTACGACGCAATAGCGGCATGCCATTTTCATCGATCTCGGGCTCGTCCTTGTAGCCGGTCCTTATCACAAAATTGATTATTGTTTGGTTGGGTCTACGAGGGTTATCGCGTCTCACATCCTCCGCGAGAAGCCAATCGATTTCTTTGGGCTGGAAAATTTCTCGGAGATTTGGAAGTTTGCCCACCCAATTTTTAATTAAAGGTACGAGTTGATCGAAAAATTCGATTCGCTTTTCTTCGATGTTCCAATCGACTTTTCCTCGCATGATTTTCAATTTCTTTTGACACTTCCTGTTCTTTGCCATTGTTTTACACACTTACTCAACAGACAAATACAATCTATGATAATTCATAAAATTACAATCAATACGATTTTGCACTGTTCACACTGTGACGCTGCAATGTTTACTAATCTGAACGTGTAAAGCCTAGAGTGCGTATGCAGCGATGTATCTCGTAACTACACCGAGCTAGTACTGGCATGGCGAGTGGACCGATCGTCTTTTTATACTGACTACAACCAAAGAAGATAGACACGTATCGGCCTCGAGCCGCTACCGCAGCGCCTAGCGCGCGGTGGCGGCTCAAAAAACTTTGAGGGCATCAAAACATAAGCCTTTAACATGTAATATAATGGAGACTTCGTTATAGTGATATACTATTTATGTGTTTTTATTAATTAATAACAATAGTTACCGCAAAATTTTGAAATCATACACGTATTAATATCATCTGAACTAAATCACAACATTGAAAAGGACATTATATCAACAATATGGATATATTATCAATAACGCATGACCTATCATTTTGGCCCGAGGCTGTAAAGCACGGAAAAAATTTGGCAATTTCAGGTCATATAAACAATGTTTCAGAAGAAACAACGTTTAATGATTGTAAAGTGATAAGAGCCTTTTGCATTAAAACGAAAAAAATTAGGGAAACGCCGTATAATATAGAAGTATGGGTAAGCTAAAGAGTTACATATTCTTTTTTTCTCAATGATTCTTTGCATTAGACTTATATCGTTTTTTATTGCAGATCAATAATTTACGACACCTGACAAATGCAAAATGTAATTGTTTAGCGGGGATAACCTCCGATTGCAAGCATATTTATGCTACTATTTATTTCATAAACAATCATTAGATATGTGAGTGCATAATAATGTTTCATTTTTAACATGAGTTTTAGTGTATTGAAATAAAAAATTAAAGTTTTATTATTTTATGAATCTATGTTGTACTTTTATTTTGGTAATTTACATTATGTATGTCACTTGGGATACAAACTTATTTTATGATAGTTGGCTGTAAATTTACTAAAACACAACACATGAAGATGATTTCATCAATGTATGGAAGCATCTTAATTGAAATCATGTCTAATATTTTGTAAATTCTTAGTCTCTGCATTATTCGTTCAATGTGTATCCTCACTCTTGCAATGTGACGTTGCTCTTCTCGTTGTTCTCCTGTAAGATGGTGGTTTTCAACGAATGGGGGCATGACAACTAAAACATTTTTTCCATTTTCCATTAGCTTGGATTGTATACTGGGAAATCCCTTATCAGCCAATATGGTATCTCCACTTTCTAACAATTTTAACAATTCAGAACCAGCAGTTATTTGCACATCACTTGCTCGACCACCATATGCACAACTCACAAAAGTAACTAATCCAGCAGGTGAACATCCTACGACAACTTTAATTCTGTATCCACCTTTATACGAAGACCAAGATTGTATTTGTTCATCGGTGCGAGGTGGCTCTTCCATCCTAAATTCTGTGGCATCTATGATAATTCTGAAGTTACTATAATTAGGCTTAAAACAGTCTGGTGTAGTTCCTCGTACCTCTTCTTGAGATGGCCAGGGAACAAATTCTTTACAGGCTGCTGCTAGATAACTTAATGTGACATAGAAAATTTTGGATATTGTAGTTCTGTGTACGCCAAAGAAGACACCAATTACGCTAAATGACAATCCAGTTTTCATCTTTAGTAGAAATATTACTAATCTATTTTCAATGCTGATACTTTTTTTTTCAGTGGAATAATCTCTTGATAAGACTTTCAACAATAACTGAAATGTCTTTGAGTTAATGCCACATACTTGGAGCATCTTCTCATTGTTATCCTTGATGCAATCATAACCCTTGAATCCACCAATGTCACTTTTTATTGGTAATTCATTAAGTTGACATTTTTTTATCGATGAATTAGGTGCTGCAGTATAAGTCTCTGCATCCCACTTATTTATTTGATTATTGTAGGAAGGCATTCGACTGCAAATAAATGCTGGTAATAGAATATCCTCTTCTACTTTATGAGCCACTTTATGGGGAAATAACTTATTATCAGTTGGGAAATGATACAAATTAATATTCTCACTAGTCGATTTGCTGTTGCAATTATAAACACAACACTTTTTAGCTACAGGCCTTTTATTTGTCATTTTAATTTTAGTTTAATGTACTTGCTTTAGAGCAGAAGCTATATCAATACTAGTATGCGACTGCCCTCAAAGTTCGATAGTCTACCGTTCGAGCGCTGACTACCAGAAGCTCGAGGCCGATAGAAGCCCAGAGCTTAACTAAAAATTGAGGCTGGCTCATATGATACCAAAACCAACTTCAAGGGGGCGCGGCGAGCAACCTAAGCCTGTAATGTATAACCAACATTTAGTCCCTTGGTTACCAAAGTCTTCGTGGTCGAGTGGTCAAGCGCTCGGCTTCGTCTTTTGCGTCGAGCGGTCGGGCCTTGGTTCAATCCCAGGTCGCAGATATTTTTTTTTACATTTTTTTCTCAAATTACAAAGAATAAAGTAAGGATTTCGCTTCTAGCTAATATTGCTTATAAAATTAAAAATACTCTGATAAATTTATTTATTAAGGGTTTTTTTTAATTGTGAAAAATAATAATCAAGCGATACGGTCCATTTAAAATTGTAGTCCGAGATATTTTCATAAAAAAGAAACTTCATTTAACGAAATTGACACGAAATTTTTTTTCGAGGCGTCTAAATATACATTAATTTAATTTAA